GNGGGGGAGGAGGGGGAGGAGGGGGAGGGGGAGGAGGATGTCCGGAGGGATTAGGGCCCTGATGTGATGTGATGGGACAGCTCGAGCTCCCTCTCCCTCGGACCCCTGTGAGCCCACCACCGTGGAGCTGCTGGTCCCCTCTGCAGGGAGTGTACCTGTTGGTAAAGGAAATGAAGCACTGGAGTACAGGGGCGGTCCCAGCTCGGCAGAGGGCCACGGCGAGACTGAGATTCGCAGTGTGGGAGGGGCGATGAAGGGGTTTAAGTAAGGCGCCCTGTCTAGAAGGGGGGGGGTCCCTCCAGGGATCGACTGGCTTCCCGCAACGCCCCTCCTTCATCTCACCCCCCAGTGAAGATTTGCTGTTCCGTGTTCAGATTCCTTCAGATGCCGCTTCACCATTTCCGTCTAGACCTCGACTTTCCTCCAGGGGTTGTTCCACCCCTGTTTCTGACACTCTTGTTCCCCCATCCCTGTACTTGTGTATGTATGTATGTGTGTGTGCGTGTGTGTGGTACGGCAGGCTAAGAATGCTGAGTTGGAGGTGCTCCGTGTGGCCATAGCGGATGCTGAGGCAGTGGTTTCGGAGCTGAAGGCCTCATTCACCGATGACCCCCTGTCGCTAGTGTCGTGGATGCAGGTCGGAAGCGGGGGCATGTGTGGCTGGCTGGCTGGGCGGGCGGGCGGGCGGGTATGGGGTTGCAAGAGCTTGTGGGCTATCCCTGTGTATGTGTGTGTGGGGGAGTAGGGGGGGGGGGGAGACCAACACCGCCAACCCTGATAACACGAGCACTCAGAACCGGTAGGGGATGTGGACTGGGCAGCCCGGCTCACGTCGTCACAGTGCCATCTGGGGAGGAAGGATTTTAACTCAGGAATCCATACACCTCCTGGTTTATTTTAAATTATCCAAAACAACTACTTTTCACACACCGATAGGAAACCAGGGGTTACGAGGGGTGGTGGGTGTTTGGGGGCATTTGCGGTCTGTACGACTGTGCGATTACTAGATGTGCCGGGCGCAGAGGCGGCGACTTCCAGATGAGGCGGCAAAGGGCACAGCGAAAAGGGGTGAAGCTGGTTTCACCTCTCGGTAGAAGATCCTGCTGCCGGGCGAACCCCTGTCGGATGCGAAAAGACGCGCTCGGATTCCGTCCTCTGTCGTGTTTTTCTCCGTTCGAAACCCCAAAGCACCAACTGCAAACCGTCAATTACATCCAAACCTAAATCCAAATCCAAAACCGGATTCAATTAGATTCCATAGAAGTAGAATCCAATAGAAAAAATGGAAAACAAAGAAAAAAGGAAAGGATCCGGACCTCGTTATCGCATGTGCCGGTGTGTCTCCACCGCCTCCCACCTGCCGGTCTGCAGGCCCTGACCGACCTAGCGGACGGCGGTCTGACCACTTTCGAGGTGAGCGGCGCCGGCTGGCCGTACTGCTCTCTAAGGTCGCTGTTCGGCGAGCTGCCCTCGGCTGCGCCGCCCGCGGGCTTCTTTGACGGAGTGGAGCGGGTGCTGGGGACATTCAAGAGGAGGTGAGGAGGAGGGGGGAAGGGGAAAGACGAACCACAAACGAGTGAAGCTGCTGCCAGGGCAAGAGTGTACCAGAAGGGGGAAGGGGGAAAGGGCGGAGGGGAAAGGGAGGGGAGGAATAAAGGGAGGAGGGAGGGTCGTAAACTCCGTGCGAGAAGCAGGGGGTCATGCGGGTGAAGAGCGCCTCCAAATTGCCAAGCCACAGCAATGGCCGCGTGTCCTAAGCCATGATGCCACTGGCCCTGTACGATCTCAACCGGAAGCTTAGCTCAAATTGGAGACTCATTTGATAAAGTCCAGTAAGTTACATTACCGATATTTTTCTTTTTTTCTGGGTGTGGTGTGGTGTGGTGTGGTGGGGGTAAGACGAACCACTGGCGAATGGTGTGGCGTGTGTGTGGGGGGGAGGGCAAGGCTGAGGGGGCTGGTATTCCTGGGTGGGAAGGCGGCACGCGAACAAGGGGGGGGAGGTAAGGTGTTTTAGGGCTTTTGGGGGGGTTTAGACGAATCCAAATCCCATTCTGGTGCGGTTCCGGAGCAGCTCCAGAAACAGTTAACGCGAGCGGGAGGTGCTAGCGGAGGGGGGAGGTGCTCGGCGAGGTAGGCCAGGTGTTCGGGTTTCGGAGCGTGTGGCTCCAACCCGGACTTAGACACCGCTTGAGGCAAGAGGGTTTCCCCGGGGCAGAGAGGAGGAGGGGGTGTGGTTGGGGGTTGCGGCGGGAGAGGGGTATCGCAGGAGAGGGACAGAGAGAGCGAGGGCGGCACAGGGTGAGGAGGGGTAAGGGCCGGATGCCGAACCGCCAGTGCGAATGGCGATATGGCTAATCGGGGAGTCAGCACATGTGTGTGTATGTGTGTATGTGTGTATGTGAATGTGTGTGAATTTGAGATTATGAATAGTTATAGAAAACTCGATATACATTAAAAGTCATCCGCGAACGTCCAAACGGGTTTGTACGCAGGTACGAGAAGGAGCGCGGTCCCAACCGCATTCAATTGTTGCTCAAGCTGGCTCCCAATGTGTTTGCGGATGCCTGGGCGGCGGGCGGGGCGGCGGGTGCGGCGGCGGCTGTGGAGGCGTTTGTGGAGCGTGCGCGTTCCAATGTGTTTGGTGCTGAGGGTGGTACTGATGCGGAGGGGGCGGTGCTGCCCCTGGACCTGGTGCAGCTGGTGTGGTGGGACTTCAAGGTGCGGACACTTCCTGTCTGTCTGTCTGTCTGTCTGTCTGTCTATCTGTCTGTCTGTCTTATTGACAACCTGCCGGTCTGCATGTCTGTCTGTGTCATGCTGTGCATGTGGACCCTTGTCCTGAGCCTGCCTCGCGCTTTCCGGGGGTGGGCACTGCAGCTTGCCAATGTACGATGCTTTCCTGTCCCTACCCCCTGTCCCTCACCCAGTTGCCCGCATTTGGCCCCGTACACCCCCCTCCCCCCCGACAACACATGCATACATACACGCACACAACAGAACTCGGACCCCCTCCCCGTGCTCAAGACCCTCCAGAAGCTAGCCACGGACCAACTAGAGGTGTGTGTGTTTGGGAGGGAAGGGGTATGGGTGGAGAAGGGGAAAGGGGGGAAAAAGAGGGGGGGAGGTGAGATGCGGAACGGGACGTGTCCAAACACGCACGTCTACATACGGGGTTGCAGCATTGCGTCTTGATCATTATTCCTGTTCACAACCTGCGCTTCCGGCCCCGTGCTAAACATGCTTTGGTGTAACCCGAGCCACAAAAGTCGTTGCAGTGGTAGTTGCGCTCCAACGGTCCTCAACGGCGGGTTGTGCTTGCACAGGTGAACGAGGAGACCGGCGAGGTGGTGATTTCGGAGCCCAAGAAGATTCGTGGCATCGGCCTCATTGACTTCCCCGCCGACCAGCTCAAGGCCGTCATTCAGGCGGGCGTACCCATCACGTGTGTGCAGGTATTAGGTTTGGAGCGGTTGGAAGCGGTTGGAAGCGGTTGGAAGCGGTTGGGTGGCCGGCTGGCTGGGGGGAGTGCCTAGGAGACACATGCATGTATGCACCTGGCTATGGACGCGTGTTTATTTTCGCAGGTTGAATGACCTCCTCCCTACTCAACCTCCCTCCCTCCCTCCCTCCTTTTCCCCTCCCTGGCTTATTCCGCCTGACCTCCTCTTTTGCCCCCTGGCCGGTCTGCCGGTCTGCAATACACACACGCAGGTGGAACACAGTGTGTTGGTTCGCAGCTCCTCTCCCGTACTTGCCCTGTGTGCCCGGTACGGCATCAAGGTCCTCGCACGTGGAGGCACCCTGGGTGGCCTGCTGTCGGACAAGTACCTTGGGGCTCCCCCACCGGACCCCGTCAAGGGTGAGGGAGGGGAGGGAGGGGAGGGAATGTTAACTTTAGGGTTTGAAGGTAAATTAGTATTTGGACCTTCTCTGCCTGCTCTCAACCCCACGTCCTTGTTGTTGCTCTTGTTCTCCAGCCCGGCCCCCCACCCCAACACCCCACCACCCCCCTCCCCAGGCGACCCCGACCTGGACTCGGTTCCCGCCTGTATGGACATGGTCAACAACATCGGGGGCTGGAGCAAGCTGCAGGTCGGCAGCACCGACTGGGCACAGGGGAACGGGGCCGCGGGAAGTGGAGTGCAGTGGGGTGCAGGGAAAGGAAAACCTGTTGTTCCTCTGAACAACCCCCCCCCACACACACCCACATATACATGAACCACCCCCCACATTCATACATCAAGGCATCCAGCCCCACCAAATTCCAACCCCAAATCCAACTCCCCAAATCCACTTTGAAAGTCCAATTTGAAAGTCCAATTTGAAAGTCCATTCAAGACCCTGAATCCAATCTGAATTTCTCCCCGCCCGCATCCCCGACTCCCAGGAAGCCCTGGCTGTCGTGAAGAACGTGGCTGAGAAGCACGGCGTGAAGCCCGAGACGGTGGCGCTGCGCTGGCAGATCGACGCGGGTTGCTTCCCGTTGGCGACCACCCGCTGGGGGCCCCGCGCGTGGCGCCAGTTCGGCTACCTGGGCTGGGGCTCGCAGGAGATGAGCGGTGGGAAGCCGGGAGTGGATGCGGCGCTATTCCAGGTGGGCTTCAGGACGGTCGGGCCACAGAGAGGGGGGTAGGGGGGGGATAAGGGGGGTTGATTAGGGGTAATGGGGGGATGAAGGAAATGGGAACAAACATGCGGTAGGGAAAAGGGGGAGGGGAAATCGGTGTGTGTATGTGTATGTGTATGTGTGGAGGCTGCAGAAAAACGAGAGTTGGTGGGGCCTTTTTCTTACCTGCTTACGTTGCTCTGCTGGCCTTGTTGCTGCATGTGTGTTTGTTCGCCCTTGTCGGTGCCCGCTTGTGTGGTCGTGTTTGCTGTTGGATCCGGATCCTCTTAACTGCTGCCAGCCTTGCACTGCCCATCCCGGTGGTTGCTGCGTCTAGCCCCGAACCGCTCCCCTTATTCAGGGGCCCACAACCACAAGCACTACCACAACCACAACCACAACCACCACCACCACAATCACTACCAATCACTACTAATCACCGGGCTCTTGAATCTTTTTGACTCTGTCCGGGGATGTGGGATGCTGTGTGCAGGTGGAGTCTTTCCTGGACGTGGACGACATGACGCGGCTGGAGGCGCTGGCGACTGTGCATGCGTAGGGGGGAGGAAGGGGGGGGATGGCACCGTGTGTGTTTTGTGAGGGTACATATATGTATGTATGTGAGTGTGTGAGGTGTGAGTGTGTGTGTTTGAGGGCGCGGTGTAAGATGGGAGGAAAACACACCACGCCGGCACAGCGGGCCGCTCCAACCGCTCCAACCGCTCCAACCGCTCCCCTTTGGAAGGGGACGGGCCGGGGGCTGGAGGAAGGCCAGGAGCCAGCAGGAGCTGGTCGCTCGGGTGGCGGGGTCGGGGTGGGAGCGTTGGGGGTTATATGGATGTACGTGTGTATATCTGTTCATGTCGGTTGTTGCGTACTGGGATGTCCGTACGTATCCGGTCAAAAAAACATTTGCGAAAGGGCGTCGGCGGGTGCGGACGATACACTGCTGTACACATACTGCTATGTGCATGTTTGCATGTCTGTATTTATGTAAGGGCGTGCGGACGGCGGTGTTCAGGGGGGGGAGGGAAAACCAGAGCGCATCCGATGTGCGCGAGATCGGGGTGTGTATGTGTGCATGTGTGCATGTGTGTGTGCCGGGTGGAGGCTGGAGAGGTAGATGAGATGTTAGGGGCCTCACCCCTGCACGGCAGGAGGGGGCCTTGACGGAGGAGCCCCCGCCCCGGGGTGGGGAGGGGGGCTGTGCGGGAGGAGGCCGATGTGGGGAAGCTCGGCGGGGAGCTGAAGGGGCCAAAAGGGGGAGTTGAGGGTGATGGGATAAGCGGGTGTGGGAGGGTGAGGGGGGTGTCCGTGATAGGGGGGGGCAGGAGGCCCTAGGAGGGACACCCCTGGAGCCTTTCGTAAGGAGGAGTGCGTATGTATGTATGTATGTCTCATTATCCGCCAGGTGCTGTCGTACACTGTACGTATACCGGTTGCCGTATTTCCAGTTGCGTGGACTTCCATGGTGTGTGGAAAGACTGTACATACGTATGAGCATGTGTGCTGAAGGGAAACACAACTTGTGTACGCGTGTGTGTGTATGTATAAACGTACGTATGTGTGTGTGGTGGTGGGGGGGATGCTGGCAAAGCGTGTGTGTTTGTATCGTGGCATATCGTCATGCAGACATGCGCTTGTGAGTTAGGGGGCGCATCAAAGGCCCCACCCCGTTCCCACGTCCCCGTCCAGCCCCCCACTGCCCCTCGGCGTCCTAATGAGAGCACACCGGCGGAAATGCCGCCGCGGCAAAGGTAAAAGCTAGTAACATAAACATATTTATCATCACGGCAGAAGTACTTTACAGAGCGTCCTGGCAAGCGCACGCAACTTTAACACACACAACTCAGCTGTATGTATTGTGGCGCTGTATGTACGGCGCTGCAGCAGGTGTGCAGCAGCAGCGGAACTTCTCCCTCCCTGCCCATCTGGATCATACCTATCATTCAAAAGGTGAAAAAAACGCTTGGCATTCCATCTATCACTCTCCAACGCACCGGACCGCCACCGCAGTACGGCAATACGGCACCCGCCCGAAAACGCCCTTTCGTCCTTCAAGTTCCCTGTATACGCATCGTCCTTCATCGTCCTTCATGTTCTCTATGGTGTACGTCCCCCACCACCTGTCGCGCGGTGGGTTCAGCAGCTGAAAAGATGCTCAGACGTCGTCTTACAGCCCAGCTGGTCGATTGCCCTTTCAGTTGCGTTTGCAAGTCTGCTGATGTGCGTGTTGTGTGTGGGGGGGTATTTGCACATCGTCGAGCTGACATCTGTGCACCATCTTGCCGATGTCAGGCTTGCCGTGGCGCGTGGCCTTTTTGGGGTGTCAGGACTTGCGGTCGGCCCTCACAGCCCATACCTGGCACCATACCTGGCACCATCACCACAACGCTGTCACAATCGCATACCGGGTAGGGGGACGTGGGTTGGTTGGGAATGCCATGCGGAGGATTGCCGCCCTTTAAGCCTTCGAGCCTTCCGACTTTCGACGTGAACGCGCTCCCCCTGGAGTTTGTGTTAAGTGTACGACATGCACATGGGGCTGCTGGAAAAGAGGCCTACCTAGGTGCCCTGACACGCTAACGGGGCACAGGGCTGCGCAGGGCCTTACGTTATCGCACTACTGCTGTTGTGGGGAGCACCACTCTGTACGGCAGTTGTCTAATCTAGGGTTTCTGGGGAAATGAGTTTCGAGTGCCTGGATTTGCTTTGAGGGAGGAGTTTGGTGCCGAGCTGTCCTCCTTCCTGTGCAATCAGGAATTTTGAATGGAACCGCGCAGAGTGAGAAAAGTCTGGTACAAGCGGCAGGGAGGAAAAGAAAAGGAATGGGACTTTCTATTGCTGTTCTTGTTGTTACAGAGTGGGAAGCTTCTGGGGCGATTGGACACCACATTTGGATTGTGGCTGTTATGCGGAATAATAGGGTATCGCTGCTGTTGCAAGTGACAATCAGCATCCGCTCAATTTCGCCCGTCTGTAGCAGCTAGTCGTATCCGTCCGCCAGTGCTACGCTGCGTTTCGGGCTCAGTTTCCTTCCGTGGAAAAGAGCTTGCAGACGGCTTTGCGGCACCCGTTGGCATTCACATCTCGGCGTCCTAGGTGTTTTACGCAACTTAACCATCCTTCGCAATTCTTCGCACGCTTGGAACCAGCCACTGCGTGAAGCTACGTGAAGCTACGGAAGTTTATGAAGTTATGGTACAGAGAGTTGTTTTAGCTTCATGAGCACGTTGCGGCTACCGTCGCATCCTATAGGGCATCAGCGCGCTGCGCAAGGTAGGAAGCGTGAAAGGGATGGTCGAAGCCAAGGTAACCACCTCAGCCGAGAAAACATTTGCCGCTGTACAAATGATAACATAATAATAATTATAATTAAATAAATACTCTTTATGATAATAACGTACGTTTGTCAGGACGCCGGTAAAGAGCGTGGCAGGTTAGGTAAATACGTCCGGCGGAGGCCTGGAAGGTGCGTTAGATAACAAACTCGCCAAAGCTTTGCCACCCACACACATAATATAATTCATCAATTTGCTGTGTCGGTAACAAATAAGTGCTGATCCAAAATCGAGAGGCATCATGTGGATAAGCACGCGTCTCGACTTTTCCATTAGATATTAGCACAACATCTCTTGCAACTGTGCAATATTTTTCCTAGATAAAATCTGTTTAGTAGTAAATCTAGGCTAAACATCTGGCCTGTGAAAGAGCTGGCTTGGACTTGACTGGGTCGGGAACCTAGCGCAGTGCCGTTATAGAAGTAGGGACGCGTGTTTACTCATGATAAACTGTATTATACAAATTATCGTTAATGTCTTTCTGAATAGTCGTTTGGCTGCGGTGGCTTAAGCGGTGAATCGCAGCCCTCAACGACCGCAACGATGCCCGTGAGCCCAGGCCCTTGCAGTAGCAAGTCTATGGCACAGATACCACAACTCAGGGTTAAAGAGATGACTATGAAAAGCTCTTGTGCCGCTAACGACCATGCTTGCACTGCTGCGCAGCAGCACCATCTGGTCGGCGGCGAGTCAGTGCGAAACGACCCGCCGCCCCGCCCGGCACCCGCCTGCCAGCCATCCACCACGAAGGAGGGCCGCACGACGATGACGTGGGCCTTTCGCCCGTTACGGTGCAGTCGCGAATTTGTTCTACACTTAAAGGACCATACAAATATTGCCGCACAAGCGGTATCTGACGTAGGTTTTTGTCTGGAACCCGGATTTTGCTTGCTTGCTTACTTTCCATTTCGAAGCTATACATTGATTGACTTCAATGCCGGTCAACACCTTGAACATAATTGTGATAGCTCCTTCAAAATTAGAAGCTTGATATGGTGGCACACTATCCGTCGAGCTAACAATTTAAAGCTGGGTTGAGGTTTGAAGCCAGCTTTTGGAGGTTACCTTCCGCAATCTCCTGCGTCGCGTATATATACCGTTGACCACCGTCGCATACCAGGCGACGGCCATTCCCATCACAGGACTGACTGAAACATCAAACTTAACACACAGAACAGTTACTTGCATGCATACATCGAGCAGGAAAGAGGAAAACGGCCGTCCACTGTTCGTGCACTACTCTTGGTCTTACCCTACCACCTTCTTGCGTATCCGGCACCCGTGTTTATTGTTTTTGCGTTTTTATGCGCGCAGCAGGTCCGAGCATTTGTCCCTATGCACGATAATACTTTTTTCTTTCCAGTCTGTTTTCATCAGTTCCCTGCCTGGTGGGACTGTACATGTACAGTTCAGGATACGTTGGCAGAGACAGGCCAAGAGACGCGCGAGGACTTCCCTGGCTAGATAGACGTGCTACGTCCTGCTTGACGAGCAATCGAGTAGCATCCTTCTGTCTTTCAAAACAAATCTGCTGTCTTGGGTGTCGTGAGTGGAAAGACATGTCGTCCCAGCCTTTTTGGAGTATGCCTGATGCAATAACGACGACAAAGCGGTTATGTAGTAGCTGGTACACAGTACGGCTCTACAAATACGCACGTAGCGCGACCACCAGCATCTCGAGAGGCCTTTTCAGCGGCCAGCTACTACCGGTTACGTCATGATCATGATCACGTTCAAGTGGCCCGCAGCTCGCCGCTGAAGTTCTTCATCTCTCCGTCCTTACTTGCAAGAAGCTACAGGATCCCGAGGGGCCTTATGTGTCGGCCAACACGCCGTCGCCTGTATGTGTTGACTCATTGCCATTGCCCACCCGCCCAAACCGTCGCTCATCCTGCCCAAACCGTTGCCCAGCAAGCCAGGGCAATGGCCGCAGGAAGATGGGCACATATGATTTATTTCACGTAAACTCGTAACGCCAGCCACCTGGAAATAAGAGAAAGCAGAAGTAGCTGCTGCTGCTCCTGCTACCCCTCCTGCTCCTCCTACTGCTATTCCTAACCCCTGCCCCTGCCTGGGGTTGCCTTGCCTGTTGACAACCCGTCTCGTGCGTCTATGCTCCCCTGCATTCTAAACCGCGGATGGCGCGTAGAAGCCCCTTGCTTGCTTGCTTGCCCCCCACCAGAACCAGCGACGGTACTTTACGTCCCAAGCAACTACGCACGTACGTATGTACGTTCAGCGTTTCAGGCCGGCAGATAAGCAACTGCATTGAGATAGGCTCAGCCCAGCCAGTTTCAACGGCGCCGGCATGAGCACGCACCGTCACCCTCGTGTGCTCTATCGCTGTATGTCCGCGACCTTTAGGCTCGCGTGTGTGTGTGTGTGTATGTGTGTGTGTATGTGTGTATGTGTGTATGTGTATGTGTGTGTATGTATGTGTGTGTATGTTACAATCCTGAAAATGTCATCCGCGATACCTTCGTGAAAAAACAAATAATGCGACAACTCCGTGACATCTATCTGAGCAACAGCTGGACTTCCATCCTAATGAGAAACAGGGGGTGGGAATGGACTAAGCATGCACGGCAATAACATATTTTACATTCATGCATGCATACCATGACCTGTTGGTTGTTTTTGCTTGTGGCGCTACCTGCTGGCCAAGCTCCACATCCGTAGTACTAGTAGTACTGCTCACAGCCTGGCCGCACACCGTAGTGACTGTCGTACAGTACGGCGGAAACAATAGCTATATATATGTATATATAGGGAGAGAGAGACGCGCCAAAACGCATGTCCAGCATGTCGAGAGGCCTTCTGGGCAGCCAGCTACTGCAGAGCTACAATACCGCCCACGGTCGTATTTATGGTATCGCCAGGTATATACTAAATAGAAGTGCATCCACCGATGCCATATTCGCCCATCGTCGAACAAATTTATATTTTGGCGTATCTGTTTAAGTCGTGCTGACGGTGATGCATACCGTAGTGCTACTTATAGTTCGTGCTACAATAATTCGGGAGGCACCACGAATATGTAGCACGTACAAATTCTAAAGGTATCCCAAGGGACCGCAGCCCCGAAATATCGTACCCACCGAAGACGGTCGATTAAACTTCGCAAAAACTAGGATTTCAAGGCGGAAATCAGCTCTTAAATACATAAAACATAGTCATAAACGTAGGACATGAACAACGCTGGAAAACGTGCAAGGCAGGCAACCCTGCTATGAAACCGCTAGCACCAAACGCTCCGGTGAGCGACCGAGCTGGATTTGCACCAGTTAGGCTTGATGATGCTGTTGTCGAGGCCCAGCGTGAGCGAATGGAGCACGAGGAGGTTGCTAGGCGCGAGCGCAATGCGGTCAATGCTACGGCAGCTGGCGAGGCGAGGCTTGCGCTCACGCCGCAGCCTGGCATTCGACCTGTTGGACGTCCTCTTCAACAAATCCCAAACACTGTATTGGCCCGGCCGGTTGGTTATTAGGTCGTTGCCACTGGTACTGAACTGTACGATCGGTCCAGAATTTGCTAGGGCGTTTCCAAAGTGCGAAAATTGTGAGAGACCATGAGCCTAAGGGTTCCCGGTGGAGGGAGACTGACTGGAAGCTGCAGTTTGAAAAGCCCCGAAACTTTGGAAGGGGCCCCAAAATTTGTATCATGCCCGCAAAATCTGGTCCGGCCTTCCCCGAAATTCAAAGAGCACGTACAAATTTCAGAAAGTTTTTTGACCCCTCCCCGAACAAAGCGATCACGAACTATAAGTAGCACTACGGTACTACATGGTCGTGGGGTGCGTTCCCCTTACCTGCAAACCGCCCAATGCGAGCCTAGGGCTCAAGGCCCGCCAGATCGCCTATAAGCACCGCCCTACCTCGCACTTCAGACAAAGAAAGCGATAAAGCAGACTATCAAGGAAAGGAAACGATAGAGTTGCGGTGGGACCACATACGTTCCAGCATCCTTGCCAGACGTTCAGGTTCCCACTTCATAGCGTCCTTCATATGCTCAAAGCGCGGAAGTCCATAACAGATCTGATTTTGTCGTAAACCGGAGAATCCAGCAAGACATGCTTCTCATCTTCAATATGGCTATCAGTGCCGCAGCAGGGGCATACTCACTCCTCCCTAGGTATATAACGCCGTTCCTTGCGCACTTGGTTCGCCGCCAATGCCCAACCGTGCATCTAACCATTCCGGCGCTCTGTACGACGGTATCTTCGTACAGCCTCAGGCAAGTATATGATAGCCTGATAGCACATGATGTGCGCGCTGTTCTGTGTTGTACGATATTGAGCTTGCTTGCTAACAGCACATAGAGCAATCAATGCGACCTCTCCTCCTGGTCTTCGGCTCGTCTAGACCATACACGGTCCGGTCCGGTCCCGAGCCCTTTATAGAGGCGTAGAGAAGTCCTTGAGTGTCGTGCCCATCTACCGGCGGGCATTAAGTACTATGCAATAGAGCGCGAAAAGGTTGACACAAGGTTTAGACGACACCTGTAACAAATCAACGGCGGAACGACAGCAGCATGCACATACAGCATGGAAAGCGGAGTGGTTAGGACACCCGGATGGGAAGATTACCAAACTCCCAACCCCGATGCAACATTAACCCGAAACATGCTGGCGGTTGGTCTTCCAACCCCCCCCTCATCCCCTCTTTGCGGCAAACCTGGTCCTTATCACCTTCCTCAACGTTGGATGGTACGACAACTTGACAGTGTCTGGACGACAGAGGTCATCGCAGCACGGCCCCTTTGTATATCTGTATTTAGGCCACTGTTGCATGCGTTTGTACGGATGGACCATGCGAGCTTGTATTGTGTTATAAGGCCTTATCTCTCCACAATTATTTCTCACCGTCAGGTTGCCCTCCTGTAACATCCGTGTCTGATTCCCCGGGAGATCAAGGATGGTGACCCAGGCCGAGTAAGCCGCAGGGTTGAAGTCTCCAGCTGTCGCATTAATAGCAGCTCCTGTCGTACAATTGACGGTCGAATGAGGGATAATGGCAATTTGCAGGATGCGCCAGAAGGGGCCACATGCCCCGTGCCCCCGTGCGTGTAAGTTTGCTGCCTAGTGGTGCGTGCTGCTGGTGTGTCATTAGTGAGTTGACACGGTTTCTACTGCTCTGGGAAGAGCCCGAGGCCCTGTATGTTAATCTTCGTTACGGAATGTACGGACCGCCGTTAGTTGTTAAGGGCCCTTCAAGAACTGGCGCCCTCGCGTTCGAGGTTCGTTGGGTTTGCCCGTACAGCGGTTGGGTTCACCTTTTCACTTCTCATTAAGCCGCCAGCAATTACTGCCGAAACCAATGCCTAATGCTTACCTAGACCTGTGCATGCCAGAATATATGCCTAACAACAATGATCGCTGATCGGTCTATCGGTGTCAGTACATGTACGACCTCCTGCACGGCCTGTACGGCCATGTACCTGCTGCACGTATCCGATGTATGCACTTCTCATGACCGAGCCCAGGTCCTCGGAAAAACTAAGAACAAATAAACTGCTCACTAGCTAGGCGCTTCCCCAGGGAGTTTCGAACCCATAAGGATCTGTTGCGACCCACGGGACGCTCCCTCAAGTAACCATCTTTTGCTCAATCCTGCGCCTTACCTCTTGGTACAATTAAGTCGCCGGACGCCGGCACATGGGAAGTCACAATGGATGGACGAAATCGCATTAGTGATGGCCAGTTGTTCGCCTGTGCATGTGGGCAAATTTAACACGGCGCACTTGCGATGGGTGTGTACGTACTCGTGCATGTACTGCAGGGAGGGGCAGGTTTTGTTGGTATATACATACACGCACTTGTGGACAGCTTCAAGATGCTCGGGCACCGAAGTATAACTAAGGACGAGCGGCTTTTTGGTCATCAGCGTTTTTCAGCTGCGTATGTCGTCACTGTACTGCTACAGCAATTGTATGTGTGTCGCACACCCAGCCACTAATAACGCTGAAAGCACATGCTCGTGCTCTTCCATTACCACTCTGGCCACATGTATTTGCCGGCATAGCAACAGCAGGCCAAATGAACCGGCCTGTAAATATAACATATTTTTCGCACGTGAGGAGTTTTATATTCAGCTTCTGGACGTCTCCCGGGAACATACCTGCTGACATGCCACCCAGGCGATTTTGTCCCTAAGGGCATAAGACTTTACAGCGCAGACCGGCGCCCACACCTGGCCGCCACCGCCGGGTGCAGCGACCTGCCGCACGCGCGCCGCACACACACCATAAGGTTACGTGATGTCAGTCAGGTTTAGTCTACCACCATGAAAGTGTCATGGAAGTCACATGTGGAAGAGCACTCGCAGGCCGACTTGCCGACAGCAAATGAGTACCGAGCAGCAGAAGCAGCCGCATGTGAGGTTCTAGCTGTCCAAGTAATAAGGCAGCCTAGTAGGGTAAAGTGACAGTTATTCATGAATAACGTTTTTCTCAGCGAGACCGCAACCCTGATTGGCTGTCAGGTGTACGCTGGTGATTGGGGCCCTGCCGCTGCTATGTACTACCTAGGCGTCCGTCCTACGCAGCATAAAAATATTCTGTCTATTTATTGACGCTCTGCAGCTGATATGTTTTATATGTATATGTGCTAATATGTATATCGTCTGGGCAGTTTTAGATCGTCTATAAATCGTACCTTGGTATAGTAGAATGAACAGTCCCAATCTAATGTGCTAGAACGCGATATGTACAACAAGTTAATCATAAATTTTACATTGCCTTGCTGCTGCTGATCTCGCCATGATCGCCGGTGATGCGCACTCCAAGCGATCAATCGGGCAACCGGCATGGAGCTGGCACGAATAAGTTTGCCCCGGCGAGGACACCCAGGACATGCTTACCTTCATCATTAAGCGACCGTACGTCTTGCAAAACGCTGGATCAAGCGGGCAGAGGTTTGATTCCACCGTGTCCTTTGCCGTAAAGCCCCCGATCACCTGAACGTAATCTTGGTCTGCGCGCGGTGGTGGGGTTTTCGTGCGGCGCAAAAACGACATGTTTATATTTGCGTGGCGATGCTGACAACCCAATCAAGCTGTCGGCTGGCGTCACCAGACATGCAGGTCAGGGTCACCTTTAGTAGTCTAAGCCGGCGGCTAAGGATGCAGACGCCCTCCACGGAGCACTGCGAACTCCGGGAACGGACCTATCTGATAAAAGGTAAGTTCGTTAATATTTCGTTAATATCTGAGGCCTCCTTTACGCCTCGACGTGCAGTCACTAAAGGCCTGCTGTGGGTTGTCCAAGTAGCAGCAGGCCCAGGACGTTATATTAAACCTTTTTCTGATATGGACACGGCCATGGTTATATATCGCTTATGAAGGTTCCTTTAGGGTTCAGCAGCCGTTGCCACCCACAGTGAAATCAACAAACATCTTGAGACAAGATAGCCCTCTGAGGGTGCGTGAACGAGGAAATGTAAATAATAACGGTCAAACAACCACCTGATGGAGGTTGTCGAGCATGCAGATGCGCAGAAACGCATAGACCCGGCGGTGTTCACGCGAACGATAAGAGGATAAAACCCTTCATTGGCCAAACAATCATACACAGTAGAGGAGCCCCATCTCTGCCATCATGTTCATTGCAGTAGTTTCAGCGCATTTACATACGCCTTCAGTGGTCCGGGGGACCCAACCAACAGGTAGGGCGGGGTGGATTACTTTCGCCCTCGTCACCCGCAACAAGCAACGGCACGTGAATGTATTTTTTCCCGCGCGATATGGTTGGACATACATACGGAGGACTTACAGGGGAAGGGACTCGGCGGAGACGGCGGAGACGGCGGCAGTGGCGGCATGGAGGAATCTGTGTGCGGGACGAAAGCGGTGATCGCGTAGTCAGCGGAGGAGCCAAGCATGATGATCAAGCTGACTAAAGACACAGGCCTTAGGTTTTTATTATACCCCAAATGCTACGTAACAACAGCACAGTGTTGCCAAGAAAAGTAGCGGCGGCAGTAAGAATGCCGACGCGCCCCTACGTTCTTGGACAGCTAACATCCCGCCCCCAGCAAATATGTAGCGGATACTTACTGGAGCACTGGATGCCGGCAAAGGGGCCCCTTGGCAAACAACCCCCCAGGATGAAGCTGCAATGCAGCCCGATTTCATCGGGGATGTCCACGGCAAAAGAGGTGTACGAGAGGACCCGCTGGCGCGATTGATGGCTGTGACGATTGCCGTACAACTCAATCGACTCTCCGTCATTAGCTAGCTTCGATGCGCTGTCACCATCAGTAGTGGAGGCCGGATCGCCCTCGTGGTGGCGGCTCATCATTAGCCCACGGCGGCGGCGCCAGTAGGGGCTGTCGCTGCAGCTAAGCTTCGTGGCAGAAAAAATACCCTTCCTGTAGAAAGTGAGCGTACGTACGGCAAGAAATTGAAATCAGTGGACGTTTGCGTAAATACAAACGTCGATTGCAACAACTAGCGAGTGGCGGGCGCTGTTTATTCAGCCTAGGGCCTAAGTCGTTGCGTGCTGACTCAGCACAGGGCTAGGAAAAGCGAAGAGGGGGTTGCCAAGAATCACACAGCTAGCTAGCCAGTCGGCCAGCCAACAAGTCGTGCAGGCGGCAGGACGTCGGGGCGGGGCGGGGCAGCTGGAATGGTGCACACATGCCACAAAATGCAACAACTAGCAATAGCTATTATAAGGAAGTGCCCACAAATATGCCTTATGGCGTCAGTACAATTAAGAGTATCATCTGTAGAGACCAATCAGGGTCATATACTCAGTCATCTTGTCGCAACTTCTGCGTGCCATCCTCCCATGCGTCGCAACTGTTCTTATAGGTCCATGTCGTCGCAATCCGACCCAATGTTACAGTCACTCTATCGTCGCTATCGTCGATTATTCATTTCTGCTAGAAACATTTCGGGCTTAGGCGCACCCTTTGTGGTTGGCACAGTCGCTTCGACATGGCCCTGGCTTGTCGCCGTTGGCAGGCAATGCCAAGTGTGCGACGGGCGACCGGAGTTGATTGCATATGAATGTACACTCGGCCCACCGCCGACTGTCACCGCAAGGAGCAGGATTCCACACGCATATAAATATACCGCGAACTCCCTCGCCTGCTTGCCCCGCCACTGGGGCCACCCCACCGGCAGCCCGTTACCTCAAGCTTTAATTTCGGCTCCCCGACCCCGACCAGGCATCCGCCCCGATAAGCAACGTACACTGAAGAGTTAGTGACCGATGCTGAAGCATATCTTCTTCCGTCCTTGTAACCAAGCAGCTGACACATGGTCTGCATGACAACAAGTTGTGTACGAAGGTATGTAGATAGAGGGAACTATTGTAGGGTAGACGTCTACCCACTGCTGTCGACAGCAGTGCATTAAAAAATAGCTAGTACATACCTACCCACATACATAAGTGCATGCACACACACAGGTTTCCCACCCCAGGAGGCAGGGACATCGTGTTATACCACATGACTTCAGAAAAGTACCGATCGGCGGATGCAAGATCCCGTGATATGCTCTCGAGGATATTACTACAGAAGGGTAATGCCTGTTATGTTGTTAATAATGCATAATACTAATGCCATATGCTCCCCGCCACGGATCGGCCGCATGGGTTTCGGGCCCTGACTGCCGCCCTCCGCATGAAGCGACCACCTGCAGTGAATTCAAATAACTTCTCGACAAAGCAAACTAGATACATACTGGGGACCCTGTTCGTCCTGCCCGCCTGAGACTTACATCCTTTGCACCAAGGAAACTACTTCCGGTGCGTGTTCTTGCAAATGTTATGCATGGCAACTAAGTGGTGGCGTAAAATGACAATACTTGCCAGGCTTCGACTTTCGTCGTGATATTATTTTAGCGGCTGCTGCGGTTGTTTATTTACCCACCTACCGCGGCTGTAGCGTCGGTGAACACTTCGGCGCAGACAGGGAACCATAAGGTCTTGTTTTCATATCCCGGCATTCCCCAGGTACCTGTGGTTGACACCTCGAGGCGTCCCCGTGGACCTGAACCCAAGGTTATCCGCACACCATTCCTGCTGCCTGCGGGAGCGGGGGTTTGTTGCATAGTTGAGGATACGGGGTTTAACGGTCGTGTGGCCGTGTGTGTGTGTGTGTGCGTGTAACGGACCAAACATAATATCTCACCCGGCTGAAACGCGTTATTGGTACTATATAGCATTCTCTATTGCAAGGTATCTCGCCTGTACCCAACAAAAATCGTATGAGCACAAACAAGTTTGGCTGCCTCCATTGACCGAGGCCAAAGTCACATCAACGCCTCTCGTGCTAAATTTAAACTTAAAAGGTGCCGTGTATCTCATAATTGAATTCTGAGATGACGGCGTATGATAACTCGAACACCCAGCTTGTGTTACCTGGTAACCGGGTTACCGGGCAAATGATCCATTTGCCCGCACGGGCATTCCGACTTGTCACCGGCAGGCCGACAAATTTGCTTTCATTTCACTATGAAGTACGCAAGCTGTTCGTTTGTACAATTAATTTGGCCAATGGCAGTGTGCCGCGGCGGCTGTGGGGCGGATTGCTGAAGCCGCTGGCGCTTCGGGGATAACCTTCACAGACAGCACCGGAAAGCGCTGAGGGCTTGGGGGAAGTGTGTCGAGCTAGGCTTTGAGGGGGGTGCCAAGGGCGCGTGAGCTGGCGGGTCAATGCCTGAAGGGGCGCCGTAGGCAGTGCGTACGGTGCTGTACGGCGCTGTTTTCCGTGTGTGTTATGGCGGCGGCACCAGACCGCAAAGCCAAGAAGCTGACGGTGGTGCCGGTAACGGCACCTCCGAATCATACGTTTACGTTCAAGCAAGGGGCTGTCGGTGGCAGGAGGTCGCGGACCTCCAGACTGCGTGTAACGGCCAGTGACTCTTAGCCGTGTCTGCTAGGTCCCAGAGAGACACCGTCCCTTCAACAGGTTATGAGCCCCGGCTTCTGCCTCCCGCGCTCTGACAAGCATAGCTCCCACAGCATCAGCACTGCTGCAACAAGCACAGCTCCCACCACGTTGACACTACCCTAGCTACCGGTCTGTACGGATGCAGGGGGCCCCCGCCCTATTTCCGGCTTCGAGGAGCCGACACCCGACTTGTCGGAGCGGCATTCGCTGGAAAGAGCCAAACGGATTGACGGTTATCAACGACGGGCTTGGCGTCCTAACGACAGCTGCCGCACGCGACAGCTGTCGGGAAGCTGTTCTGGTTACGACGGTTCAGTGCTGATGACAATATTGATTAATGCTATCACAGGCCATCGCTTTTTGAGCCCTCCTCTGGTCAGGCAGGCACGGGGTGTGGAGTGCATGTCCATCCCGGGCTGCAAGCTATAATAGATCAAAGTACTGCACATGTGCTGCACGAGATGGTTTATTCCCTTTGTGTGGTGATTTTTTTTACAATCTTCAAGTGAGAGCGACGCCACCGCACAAGCAACGTATCAGATGCTGCTGATGGCCCGAAACTGCCCCCAGATTTGAGACACGGATTTTGCAGGTCCAGGGGTTTATGGCGCCGGGATGGCAGATAGCTGATTGCTGCGAGGCTAGGAGTTGGAGGGATCGTTACTATATAAAAACAGGTAAATGGATTTGTGTGTTGGAAATCCATTTGTCTAAATAATTCTATTCGTCCCATCTCGGAGGTGTAGCTAGAGCTAGTACCCTGGGAACGTGCCTTTAACGCTGAATCTAGATGCCGGTCTGTGCCGTGCTTCCTTGCCTGGGGCAATTGCTAGCTATCATTTACTGCGTGGGCGCATACCTTGCACGAGGCTTGTTTGCTGAGCCATTTGTTCCCTGGCCTTTCGGAAATGGTACAAAATTTCGTGGACCGGCGGATCATCAGCGGCCCGTTAAAGATAAAGATAAACCACATCGCAATATTCGGATCTGCTGCAAATCCGTAAGCAAGGCAGGTTTGCGGGTTGGAATCCTAATTACGTATCCCGTCGCTAGTCCTAATTAAGAATCCCGTCGCTTAGGATACCAAGCAGATACAGAGTAGCCTATATAGGCAATGACTCCAACACGAAAACCCCTCCATTCACTGCTATCCAATCAGTGCGTGTACGGTGTTGAGGAAGGGGGGAGCCTGGGCAGTTTTATCCGCTCTCGGTTGATCTGCTTGGATGTCTACCGCCACTTTTAGTGCTATTACTGTTAACTCATTCACTCATTCATATTTTTCCCGCGCGCAGCAACAGCTTTGGTCGCTGGGATATATGGTCGCTGGGATCAGGACTCGCCCCCGCCCGCTGGGTACGGCAGGGGCCTCACTCAAGAGCAATACCGAAGCCGCAGCTGGCCGTTATGTTTGTCAGTCATCATCCTGGTTATGAGACGGTGGCGGCCACGAAGTCCACGATGTGCGTGCTCCCTAAACACATAGATATCACGTGCATGTATGTATGTATGTATGTGTGCAACTCACTAAGCATAGCCCCCCCAAATTCCCACGTATGCCGGTTGCTTGTTGCACAACCGCAGTCAGACCGACCGTGGGAAAAACCCCAGCTGCCAACTTACGGACATATGCCGCTGTGGCGGGGCGCCCTGCATATGGCGCAGAGGGGTTGGGGAGGGCATTTCATTGGGATCGTTCTTTTAACTATCGGACAAGACCCAAGGTTAATGATTGTGATGACCTTTGAATGTCGCGACAGGAGCATGGCGGCGAAATGAAGCGCTGGGTGCGAAACTAGAACCAGCAGCGGATGAAGAGTGCCACTGCGCGGCTATTGCACATAACCTTGCACTGAAATGCTAAACACAGCAAACCGCCGGAATCAAAACGTTTGAGACAGTATTTTGTGCATAGACAATGGCGTTCCGCGGATAGCAGGCCAGGAGACGCAACAACTTACAAAGTAAAATTGCCACAGAAAAGAATGTCAACGTACTGACCAAGCACTTTACAGCCATATTGGGGTTGTAACGAGGTAAACTCTCCATGGCCCGTGTAAGCCTATACATAACAGCTGCAGCGCACAGCAATTATACCTATCGCATTTACTTGAGCCTAGAATGAGGTTCAATACGTTCAATACGCCTTTTATCGTCTGCCATCTTGGACTACGGACGCCCAACGTACGGAATACAAGAAGGACCGCCCGCAGTCCTAATTTAGCTGTCGTAGCTTGCCGCCGCCGAAAACATATTCATAATCTTTCCACCAAATTACCATAAGCAACGCGCGTTTTTTATTCAAATTGAAAAATCCGCCTGCAACCGTTGCTGAAGCGTCCGGTACTTAGGCGTGAAGCTATACGCAATTTTGCCTTATTTGCGGGCAACCTCTTTCCCAGTGAAAAATACTTTCTGATAAAAGCTCATGCAATGAGCTTGCCCGGCGAGCGGAGTGCAAACCTGAAGTGAATCAAAAGCCGCTGCTGGCAACCGTACGCGCATCGATCTTGGAATAGGATGGCTTAAATAGACGATCGAATGTTTAGACGTTGCCAGACCCCACAACCGAACCATTCTCTTATGCCATATGAGCACAAATATCATCCAGCGGATTTTGCATTATCCATTACTATTTTTCCGGCGGCAGCTACTTGTTATGCAAACCTGCCGAGGTAATAAGGAGTGCTGTGGGGTATGTTGTGCGCCTGTGGGCGAAACGAGAAATGCAAATCAATGCAGGCCTGCATGCATATAGGCTAAGCAGCCTCATCCGGCAGTTTGGTTGGTTCCTGCCTAGCAAGGAGTCGCGACGTTCAAATCCCATATGATGCAGACTGGCGGCCGCCCCCGGGAGGGGGCCGGACCCACAGTGACCATGGAAATGTGTGTGTGGTTGTTACAGTGGGCTCCAGACTCCCGAAGAGTAGAGCCATCGGGCATGGAAATGGTCTAGGTCGAGGACGTCCTCACCTGGAGGGGGGTAAATGCCGTATTTTGGGCATATCACGGGATTTACATCCACCGATTGGTGCTTTCCTAAAGTCGTGATACAACAGACGACACCCGCTAGCTGGCTGTCGATTGCAATCTTCCCGAACTGACAGATGTCCTACCTAAGAAACGGACAGATGTGATGGGCATGCCCCCTTCATGGATTGATGGGCTGTTTGGCGCCATACCTGCCGGACCTGACCATGTGCTATGAAGCGGCACATGTTTTAAGACCCGACAAGGCTTCTATGTCCTTCCATACGCGTGCCGCCTGGTTAGGCAACGGTGGGCGATCGAGCTTTGAAACAACACTCTTAGGCGATTTGTAGATTCATATTGACATGTGTCATATGGACCCATATGCCATATGTCAGAGCTAGATGCTGTATCCAGGTTTGTCCTGCTGGGCTGCCATGTCGTGTTACGAAATTGCTAGCCCTCTGACCGCGGAAGTTTGCAATGCAAAAAATGTCGAAAATCTTGCAATTTCGGTTGTTTGCAAAACAAATTGCGGTTGCGAGGAAGTGAAGTGCGCTCCAGCATACGGCTTACAACTCAAAATGTCGCAATAAATTGCAAGTCGCAAGCAATCGCCCATTTTTATATGTGAGCAGGTACGTGATTCGGCTTTCCGTGCCTGTAAGGCGGAAACTCAAGTACTCGAGTTTGTCGGCATAGAACTGTGCATTTGGGCTTAAGATTCCTCACTCGTGTCATATTCGGCTATGGCCGAGACAGGTAAGCATAAATACACTGAAGTAGCATGCGGCATATGTGGCTTCGTCTGCCTCAGCAACCCCATGGGATCACACAAAAGAAAATGCCAACATGTTGTATACTGAAAGCTTTCTGCGGCTCTGTGGCCTAACTGTCCGTTGTAAGTTCGTCCAGCTCGATTACTTTAACGCGCCCTGTAATTAACTAGAAACCCGTTTATATTTGCCGACTATGAAATCAGGTCTAACTGATACTGATGTTAGTTAACCGGCGGCTTGCGACTACTGCCGGTCACGTTCGTCGTTCAAACACCGCACCGCTGCGGAAGTCCATACCTGCGCATGGGCGGGGGCTTTACCTGAATAAAGCTGGGACCTGCGTCCCTGGTTCGTCTGTTCAACCGACCGAAAGTAATTACGGTCATCTGAAAATCGCGCTGCCCAGTCGTACTGGAGGATTCCTCGGCGTGAGACCCAATTGAAGTCCTGCGACTACTTTACCAAATCATTTATCTCAACTGGTATCTTCAATCGATACCATCACTTTGTGGTTGTGTGATAATACACAACATAACCTGGAGCAGCAACAACAAGGTATAGGAACTGGTGAATAAGCTCCTTCTTGGCTACGCATGTGCACAACACACCTCCAGACATACATGCAGGGCAATCACTTGTGGAGCTGATGGCTGGTCCTACCGGAACCTTGGAGGCGGCATCAGGCACTCAGCTAGCTGAACCTCTGGCAGCAGCCCAGTCTGTGCAGGGCAATTTTGCACCTATCTGACAGGTAGCATGATCCAACCATTTGTTGAGGCTCTTGCTGACAAGGTTTTCACCCTGTCACAGGCTGGCTAATTTGCGGCACGGCCCAAGTTCTTGTTGTATTGTACTGGGTATTTACTTTTTTGAAGTCGTGATATCACACTTTGTCACCACCAGTGGGCAGCAGACTTACGCCGTGCTGCCAGTGCTGCCACCGATCAGTGCTTTTTAAAAAGTGCCACATGCCAGTGGTTACTAGTGACCAAGTGCTTACTAAGCAAATGATTCCCGGAAGGTGGTCACTAGGAAAGTTTTGGAGTCACCTGCCAGTAACCAGGTGGTCGCCAGGAAATTGGGCCACAGAACTCCAGGAGTGATGGTTCACTGGATCCGGCTCAGGTAGAGTCAAAGTTGGTGAAAGCTTGCTCAGACTGCTTCTCAAGTAGTTCATTACTTTATGGACTAGTAATAGCTTAGCACTGAAAATGACCCAAATGACCCCAAACACAGTTGTGTTGGATGTTGTTAAGAAAGCCTGTGTGATGTGGATGTGGGAACAGATATGACACGGAAACACAGACCAGAGGTTTGCAAAGGGGTCCTAATCCTCTAATCCAGCGGGTGGATACCAGTCAGCCATCCTCTAATCTCAACAGGAGTGGACCACTAGCACTCCTAATTCCTAATCCAGAGTGGTGGTCTTATCCATATCCTAGGGGCGGGGGGTTGTAATCCTCATCCCGCTGCAGTATCCCAATCCTAATCCCGCCCGACAGTTGGGCGCCAAATCCTATTCCTGTGGTCAGGGCCGTAATCTGTATCGGGGAGCTGATATTGCAATCGTAATCGTGTGACTGGTTCAGTAAACTTAATTTTGGCTGGGGACCCAATCCTAATCCAGCTGGGTGCACAGCTGGGTGACGTCCGCAGCACAAAGCAGAGAAAGCAGCTCAGCTGGCATATCACAAGCTTGTGCCTACACTCAACCTGCTCTGCATTATCCACGGCAAATGATCATCTGGTAGGCAGAAAAAAGCTGCCCATCCGTGTAGCGCAATCTGACAAGCAAGAGCTTGTATAAATGTGCTGTTGCCAATGGGCCGCTCTCCCATGGCCACTTTGCGCTTGTGCACACTCGGTGGTGTGCCGGTGTTGTCCTCAAGAGGGCTTGTGTTGTACCCCGGGCATGTCACGGGATCTGCATCCACCGATCGGTACTTTTCTGATGTCGTGATATAACAATTGTTATCGAACAAGTGTTTCCGTTCCGACCCGTACCGATAGTGGCAGCTAGCACGGATGTTGGCGGGAACACATGTACATATACATGTACACGCAGCTTGCAGGTGGCCCACGCATTATACGCACTTATTGCTGGACAAGGGGCCAATACAAAGCGTAGTAATGTGCTCGCTGCTGGCTGCTGGAGTCTGCTGGGCTCAAATTCTTCCATCTAATACGCCAGACATACCGATGGGGAAGCCCCACCAACCGAAGAGTACAGCAAGGCCCCAGGAACGTAGAGGTCCAGGGCTCCGGGCTATTCCGCGTGCTGGCGGGATTAATCAGTTATGTGTTCGGGAGTGTCCGCCTGGGACTAGTCCAGTTAGCGGGCGCCTAAATTTCAACCCGTAATTAGTGTTCGGGTGGCAGGCTGGCAGTGGGCACCTCACCCCGCTTGCAGTAGATATCCCTTCCGTCCTCGCATAAGAGCAAATATGCTGGAAAAGCGCTTCAACCTACTTTACAGCCCTCGTTATACGCTTACCGTTACAAAGCGGCGTTGCAATACTTGCAATGCCGGTATCATTTAACCATCTTAAACCTCTTGATAATGCCAAGAATCTAATAAATTCCTGATTGGGCAGGCGCAGCGGTCGCATCTTTCGGATGCTCCATTTTGGGGGAGTTGTACGGCAGCACGATGAGACATTCACCGCGCGTAAGGCTAATGCTCCCATTTGCGTTCAACGTTATGTATCTGCTTAACGGAACATTGGAAACCGCCGGGCTTGCATTTTACTCAAAATTCTAGGTATGCATTGTTGGGGATCTTGTCGCAACCACTTCTTAGCTGTCCGACCGAGTTTGTCCTCCTTTGGTATCGTAGGTAGGGTCTGATTTGTTGCCGTCGGTTCGCTTGCTGCAGGGCTGCTGTGGAATCCCGCGCAAGAAGAGTTACTTTGAAAGAATGTCCGACAATGAGATGGAGGTGGAGGAGCAGCAGGAGCAGGAGGAGCAGCAGGCGGGGCCCAGCAAGCGTGGCAACAAGTCGGGCAAACGATTTGAGATTAAGAAGTGGAACGCCGTTGCCATGTGGAGCTGGGCTATTTGCACAGACACGTGTGCTATCTGTCGCAACAACCTTTATGAGCCAAGCATCGAGTATCAAGCGAACCCGACGGGAGACCCGGACCACCCCGGCCTCAGCATTGCGTGGGGCTGCTGTGGTCACGTCTTCCACCTGGACTGCATTCAGCGATGGTTGAAAACACGTAGTGCCTGCCCCCTCTGCAACAAGGAGTGGGAGTTCGCAAAGATCGAAAAAATCCTTCCCGGTGGAGGAATGGTGGGCTTGGAGTAGAGCACTCTGTAGTGGGGGTTGGGCAGGGATTTCTAATGCACGGCACTGTACGCAGACGGAACCCTTTATCGAACAAGATTTCGCCTTGAGGGTTTGAAAAGGTTTTGCTTCCTGTATATTCGTTCCCGGCGGGTCTTCAGCAGCGATGTACGTGAGGGATGGCTACCCATCTGCAGCTCCTATCCGCCCAAGCTTGAAGCCTGCAGACCTGGGGGTATCGCGTCGTCCCAGTGGTTTACGTCCGTGGATGCTGGATTACTCCAGAGCACGTCGCTCCCTAATGGGGACCTTCATACATGGAGAACGCAAACAGACGGAGTAACTGACCCTGTCCTGCCATTGGACTTAAGCGGCCTACAGTAAAGCCCAGGGGTTTTCCTGCGTTGGGATATTGTGGCCGTCCTTTCCAAGTTCTGGGGCGCTGGGGTTGCACAGCAGGGGGATGAAGTGTTGGCGGCGTTTGCATGCTTGCATGATGAAGCAGGATGCTGGATGACCGGAGTGAGCATCGCTCCCGCTTTAACATGGCTCGGTTTCAGGACGGCTAAGGCTTCGTGCAAGGCAGCCGGGAGGCTGAGGGGAGCCTGTGGGCCGCAGAATGCTGCAAGTCAGTGTTGCTTAACTCGAGGCTTAACTGAGGACCATGAGATCTTAGTCCCGGTCAGTCGGATGGATTTTCAAGGCGACCATGTGCCGCAGCTGTGCAGTCATCAGGAGGTGGGTCTATAACCCTATTAGCCGAGTAGGTATTGAAGCAGCAATAGCTGCGGCAGCAGTCTTGATGGGATAAAGCCGTCATTCTGTACAGCCCACAAGCTGTAGAATAGGACCTGTTCAGGCTGCGTGTGAGGGCAGTAATTAGAAGCAGCGGCTTCAGGATGTACGGACTTATGTGTCCCCTGTGCTGGGCTTCCTTCCGTTTGTGGAATGAAGAGTGTCTTGGTTGGTTAATCGCCAGGCTGCTCAGATTGAGAAGCATGTAGAAAGCGGTTTTGTAACGCTTGAAAGTTATTTGGCTATGCCCCCATACATGTGTAGTTACAATCCTGTAGACCTGCAAAGTTGCTTGTGGAACAGAAGTCCGTGTATCATTCATGCTTCGGGTTGGGATAAGCAGCTCCCACAAGAGCATATTCCTCAGCACAGCCAGAGTTCGTCCGATAGCAGGCGGGTTGTTTAGACAGTCACCACCGTTGTGTCAAGGCATGTCGTCGTGAATGCACTGCCACGTCATTCTTGTCACAACTCGTTGCGCGCCTGCTATTAGTGGTTTGGAGTAGTAGGCTTAGGAGGTAACATTTGGACCGAACATAATTGCCAACCGCCCCAGGAAAGATCCTCATCCTTCAGTTACACTCCGTTCTCTCCCTGCGCCTGGCCAGACGCCAACCAACCACCGCTAATGCCCAATCAAAAATCAACAACTGGTACGGCTGAGAACTGGCCCCGTCACTGCAAATGTCTCAATTGTTGATCATCTGAGATGCTCGTTTCCAGAAACCATGTGTATATCTTCAGAACGTAAGCACGCATCGCAGGCACTCCCCTGCGTGCAGCAGCTCAAAGGCCTCATTAATCTGGTCAAACTTGAGGTTGTGGGTGATGTATTTGTCGAGCAGGGTCTTGCCCTCCATGTACTCAGTGACCAGGTCGGGCACCTGGACCCGGCTCTTGTAGCCCCCGAACGCCGTCCCCATCCAGCGGCGGCCTGTAACCAACTGGAAGGGGCGTGTGCTGATCTCCTGGCCCGCAGCCGCAACTCCGATAATCACCGACGTGCCCCAGCCACGATGGGCGCACTCCAGTGCAGCGCGCATCACGGACACGTTGCCAATGCACTCGAAGCTGGTGGGAGTAGGCAAGACAGGGGAAGGGGGGGTGTTGGATTAACAGAAACCCACACAGGAACCGCTTTCCTGTGCTTCCCTTCCGGTTCCTCCCATTCCCTTTCCTTCCTTACATCCTTGCCTACACTACTTCCAAAGCCTTTTCCACTTGTGTGTCCACTTACGTGTAATCGCAGCCCCACTCCGTCATCTCCACAATCACCTGCGAAGTGACAGGCCGCCCGCGTCCTCAATTGGTAATCCGTTGAAGCAAACCAAGGACTGGGACTGTAAAAGAGCAGGGCGCCATGCATTAGGATTGGTACCCAACACTCAGCATCAATACTATTACATTTTAGCCCTTATAATCGCGTGGGCGCCATGCATATGAAAATACCCTTTGACTCATTGGTGAAACTAAGACGAACGATAGATGCCAGCAACCCTTCCACCTTTTCCTTCTGCCGCCCTCCATTACCTGCTGAATGGGTTTATCGTGGTTCTTGGGGTTGATACACTCGGTAGCCCCGAACTCCTGAGCCGCCGAGAATTTGGACGGGTTGATATCCACACCGATGATCCTCGCTGCGCCCGCCCGCCTCGCCGCCTCAATGACCGCCAGGCCCACTGCGCCCAGCCCGAATACCGCCACACTGCTGCCGGGCTTCACCTTGGCCGTGTTAACCACCGCCCCCCAGCCGGTCGACACTCCGCAGCCAAGCAGGCAGACCTTGTCCAGGGGCGCTGAGGGGTCGATCTTGGCCACACTCTGCTCGTGAACCACCGTGTACTCGCTGAATGTGGAGGTGCCCATGAAGTGGAAGATGGGCTGAACACGGGGCAGGGCAGGGAAGGCTTTGTGTCCGTTGAATGGTTCCATCAATATGAGCCCGCTCCCTCCTCCTCCTCCTCCCGACCCCTCCTCACCTTGCCATCCACGGAGAAGCGCGGCTTGCCGTCCGACTTCATGACGCCTTTGCCTGACCGCCAAATGGAGCAGCAGTAACAGAGCGCCGGGTGGGTTATAGAGAGGCACGGGTCGGGTCATGAACGGCAGGAGCGCAGCAGTCATATATCATGTAATGCCCGCGAACCGGCTACGGGTCAATGACCAACACTCGCCTGAGGGAGCCCCTCCCCTTTCAACCCGGCCCCGACTCCCCCACCTGTAAAAGCGCGCACCGAGACACATAGGTTGGACTCCGGGTGCTTGCAGAACTTGCACTCGCCGCAATAGGCTTGGTAACAGGGTATGACGTGGTCGCCTGGTGGGGAAGGGGCATGGGGAGGACAATGGAGGCGACAGGAGGACAAACACAAGACGGTGGACCACGAGAACGGGGGAATTCGGCAGCAAGACGGAACACGGCCGGCCAACTGTCCAGCTGGGAGGCGCAGGGCAGGAGGCACGAGCCGTACAAAGGGGACCTTTGGGCTCTGCAGAGCGGAGCAAAGTTAAAGCAGTGCGGCACATGCGCGGGGGGGATGTACTGGCAACGCATCTGGACCGGCAGGTTTGTGGCATGTGCGGATGTGTGAGCGGGAGAGTGGCAGGCAATGACAAGAGCATTACCTGGATTTACAGACGTCACGCCCTCTCCCACGCTCTCCACAATGCCCGCCGCCTCGTGCCCCAGGATGCATGGGAAGAGGCCTGCAAGGCAGAGAGGCTGTCAGGTCGGGAATGGAGGGCTTGAAAGGCCATGGGAAAGGGCACCTGGGACTAACGAGGGCGATGGGAACCTAGAGCTGGGTTCGTGCTGACAGTCCCGAAGCGAACAGCACGGCGACGAGCTATGCCGTGCCATACTTGGTTTGTTGCTCAGCCATCCATGCTGCTTTGGAACTCACCCTCTGGATCTAATCCGCCTAACGTGTAAGCGTCCTGGGCCAATGGAGAGGAACAGGCAGGTTGCCAGGCAGATGCATGAATGACTTAACGGCATAAGAACCTATCGTATGTTCGTGCGTGACACGTGCAGGAGACTATGCGTGGAGGCAAGTCGCATGGAGGCGGCAAGTGGTTAGTCGCTATAGTGCTAAGGGCTCCCGGCGAGAGATAGGAAGTCAACTAGGGATTCATCATGTTTCCCCTTTGAGCCCCAAGGTGCGGAAGTTTCGCTCAGAGTGCAGGTGCAGCGGGCTGCTTGGTTTGGAGGAGCGCTGCCGCAGAATGGGCCCCTCAGCTCCAACGTTCCGTACGGGAGCGCCACGTCCATCCTATAAATTAATATAACAGAAACGCTTTGCTTTCTTATCTTTTGTCGTGTATCTGTTCTAGTTCTCCTCATCTTGCGTTGTATCGAGCAACAGCACGACGGTAACTTACCGTGTGGCATAGCGCCGTCGCGACAATTTTTATGCGCACCTCCCCAGGGCCAGGTGGTGCCACGGTAACGGTCCGAAGGTCTAGGGCCTTTCTGGGCTCCCAAGCTATCGCGGCTTTGCATTCAATTGGCTTGCCTGCATTTTCCGAAAGGGCCGTGCTAGCCGATGTCGCAACGCAGCACTTCCGTAACACAGCGGACCGCTTTTGCACTGTGAAACTTGAATATCCAGAAACAATTTTAAGAGGGAAGAACGCCCGGTGATGTCCATGTTGCAGTCTTTGCTTTGCCACTGGACATCCAAAAGAGGTCATCCTGAAATTGTTGAAGCTTGATACCAAACTTACATGGCGTAACCACCGATGGCATTCATTAACGTCAGGCAACGCTGCTAAGGCGGTTACAAGTCCGTACCGATAACCATCGGCCTCGCAACAAACTTTAACTGCCTCCTTGTACAATACAAATATTCATGAGCCTCTTTGCTCAAAAATGTCTAAATATATGCAGATGTGCAAGATAGCATCCTGCTATACGAACGATCTTAGTAAAAACACGTGCAAAAACATTAAAAGGCAAAGGGAAAAAAGTGGTAATTCCAAGTAATCCTTTTAAATTTCAACCCCATTTCCAGTGCCGCAATACAACAGAAACTTCGGCACAACCATTTTGGAAAAGGGCTATAATGTCTCGATTGTTGATCATCTGAGATGCTCGTTTCCAGAAACCATGCGTATATCTTCAGAACGTAAGCACGCATCGCAGGCACTCCCCTGCGTGCAGCAGCTCAAAGGCCTCATTAATCTGGTCAAACTTGAGGTTGTGGGTGATGTACTTGTCGAGCAGGGTCTTGCCCTCCATGTACTCAGTGACCAGGTCGGGCACCTGGACCCGGCTCTTGTAGCCCCCGAACGCCGTCCCCATCCAGCGGCGGCCTGTAACCAACTGGAAGGGGCGTGTGCTGATCTCCTGGCCCGCAGCCGCAACTCCGATAATCACCGACGTGCCCCAGCCACGATGGGCGCACTCCAGTGCAGCGCGCATCACGGACACGTTGCCAATGCACTCGAAGCTGGTGGGAGTAGGCAAGACAGGGGAAGGGGGGGTGTTGGATTAACAGAAACCCACACAGGAACCGCTTTCCTGTGCTTCCCTTCCGGTTCCTCCCATTCCCTTTCCTTCCTTACATCCTTGCCTACACTACTTCCAAAGCCTTTTCCACTTGTGTGTCCACTTACGTGTAATCGCAGCCCCACTCCGTCATCTCCACAATCACCTGCGAAGTGACAGGCCGCCCGCGTCCTCAATTGGTAATCCGTTGAAGCAAACCAAGGACTGGGACTGTAAAAGAGCAGGGCGCCATGCATTAGGATTGGTACCCAACACTCAGCATCAATACTATTACATTTTAGCCCTTATAATCGCGTGGGCGCCATGCATATGAAAATACCCTTTGACTCATTGGTGAAACTAAGACGAACGATAGATGCCAGCAACCCTTCCACCTTTTCCTTCTGCCGCCCTCCATTACCTGCTGAATGGGTTTATCGTGGTTCTTGGGGTTGATACACTCGGTAGCCCCGAACTCCTGGGCCGCCGAGAATTTGGACGGGTTGATATCCACACCGATGATCCTCGCTGCGCCCGCCCGCCGCGCCGCCTCAATGACCGCCAGGCCCACTGCACCCAGCCCGAATACCGCCACACTGCTGCCGGGCTTCACCTTGGCCGTGTTAACCACCGCCCCCCAGCCGGTCGACACTCCGCAGCCAAGCAGGCAGACCTTGTCCAGGGGCGCTGAGGGGTCGATCTTGGCCACACTCTGCTCGTGAACCACCGTGTACTCGCTGAATGTGGAGGTGCCCATGAAGTGGAAGATGGGCTGAACGAGGGGTCGAGACCAGGAAGGAAGGAAGACACGGGGCAGGGCAGGGAAGGCTTTGTGTCCGTTGAATGGTTCCATCAATATGAGCCCGCTCCCTCCTCCTCCTCCTCCCGACCCCTCCTCACCTTGCCATCCACGGAGAAGCGCGGCTTGCCGTCCGACTTCATGACGCCTTTGCCTGACCGCCAAATGGAGCAGCAGTAACAGAGCGCCGGGTGGGTTATAGAGAGGCACGGGTCGGGTCATGAACGGCAGGAGCGCAGCAGTCATATATCATGTAATGCCCGCGAACCGGCTACGGGTCAATGACCAACACTCGCCTGAGGGAGCCCCTCCCCTTTCAACCCGGCCCCGACTCCCCCACCTGTAAAAGCGCGCACCGAGACACATAGGTTGGACTCCGGGTGCTTGCAGAACTTGCACTCGCCGCAATAGGCTTGGTAACAGGGTATGACGTGGTCGCCTGGTGGGGAAGGGGCATGGCGAAGACACCCAAAGCCCAGGAAAGGGCGGGAGGGAGTTTGCAACGTTCATGAGTATTGAGATGCCCACGTGGGTAATGTGAGAACCAGAATGACTTGTGTCAGTCCTGACAATCGCCTATGTCGGGGGAATAATTACAGGCACCAGACGCTTGCACGATGCACCCACATATGTTAGGGCCCAGCCCCAAGGAGCGGGCCTTACCGACTTTGCGAGATGCGGGCAGGTGCAGACCACTACCCAGGAAGGTGAGCCCCGGAACAACCCTCAGGCTTTCTGGCAGCCTCTCCATATATAGAACCCCGCATTTTGGCAGAGATTTGAGATGATATAGCAAAGCTGTCCGCCCTCCTCGTAACTGCCATACAATGTTCCTGCTGACAGCCGCGCTTCGGCTACTGTACGGCTCTTTTGCAACGCAACATCAGGCTGTACACTGCCTCAAAGGATGATAAAGCTGTCCGATTAGGTGTGTCACTTTTTAACATTCCTGGTGCATATTGTTTCCATCGTGTCCTGGCGATCATGCCATCCTTGTTCTGTACCTGGTTTGACCGACGTCACGCCCTCTCCCACGCTCTCCACAATGCCCGCCGCCTCGTGCCCCAGGATGCATGGGAAGAGGCCTGCAAGGCGGAGAGGCTGTCAGGTCGGGAATGTGGGGTGGAAGGGCGGGACCCGTCTGCCGGGCGTGGGACCAGACAGACGGGTTTCGTAATCTGATGATGCCGCGAGCCGTATTGTCGAGCTTTGCGGTCCGGCCACCTCGGCGGACGAACAGGACATGGAGTCCATTTTTCGCTTGTGGATGGAAACAATGGATAACTTACAGGAGCTCTTGTAAAGCAAGGCGTGCGGCCGCAGGTCGCTAGATTACGCATCTACTTCAGATGCGCACCTTCTGGGTCCAGCCCGTCTAGAGTGTAGGCATCCTTGTGGGGGAAAAAGTTTGCGTATGGCCGGGTACCCCGGGAGAAGATGCGGATGGACGCGTATGCACGGAAGCATAGGGGTCAAAGATCTCTTACAAAAATATTGCCTGCCATTACAAGATCGAAGAAAAGCTTATGCTTATCATCTTTATAATGGCTTACCGTGTGGCACAGCGCTGTCGCGACGATCTTAACGCGCACTTCCCCAGGCCCAGGCGGTGCCACAGTCACAGTCCGAACTTCAAGAGGCTTTTTCGCCTCCCAAGCAATGGCCGCCTTGCATTCAATTGCCTGGCCAACCGTTTGGGCTGCGTCCTGCGACATATCCAACCGACCAATCCGAACCAGCGTATTTATTAAAAGGAATGTAGGTTAAAGAGAATATACTAATATGAAGGACCGCCTGAATAGCCAATCGGGATGCTATCAACATTCACGAACTAATGTGGTACGATTTGGCGCGAGGTGTAATGCCTTTGCTTACTGGGAACACAACAAGCCATGAGCAGTGGCTAAACAGAAAATACGTACCATAGGCATATATTATGCTAGGAGTGACAATGTCTAGCTTTGCCCCTTTATGGTTTTGAACGACGTGGAGAAAGTAACCCAGTATTATGGCGACTTCCAACAGCCACGACACGCATGACTATTAAGCATCACCATCGATGCTGATGTGTTGATCGCCGCATCAGCGTGTTTGAGTCCAGGAAGCAGGGGAAGCGTCGAGCCTCTGCAGTGGCGCCTTTCAGGGCAAAGCCGCTAAGCTATGGAGCCTAACGCAGCATGGATTAGTAAAGAGTCTTCATCACCGTGGGAATTGGTTCACGGCCCTGCGAGGAGACCTGCAGCTCGTCAGGTTTGTCACAGCGTTCCACACAATGTCTTAACACAGATGAAAGGCCTTCGTTATTTACATGTAACCTTATTACCCAATAGTCGTTATAAATTAAAGCGAGCATGCTCGTGAAGCGTCTTTAATGTGAAATCCCGTTGACGCGGATGCTGCAGAGGGACGGCCACCCTCATAAGGACGGCGGTGGAGGCGACAAGAAGCCTGTGGCAGGTGGATTATCTCTACGCACTGTGCCTTTAGCGAAAGGAATACCGCGGCAGAAGTGTCAGGGCAACGCGCCGCTGGAGGTATGTATGAGCTATGGGAGTGCCGGTTGTGTTGTACTATCACCCTTCCACGGTTGCTTGTATCTTTTTTATTTCCTAGAGGGCCACGTGCCTTCTCATGTTTTTGGCATTAAAGCATGTTTGTTCTGCAACCACACCGCAGCGAAATCCGTCGACAGTGGGCTGGCAAAGAGGATCTGGATGCACATTTTTTGTACTTTAATCACGATACAGTGGAGCAGTGTCGGCTCGCTTGTTGCTGACTCAAAGCCTTGTGCCCGCAGCTCGCCAGGCTTCCGGCATTTGCAAGTTGGCACTTTTGATTTGCGCAAAGCTAACAAAGCTTGATATTCATTCTGCTGCTGTGAACTTGCAAAATAGTGTGTCTGCATCAAGTCGCTAACTATGGCGGGTAATTTCTCGATGCCGTACATGGTCGTGTTGCATGCTCAATCGGTATCGTTTCCTTTGCCTACAGGTTGTTGCCCGAACATCGCCGTATCCGCTACGATCTCGGCTAAGCGATTCGGCTCGTGATGGGCCTAGTAACGGCCGGGGGGAAAATGGCACGCCTCAAAGCTCGCAAGCCCTCAAGGTATGTTCTTTTGCCAAAGAACTAACCATCTGAAATCAGTTGGTCGAGATGGTTGAGGAAGCGAGGCCAGTCGAGCAAATATTGCTGTAGCATTGCTGGTAACGAAGCAGCCTTCGCATCATTTTTCATTGCTTGTGATGAACATGGAATTTAACACATGCATGCAGATCGTTGTTAAGAAAAAACGCGTTAGCGGTGCATGCACGCCGAGGCTGTCAGAGCAGAAGATGTACAACTTAGCGAGGGCGGAGCCGTCTCCGGCACGCCATGCAGGTCACGCAGTGTACACGGTAAGGAACCATGTGGATTACACATGTGATACACGGCACGTTATGTAGTGCGGGCTGAGGAGCCCTCCGCGTGCCGACCCATATGTGGGTTTCACGCTACTGCGATCCGCCAAACAGGAAATAGTATTCAGGCCAGCCTGCCTTCTTGATAACGTTAGCACGTAATCACCTACAGTAGTCTACAACCTGCGCATATTGCGACCCGTATGCAAGCTTGCACGTGTACGACAGTCACCCACATGGCCCCCACGATGCAAACGAGGTATACTGTGGAAATGGATCCTTCGAACATCTACTCCTCATACTGGCTCCCTTTGACTGCAGGGTGTCTTGGCGAGCAGCCTTGAGCCTAGGGACTTGCTGGACAAGCAGCAGCAGCAGCTATCGACGCATGACAGGCGTGAGGCGCCGAATGAGGGTACCGATGCAAGGCAGCCCAGTACTGAGGCAGCCGGCGCGGTGCATGGTGCCATGCTCAGGCGGCGGCGGTACAGTGGCGGTGCTGAGCGCGGCCAGCTTGCCCTGCTGGCCCGTGCACTCGTCAATCCCGCAGACGCCAAGGCTGGCCGTGTTGGCAGTCCAGGATCAGCGCAACAGCAGCTGCATTCAATGTTGGGTCCCGATGATAGGGGTTCTATTGGCATCCAGGTCGCGGAGAACGGAGGGCCGACGTGGCGGGACGGGGCTGGCGCCCCGTATGCGGCGGCAATAAACGAGGGCGATGATGTTAGCATGGCAGAGCTGAATGAGTGTCTGGCAACGGGTTCGGCAAAGATCCAGGCTGAGTTGCCGACAGCTGGAGCGAATGCAGGGGCGCCGTTGCCAGCCTCAGGCACGCCAGCGGCGTCTTGGAAGTTGGGCGGCAGCAGCTCACGCCTGGCCTCCAGGGCAGCATCAGCCTCGACGTTACGCACACCGGGGGGGCGCTGCGGCGGCGCGGGCAGCAACCAGCAGCAGCGGCGTCTGTTGCGATGCAACTCGCCAATGGACTTGTGCCAGGCAGTCCAGAGCGCGCAAGCCAGGGCCGAAGTCCATGCTGGGTGCGATGTACGGAAGGAACAGCACGGCCCAGCAGTAGGAGCCGGGGCTGCAGGCTCGTTATCCGAGCCCGTGGCAACGCCGACCCAGGAGACCACCTCGGCCGCAGCGATGCGGCGCTGTCTACATACGCGCGTCCGACTGCAGCGGTCGGAGCCATCCTCCGGGAAGGATGGCAAGGCGTTACCGAAGTCGCGAGCAGGCAGCGAGAAGGAGAAGGGCACTGCGGAACTTACGGCTGACGGGAAAGAGCCGTACAGCTCCAGTGGCGACGGGATGAGTTTAACTGATGGATGCATGGCAGCTTCCGGTAAGGAGCGCTCCCGCGCCGTTTCACGTCTGAATCCGGCGCGTCCTTTGGACTCGCAGCCGCAGCCCGGGGACCTTGCGCCGCGTTGCCAAAATACACGTGCTGCTGATGTCAGCGCTGCAGGGTCTGCGGAAGGCGCTGTGGTGCCGCTGCGCACTGAAACGAACGGAAGCGGAAGCGGCGTCGCGCAACGCGCGTCTGTCGCACTTTTTGAACCTGTTGTCTCGGAGCCACCCACGAAGGTGGCCATGGGGGTTGCTGCCATGGCTGTAGCGAAACTGGCGGCAGCTCAACCAGACTTGCAGTCGCCTACACCGAGCTTGACGGGTATCGATCCTTGGATTACTGTTGCCAAGCTTGCAGCTCGCGCGGCATCCGTCACCTGTGATGTTAGGCCGCAGCAGCAGCCCGAACAGCCTGGCGAAAACGGAGGTCAGGAGGCAAAGGAGACAGGGACTAGCGGTGCTGATGTCGTGGTATCCGCGCATGTGGACATATTCTCCGGTGGGACGGGCTCTGGTAGGGCAGCTGAACAGCGCGAGGGTGGGGGAGAGGCACCAGCAGCCGCGGCAATTACCGTGCAGCTCAGCACTGGCGACGAGGAAGATACGCGCGAATTATTGTTTGAAGGCAGTGAGGAGGAGCAGCAGCTGGCCACAACTGGGCCTGGGACCGCGCGGCCTAATGCGACCAGAGAGAGGACCAAGCTTGAGGGGTCATTGCCGGGGAGACATGCGCGCAATTTGACCCGTAGGGGGCGGGGGAAGGTCAGGGGTAGAGGCCGACGGTCGTTGTCTTCTGTTTGTGCCGCCGAGACTGTCACCACAAGCGGCAGGATGAACCGAGGCAAGGCAGAAGTAGCAGCGACGGCAAAGGGCGCTGATTGCATCACTCCAGGCGCGCTCCGTGCTGCCTTTCGGGCGGATTCCGCCAGCGGGGATGATTCTTCTCCTGATGTGCCGATCGGCAAACTGGTGGAAGCGGCCGCGGCTGCAGCTGCGGCAGGCGCGGCGGACGCTGCAGTCGTTACCCGACGGTTGTGTCCGCCGTCGTCGGGCGGGCTGAAGAAGGTCGTCCCTGCAAGTGCTGCCGTCACTGCAGTGACGCCAGTGGCTTCCAAGCGCGCGACGAGGGATGCGAGTGCTGCCCTTGATGCCGGCAACAACCTGGCGGCGCGAATATCCGTATTTGCCGATTCGCCCTCTGCAGTGCCCGATTCGGAGGACCTGCCGATTGGACAGCTCGTGGCAGCAGCAGCGGCGGCTGCAGCCGCAGCAGGCACCGGAACAACTAGGTCGCCAGGGTCATCACCCAGTGCGGGTGCACATGGCAGTAGGGAGGGGGGAGTGGATAACGCCGGCGAGGGAGCCCCGGGCGCGGACCCCATTCCTATCGTCAAGTGCGCTGGTGCCTTGCAGCAGGGACAAAGGCGGGGGCAGTCCAAGGTTTCAGACAACGCGTCAGGGGTTGCGCCGACCCCCGCAGCTGAAGTGGCGGCGGCAACGGCGGCGGTTACTAGTGTTTCAGTTGGTGGTAACACAACGGCGACCAAACACGAGGCACGTCGGAAGCGGAAGCGTCGGTCCAGTACATCATTGGGGCTGAGCAGCGGAGGGTCCGCGGAGTTGCACCCCGCAGACAGAGCGGCACGGGGAGCTGCAGAAGGGCTTCCACGAGGCGGTACCGATGGGGCACCTGGCAGCGACATCGCCGCCGTGTCCAGCGTCCCAATCGCGTCGGAGCCATGTCAGGGATGCAGTACGGACCATTTGGGGCTAGCTGCCGGCATCAAGCAGGGCAGTCAGCAGCCCGTCACCACCGCCGCTGCTTCAAGCGCGGATGCGGGGACGGAGGAAGCGCGCGGGGTTGCTACATCCGGACAGGAGCTGGCGTCTACAGTGGCTTCGCAGCAGCCGCAGTTGGCATCAGCCGTCGCCGGGGGCAGCAAGGTCCAGCTCGCGAACCTGTGGAAGCGCCAACGGGTGATGGGCAGCATGCCTCAGTCGGTTACGCGGGTAGGCGGCGCGCGGCCGGGCTCAGGTAGGATGGAAGCCAAACTCCGCCCACAAGCAGGTGCTGCATGCGAGGGCGCGACGCACACGTTGCGTGCTGACGTGCAGCAGCAAGAGCTGCAAGAGCCGCAGTCGGAGCTTGGCCATGCCGGTCATGGCGCCCAAGGGCCTAGAAGCGAACATCCGTGTCAGTCTGCGGTTGCTCCCGCTGCTGGAAAGGGTTCAGCAGTTCAGCAGGAGAAGAATGGTGGTGATGGCGTGGAGCAGAATGTGGGTTGCGAGGCGGCGCACGGTGAGACGGTTGGGAAACCGCAGTATGCTGACGTGGAAATGGTAGAGCCGGTGTATGAGACCGAGAGTTATTCTTGCGGGGTTAAGGAGCAGGAGCAGCAGCGGCTCTGCCTTAGCGAGCTCCTCCCTTCAGAGGCGTCTGCCGGAAGGAATCAGGGAGTGGACACGGTCCAAGGTGTTATCGTCAGCGCCTCATCCGGAAATTCGGCTGACCCCGAAGACGGAGGAAGCGATCGGACTGCTGGCTATGAAGATGGCGCCTGCGCACAACCCGCAGCAGCAGTTGCTGCTGTCAATCGCGTTCACATCCGCAGCGTGTGGAAACGTCCGCGTCTTGCGGAGGCTTCGCGGCCAGTATCCTCGGCCGGGGGAGGCAGACTCACGGGTCGGCGAGCGTTGCTAGGGTCATCATTGCAGCGGCCGGCCGGAGCCACGGCGGCGCCGGTGCAGGCGAGCACTGCTGCCGCCCTCCCTGGCCGTGTACAGGCCGGTCCGGAGGATGACACGGGGCCGGCCGTGTTGGCAGACCAACCCTCCGCCGTTGCTGACGGCGAGTGTGAGGTCCGCTTGCAGCAGCAGGCGCAGCAGCCCAAAGCAGCAGCTGACAGTGACAGTGCCGGCGGAGACGGCAGTCAGGATGGTAATGGCGGCCATCATCGCTTCAGCGGCAACGTCGGCCTGACACCCGTGGAGGAGGGCAAGAGGGATGCAGATCAGAAGAACCGCACCGGGCCGTTGGCAGTATCAGCCGTGGCGGTGGCGGCAGGACTGACCACGGCGATGGCTACATCTGCTATCAACGTAAGGGGAGATGCCCTGCATCATACACCTCCAAGGATGCTGCGCGGAGGGCCCCTGGTTACCGCTCCAAGCCCGAGGATATCCGCCTTGGGCGTGATTGGGAAGCCACCTCGGAGTCCATGTGACCTGCGGGCTGCGGCTACTGCGGTGCCGCCGTCGCCGCGCCTGCTCCCATCACCATCGCCCTCGTCATGCGAAGTCGCATGTCGAGCGGGGCACCGTTTGCGGGATCCGTCGCTCCACCCTGCGGCCCTTCCGGGTGGCGCCGGCATGTCGCCCATTCAGCCGTTGCTGTCAAGGCTGCAGGCGGCCGCGGTGCCGTCGCCGTTGGCCCATGCCGGCACTGGGTCGCGGTTGCGGCCTCCGCCCGTGCCCATGTCACCCTTATCCGGGTCCACAGCGGCGGCGGCCGCCATTTTGGCAGCAGCGGACGCACCGCTGGCCCCGTCGCCGGCGCCGGACGCACGAGCGCCTTCACCGTTGGCCCTCTTAAGCAATGCTAGCAAGCGGATGGTCGCGTCGGCGGCCGAGGCCTCGTTTCTACAGCCCCTCGCGCCCATCCGGACGAAGGCCCTGCAGCCTGCCGCCGCCACCGGCGGCGCCGCGTCGGGCGTGAAGCGAAGTGTTGTACAGGCTGTTGAGGCGCTGCTGTCCATTCCGCTGCTAGGGAACGATGATGACAGCTCGCCGAGCGGCACAGGCGATGCTGATGCCGCCGTTGCCGCTTCTGCAGCAATTACGGTTGTTGGCGCTGAAGCCGATGACACCGTGCGGGATGGGACAGCACCCACGACAGGAGCAGCGGCTTCCGACGGCGCTATGTCTCCAGGTGGTATGGCGTGCCGGCTGGAGCGGCTGCTTGACGCAGCCTCCTGTGAGGCCAGGGGGCCATCATCTGTGGCCGCAGAAGTACACGGATCGGAGAACCAGCATGCAGCGGGGCCGCCCTCGGCATTTGCTCTGTTGGTCGACGTTGCAGCTGCGCAGAGCGGCGGAGAGGACGCAAAGGCAAACGGCAAACACGGGGCCAAGGAAACGCCGTGTGGGTCTTGCACGGCCTCGGCCTCAGGCGGGGCCTGCAAGCAGGCGGGATCTAGTGACCCGCTGTCGGAGGGTCCTAAGCCCCTGCGCAGCGCCCTGCGGGGCGTGCAGCCTTTCTTCTCCGCTCCGGGGCTCTGGGCTGCGGGCCATATTGCTCGGTCACCCCCGCAGATGGTGCTCCACGGTGGCGCCGCCGTGGTGGCGGCGGCGGCGACGACAGGCCCAAACGGCGGCGGTGGTGCTGTGTGCTCGTTGGTTTGTGAGGAGCGACTGGACTTGTTCCATGGTAAGGCGGCATCGCCGTTGCCGCCGCGGCCGCGGCCCTCTAGCAAGCAGCCCAAGGCACCACCCACGGATTCTCGCTCAGTGCCTGGCATCACTAGGCATGGTGAGTTACTGATAAGAGGATGGTCGGAGCAGTGTATTGTCTGGGTAGCATAAAGCTTTTTTTCGTGGGCGGACACGTAACAACATTTTCATGGTACAGGTTTCACTTGAATCCTCGTTGCTTATGTATCTGGCATAGCAGAGCTCGATCACCAAGCTAGTAGTACCGAAATGTTGTACTAAAATGCCATCCTTTGCACTTTAGGCGAACGAACGAACGAACGGAGTGAAGCTGAACACCTTCAGTGTGACTGTCTGTTAGGACAGTCGATCCGGGGGGATCAACCGCGCTACACAATCTACACCGCGCCCTACAGCATCGTGTCCGTGTGTTTCGTCTCTGTTTTTTCTATGGAATCAAGTCTATGGAATCAAGAGAACAACATATGCTGCTTCCAATGTGCTCACATCTCGACGTGTGAGCAAGAGGCAGTCCGCATTCAGGGTATCTGCAGGGTGCACGTTGCATAGCCACGCCTGAATTAAGCTTAGCTTGTATGTCTATCGGGACGCCCGCAGGCCTGGTGTTCCAGCCCTGCATGGCTCGGTCTCCAACAAGCCGTCTCTCGCCCAGCAAGGCAACCACTCTGGTGATTGGTGGACAGGCTGAGTCGCCTGTTGCCGGGTCGCTGCGGCCGACGGACGGCTTCAGCACTCCACCGTGCGGGACGAGCAAGTCCCGGCATGGGGGCGCCACCGGCAGCGCCTCTGGCTGGCACAGGGCCGGCGACGGAGTGTCGTCGCTGTATCCGGGGCATCAGTACGACAGCATGATTGAGGATGTCGTACAGCAAATTTTGAACGAAGCCAGTCCTGAGTTGCCGCCGTCTCTGGAGCTCACGTTGGCGGCAGCGCCGATGACTACGTCGGTGGCGGCGGCAGGAGGCGTCACGCGGGAAGGCGTCACCGGAGTCGTGGCCCGTCATGCGCCGGCGATGCTGGCGTCTGGAGACGAGAACGAGCCGCAGGCTGTGAACGGCGTGGCACCTTCGCTGGTGGCGGCGGCGCCGCCGGCGACAGGAGTTCTCTCTCTACAGCATCAATTACAGCAACAGACGCCACCGCTACCGAGGTCTACTTCTTTGACAGGGCCAGCCGGTAAGCGGCGGCGGTCGGGGGACGTGGAGGATTTCGGCGGGGCCGATGCTGGCGGCGAAGAAGGCACCACCACCGCTGCATTAGGTGAAGCGGAGCAGCGCCCAGAGGCCCAGGCACAGCCGGTGGGGCTGGTGGGCCACCGCCGCCGGCCACGGAAAGCGGCTCGCGTCGACGGGGGGCCCAGCAGCGTCGCTGCTGCCGCCGCCGCGGCAGCAGTAGCGGCAGTCGCTGTCAACGACAAGCAGACCTTGGACGAGCTGTCGAACCTCGACTCTGATGACTCGGATGACGACGTGCTCGATTGCTACTCCAGGGGTGGCGCCGCCTCCAGCGGCGCTGGTGGAGGTCCGGGCAGGGGCGTGGCTGGCCAAGCTAGGACCCAAGGGGCCCAGCGCGGAGTTGGGGGAGGGCCAGGCAGGGGCCCAGGGTTCATGTTCGCAGGCAGACTGCTGCCGTACGGGCCTCCCTGCGGCGGCAACTGGATGAAGCCGGGTCTGGCATGGAGCCGTACAGCAGGCGGGGCGCCGCCTCCAGTGCAGCCTTTTATGGGTCCAGCGCGTCCCTCACCGCAGCTCAGAGCCGGCGGTCCTTCCGCTGCTACTGCCGCGGGGGCGTCGCGTCCGTCGCCTCCTGTTGCGCCACTCGGCAGCGGCGCTGGTGGGGCGCGGCTGGCGACGGCTGCGACGCCCCCGCCGCCGCCGTCGATGCCTGCGTGCCTGGACAACCCGGCGCTACCTGGAGAGGGCTTGCTGGATGTCCCACGTACGCTGAGCATGCCGCGTAGTACTGTGCCATCTCGTCGACAGAACACCTACCTGGTACGGCCTCCTTGCGGGGGCAGAGATATCTTTGTACTCGCGCCGTTGCCTGCCTGTCCTATTTCTCATCACTCTACAGATTGGACCCGACTTTATTTCGCGTGCCCTGGTATCTCGCACCACCGCTCTGAACCCACATGCACATGTTTCCACCCTCCCGTTGCATGGTATTCATGTTCCGGCCCCACGTACCTCTCGTCTCCTCCCGCAGAGCGCCGCTGCGGACGCCAGCAGCGCGAGGCCCACCCTGGAGCAGGAGTATCGGGAGGCCCTCATCAACCTGAGGCTAGCACAGGCCTGGGCAGCCGGGGAGAGGTGGGCGCGATGCGACCTGGCAGGGCTGCCGGCGGTGAGTGCTGCTGCTGATGAGTGCGATGATGACTCGGCGGTAATTTTGCAGTGATCCGGCATCTCCTGATTTTTTTTGATGATGGCTTAATAAGTGTGGGTAGCGGCAGTGGCTGCGGAGGAAGCTGGGTCACGGCCGCTGTGTCTAGTAAGCACTCTGCCTGTTGGAGGGCCTGTGGGAAGGCTGTCGCGTGCGCCGGGGGTCGGGGGATGGGGGACGTATGGCAGGCTGGGGCGGAAGAAGGGGAAGAGTCTTTGTACACGAGGCACTGCTTGACTGTTTGGTTGCGCATTAGGCTGATGGCCCCCGTTTCCCGACAAACCCGAAGTCCCTGTCATCCCATCCCACCCAACCCCCAGGACGTCTCGAAGCGTGGTGTGACGGAGCGGCTGGCCGTGTAAGTTGACGGTTCCCGCTGGCCGTGTGTGTTTGCATGCGAACATGTTTGGGACTGGCAATGTGTGTGGGGGGGGGAGGGGAGAGTTGTGGCCTCATCACAATCACAAAGCCTAGCTGCTTTTAACAACTAAAAAACCCTAAGTAAGTCAGGCATGGCTTGGTCTCCATTAGCAAAGTCTCTAAAAGCATGATGCACAAAGCTATAGAAAAACGTTTGGACAGTTCGGCTTAATAATCATTAATATAAAGCGGGATCAATTGTTTTTCCTGTGTGTGTTTTGTGATGCCCGATTACTTCGGACAGCCCTCGGTCCCAGAGCCCTCTCACGGCTCTCGCATGGGTCCTCAGGTTACAGCCTTGAGGGGTGGTAACGCAGCTTCAGGAGAGAGAGGAAGTGTAACACACACCTAGTTTGCTTCGGTGCTGGGAGCCATCTTGAAAGAGAGGGCCCAGCCTGATAAGTGGCCCTCATCCTTTTCTACATCCGGGATACCGGGATGAGCAACCCTGTTACGGCTTGCATTCCGACTCGTAGCCGGGTACGCAACCACGCGTTGGTTGGTATCTGTTGTATCGTGATGATAGGTGTCGGTTGTTGCTGCCTACCGGCCTGCCACCCGGCTGCTAGGGTCTGTTTTCTCGTCGGTACTGATGCCCCCTGCCCTATCCTCACGCCAAACACAGGTTGGATATCGCCTCCTCCAAGCTGAACTGCTACCGGGGAGCGGAGGGTGCCACAAAGGTCATGGCCAAGGTGGGGTCATCAGATACAAGCCCGGCCATCTATTGAAGTGTAGAGAGTACACTCTCTAGAGAGTAGAGGTCCCATTCAACCCAACTAGACACCAACCGGCGCTACCACTGCCATTACGGCAATGCCGCCCTCGCCCTCTTCTCCTTGGCTTTTCGCGAATCCCCATCGTCGAATCCCCATCCCCTTTCCTTCGTAACCCTCGTGCCCTCTTCCACCTCGTCTTCCTGCTTGCGGCCCCCCTGATTCGTCGTTGCATTGGTGAGCAGGTGGAAGAGGAGTGGGAGCATCTCAGGCGCATCCGAATGGCAGCAGCCTCGCGTTCCACAGTCCGCACTCCCTCGGGCACCACACCCTCTCCGGCACCTGGAGGACATCACTCATTACGGGGAGGAGCCTCTTACGCCCGGGTCCCGCACACGCCACTCCCGTTCGCAGCGCACGCGCACGCCGCTGCCGCCGCCTTAGCAGCAGCAGTGCCAGCGCCAGCGCCAGCAGGTCCGCACAGTTTGGCGGCAGCTGGCACGCAGCAGGGCGGGCCGGAGGACATGACTGTCCCCGCTGCCGCTACACCGCCGTCGGAACCAGCGGCGGTGGCGGCTGTAGCGCCGCTTGCTCTTGGACATTCACATGCCATGCAGGGGGAAAAGACAAAGGCTGCTCCGCAGCAAGGTGCAGCGGGGGGTGCAGCCAGTGCAGCGCCAGCGGCAGGGCAGGCAGCGCCAGTAGCAGCGACAGGGTCCCATCGTGGCCTAGCGGAGCTGGTCTCAGCTCACGCCCATGCACACTGCCACAGGGGCTCGCCGCCGCCACCGCATGCACACTCGCACCATCATCAAACTAACCACCCCGCAAGCCACCATCACCACTTCCACCACAGCCACCCCATTAGTCGCCATACCGTCGACGCAGATGACCAGCAGCGGCAGCACCGCCATAACTCGCATGCGAGCCCATTGACGCATCCGAACCACCGCAATGTCGCTGGCTGTGGCGGCGGTGAGCCCCAGGGCCGCCAGCCCCCGGCGGAGGCTACTGCCGCTACTTCGCATGAAGATGCGAGCTGCCAGACTGCTGCTGCTGCTGCGGCGGCAGTAGTAGAGGTTGGCGTTAACCAACACGACGGCAACCCAGGTAGCGGAGGCGGCAGTGGGGAGGGCTTCGGTACTCCGATGCTGCGCGGCACCCCGCAAGCCGCAGGTTTCGATCGGCCTTTCGCTGCAACGCCGCCGCCAGCGGCAGCTGGCACCGGCCTCTTTGGTAGTGACGGCGTCGCCGGCGGCAACGGAGGAGACGCAAGCGCACTGTTGATGCATCGCCTCAACCCGCAGCAGCTGCAACTGACCCCGCCGGCCAGCATCCTGAAGACCGTCCCTACGCCGTACACAGCGCCGGTGCTCACAGCTTCCACGCCCAGCGGCGCTACGGGCGGCAAGAAGGCGGTCAAGTTCGCGGCGGTTCTTGAGCTGGGGCCGCAGTCCGGGTACCGCCACACGAAGCGACCGGCGCCGCCTCCGAGGCCGTCATTCGACTTGACGATCCAAAGCCAGTCTGAGCTCCAGCCACAGGAGGAACAGGAGCAGGGGCAGCCGTCAAAGCTGGAGCAGCAGCAGTAGTACAGAACCAGCAGTAGCCCTGAACGAGGCAGCGATATGACCGCACGTGCTAGAAGCTCAGTCTCCTTAGGAGTCTCGCTTGGACCGCGGGGGAGGCAGGGGCCTCCTGCCCTGCGTTACTGGGGTTGTGCGAAGTTGTGATGTGAGCTGCGCATGTACCTACGTACATACATACGTACCTACGCGGGCCTAGCACATCACTGTCCAGTGTCGGGAATCGTGTCGATGCATCTTTTGGCTGTACAGTCCTGAATCCTGTTCTGTGTGATGTGTTCGTTCGCCCCAAGCGCCTCCAACCTTTGTAGGGGAGTAAAAGCTGGCTGGCCTGGTAAATGCTAGGCGAGCAGGCTTGAGACTTCGGTATGGGACCTCTATGATGATAGCTTCCTTTGGAGGAGGTGGGTAATTGACATCCAGGATATCAGTTAAGAGTGTGCCTGCCACTGCACAGGCTCGTTTTAGGGTAGCCGTCTGGTTGCATTCCTTTTTTTTCTCCTTTATTAGGAAGAGCTCTCGGACTCTTGCCCGTTTTCTCTCTGTTCTTGTTGTATGGTGGCGGCCTCCTCAACATTTAGCCGTTTCAGTTGACTCCTGAAGCCCAGGCTTCCCGTTGCCTCCGATAGTAGACGCAACCATGGAAATCTTCGTCCTCTCTTTTTACTCGCCGGCGTGTCTGTATATGTATGTATGTATGTATGTATTTTTGGTGATGGCCTTGAGAGGAGGACCGTGCCGGCGTGCGTTTTACCTCTGCCGGCGTATGTACATTTGCAGGGTTTGATAGTTCCTCGCACAAAGCCCCAGAGGATTACAGGTCATCCTAGACGAATACCGAAGGAAGCTGTTTTAGTGTGCAAGCAAGCAATCACGTAGCACTTGCACGTGTAGGAGCGGGAGTAGTATTGACTTTTGCGCGTGGTTTGTTTGTTGTGCGGCTGTGACATGGTAGTAGGCTTTTGCCGTGTGAGCGGCAGGGAGGTACAGGGAAGATAAGGCCGTGCTTAACCCACCGATTGGTTTGGTTGGCTGGCTGGTTGTATTGACGAAGCCGTCTGTTGGGGTACATAACTCAGCAGCAGAGGACAGCTGCCATTGCTAGACAGCTGCTATTTGCTTCCTGCCAGATGTCAGACGCCCAACCGAGAGAAAGGTCGTTCCTCACATTTTTTAATTTTGCAAGCAGTCTAGGCATTGGGCTTTTTCCAGTTAGACGGCTAGTTAGGGCCCAGTCTTGACATTCCTGGCCAGCTGGTGCGAGCTAGAAGGCCAGTCAGTCTACCAGTCAATCAGTAGATAGAGGCGTCACTAGGTACATACGGATGAGGTTAGGGAGACGTACACGCGCTTGCTTTTCCGTCATATGAAAAGCCGTCGATGCCGGAGGCCGCACCAACAGGATTGATAGTCGATGGGTTGGCGGTTCGGCGTGGAAAGGGCCTCCACGGGGCTTTACCCACATACGGTTGGCTGCGTCGTGGCTGATAGTTTCGCTTGGTGGACGTAAGCGCCTGGTGAATGTTTGTGTTCGGCGAGATAGGTCAATTGCTGCCGGACCGAGCATGAAACATGGTGTATATGTATGGACCTCCTACATAGTTTTGGGTGTTAGCTGGGGTGTCCAGTGGCGCGCTTTGTTGAGAGCTGTGGCCAGTGTGTGGGGAGTGAGTTTTCCCTCCCCTTCAGCCTGATGCATGGTCCCGAGACTGATTTTGGGGTGTCATGCATTGGGGTGCATGCCGATTGCCTAGGCTGGGTGTTGGGGAACCACTATACGTGTGTGTTACAAACCGCTGCCTGCAAATGTGCAAAGCACGACTCGTGGTACTGGCCCGAACAGGCATAAAGGTTCCCTTCTCGCCTCGACGAAGAAAGAAAGGTCATTGCAATAGCAACGAAAAAAATGGTAAAACAGTAAAACATTGCGGACAGCTGGAGTGAGCGGTGAATAAGGGAAGTAATGCCGTGTTTTCATCACATCACGAACATCCGCCCGAAAAGCCCTAAATGCCAGATGTCCTCCAACTCAAGGTCATGCAACCACATCATACCAAAGAAACCAACACTGCCCAGTAACAATGTAACTGAAGCTGAGACAGGTCACGAATTAACATTGCAAGCCTCAGGGGGTTACGGGCTCTGGCACGCACGGAATACCGAGAAACACCGTCGTGGTGTTGCGCCTAGGGATCCGCCCTGGCTGTGGAACACAGGGATCTGTGGCCCCCGGCTTAAACCCTGCCATCAATTTCCATGACTCAATCCACATTTTCTATTGGACGCCAAGCAGTGCTGCCCGCACCCAAACATCGTTGATGCCCGCATTAAAACGTAGCACCCAAACAGTGTATATAGCCCAGCACAAGCCCCCAAAGGTACCAAGTCGAGCCATATACCACTTTCCATACCGGAGAGGCGCAGGAGAGGCCTAATTCGCCCTGCAAGACCTAACTGGGCCCGTGGGTGGCCCGCTAGGGGCGCCTCGGTCCTCCTCGCCAGGTGCCCCTTGCGTCTGCTCCCCAATGCGTCCCCAACGATCCATGCTGCCCAGAAAAAGAGTGTCTGGCTTTACCGCCTGGCTGTATTGGGCCTCGTTGCCGTGTTCTAGGTTGGACTTGCCTGGCTTGCGGCCGGCTTGTGCTTATTCGTGTTGCTGTGACGAGGATGATAATGGTGGTGATGTTCGCTGCCCCGGCGCGCTAAAATTTCTGTTTTAGTGTTAGATCGCTGGGTGCCAGGGCCAGGCCACAAACAACCTGAGTCGCACCAGTGCCCAGCAATTATAAGGGTAGAGCTCGGCCTCGGTCTGTGAGTGGGCCAGGATGAAGGTTGCAGAATGGGAGAGGGTGTTGCTGTGGAATACGCCGTGTCGAGCCTGTGACCGCAGGAGTAGCCGTCAGAGAAATGTGCAGCTGGTCATCACCCTCAACTGGCTCGTGGAGCGGTGGCGGCGCTTGGCCATAATCGAGGGTCCAGTTTTCTTATTGGTAAGCAAGGGACACGGCACGTATGGTGGCGGTGACTCTGAAGAGTCCTTCGCCTTCAATTTGCATGAGGGGCTTAACTTCCTGCGCGAGTGCAGTGCTGGTGCAGTATGCGAGAATGTTTGTGTGCCTGAGTGTTTTTCCTTGGTGGCTCTTTTGTTTGATTTAGTTTTTATAAAATTTTGTGTGATGGATTAAGACACATGGCATGACTTACACTCGCCAATTCCCAGTCCATCTCATTCTCAAATGCGGCCATCAGCAGCTATAGTGACAGCAATGTGATGGCAAAGACGTGCGTGTTTGCCAGCAATGTTTGTATTGGGATGTCTGGTGACAGTGGCATGACTGAGGCAAAGTTGCAAATTACCGGAGACTTGGTATCATGGTATTAAGAGGAGGTGCCAACATCTGGGGCCCGGTGATTGCAGCATCAATCTCTACATGCAACCTCAGCGTGGGTGGGACGTCTATGATCAACGATGCCATTGCTAACGGTTATGTCACTGCAACAGAAAGGCTCCTGACGACAGCAATCTCGTCCCGACTGGTACTTCGACACAAGCGGAACCTGTTACCGCTGCAGGGTTGCTGACTACAACAGGAGGTCTAGTCGTTCAAGGTCTGTGCTTTCAAACCCCTCAACCCCAAAGCACACGGCGACGCGTCACACGTGGTCCATCACTTCTATTGCAGCACTACGGCCGTCTTCAGGCCAGCCAGCTCCTGTCGTAGGTTGGCTACTTGTCCATCAGCGTTTTATCCCCGCAGCCTTTCAGCGACTTGGCGCTCTCCGGACGAACCACGTGTACAACTGCTTCCTTCATCGCTAACAGCATATGCATTGAAAAACTTTGCTAGTTTGCAATTTAGATGAAAAACGTAAGCCGCCACAAACAGCGCACCGCACCGCTCCACACAGCCCACGGAACCGGGTGGTGAGACCCATTCACTCACGGTAGGCATCGTAGAAACAATTCGAGCATGCGTGTCCAAAACAGCGAGCACGTAGTTCAGATACATAAACCATGTGCCGATCCAACCTTTAAGGGAGTGCGAAACGGGCGCTGCGGTCCGCTCTCCTGCAGTTCGGCTGTCCAATTTAAAAAGCAAGAGGGGACGTAGAGTAGGCCTGTAGTACTAGATAGGCTCTTAGAACGTTGTAGCTATACCTCGTAACCGAGGGGGAGCTGCAGGGGAATAACGACAGCGGATGGTCAGGCTGCAGAAACGAACCGACCAGGGTTGTACGGCAGTATCAGGTCGATTAGCATTTGCTGCAGAATTTTGGACAAAGTTTATAAACTTTACGCACAACACCATATATTGCTCGCAAGGCAGGAATACAGTATAGAGGTTCCGCCATAGTTCCAACAATTTCAGGCCTGCATTGCTGCCGCACTCCTAGCTGATAAAACGCAGCACCTTCCTGCCTAATAGCCTCTGACATCCGTTACAAATCTTGAATTTATGCTCAATGGAGATTTCGCAAACGCACTTGCTGTGGCTGAGTCGCGACGGTTCCTGACAGCCGTGTAATCAGCAAATCTAGTCGCTGGCATGGCTGTTTCTATGATTCAAAGGATCAAGGGAGGCTCAAGTAGTATCGCGGAGGCTTCAAGACTGTTGCCGACATGCTCGTTCATACGCGGCTTCCGAGCAGACGCAACTGACCCGGAGACTCGCAGTGAAGACGCCTGTGAGGATCAATGTTGCAAAGGCTTGCTTGCGGATCCGCGTAAGCATTCATCCGGGAGAGGGCAACTCACTGCCTCGGGCGCGCTTTGCTCCGACGCAACTCCAGCTGCTTACCGCGGACCCATCCGGACAGCTCAGGTGTGACAATCATGACTTTCTTACGCAACTGCATACCACCAACTTTTGCAAACCCCAATAACGCATTAAAGTGCTTGCTTGCTTCGTAATCTCGTAGCAAGCCTGAGATATGGTGGCTGACCCAGATGTGGTAATGCCGTTTCCTTGTACATAACTGATTGCACATAACCATTTCTTATCGGTGTTCGCCAACGGCCATGTGCCGGTTAACGTACCGCTCATGTGTGGAGCCATCCGTTACAATAACCCGCTGCACATGTGTTGCAATACGCGTGGATTCCTCTCTTTATCCTGCAGCCGAGGAAAGGCGAGCGGCGCAAGGCCCTCCCCGTCCTCGCTGGTGACCAGTTCACCAGCAACGTAGCAACTCTGCTGGTGCGATGGCCACATGCTGCGTCCTCACGGCTGCCGCGGAGCTGGCAGGCGATCTGTGAAAGCGACCGTTTCCGACGGCTTTTCCCCCGCCGGCAGCCGCCGCTGACAGAGGGGGCCGTGCAGGGGCTCAAGGTAAGAAAGGGGGGTTGTCCGCCGTGTTGCAGCGGATAGGATTGGAGGGATGCGGGCCTTGGACGGATGGGGTTTGTGGAAATCCTTTAGCATTACGTGGATGCCGGTTTAGGGCATCCGTGCTTTGAACGGCCTCCCGCCTTTTATACGGGCCATGCTGGCTATGGTGCTGTACGCAGGAGCAACGGAACCCGAATGCTGTCTAACGTTTTCCCCCTCGCCATCTTCTGCATTGTTACTGAATTGCATGCCGTCACGTATTTGACTCTCAACTCTGCCGTACGCCCCTCTCCGACAGGCCCTGGCGGCATCAGGGCTGTACAATAGCGATAGCAGGGGTGCCGGAGGACCAGCGACGGCTGCAGGCACATGCGAGGATGCCGTGCAGTACGACGCTCACCAGGCTGCTCTTTCGGAGCTGTTGGACCGACTTCAGGCGCTGCAACAACATTTGCAGGTGGGGGAAGGTTGCCGAGGTAACCGCCACCCGAGTGCCATGCGGTCAGCTGTGACAAAGGAGGAGGGATTATAGGGTCCCAAGCCGTATCCGGTTTTATGGGGCTGCGTTACGGAAGCGCCATTACCTAGTGCAGGGTGTACGTTAGGTCAAGGTGTACGGTGTCAGTATGTAGGTGGCAGCCAGGCGGAGGGTTGCTGAACAGCGCACCCGAAGTCCTCCGCTACACCTAAACGAACACCCCGGCAGACACGGTTGGGGCTTGTGAGGTGGGTTACACGAGAGAAAGGACTCAGCATTGCGGTGGATTGTGAAGTGTAATGTCATTGGTATTTGTCGGGAATTATTAGTCTGCTGACCCAGCAAGGCTGTACACGCACTTGGCACACAGGAGCCGAAGGAGTATGTCGTCTTGCTATGAAGTCCGTAGGAGTCACCATAACACAACTGATACGTTCCATCCGTAGTGCGAAGGCTGTGTAAAGAGTTGCGCAGCGGCTTGCTAGTTGGTTTGGATGGGTTGTACCCCCCTGCCACCTGCCTGGCCTTACATGCTTGTGTCTTGGTGCACATGCAGGACTTCATGTCCGACGACGGGAGCCGCAACGGCACAATTGTCGCGCTCGCAACAATTACCGAGGAGGACGGCGATGAGCCAGGCGGACCGTACATTCGCAACGAAGCAGACAGCCAAGACGTTGCGTGCAGTGGACCCGAGGGTCTTGAAGGCAGCGCGAGCTCAGACGGTCGCGTAGCGAATGAGGGATCAGGGTCGTCGTGTGCCGCGACTATGCTGGGTCGATGGCGACGGCGCCCTGCAGGATGGCAGCAAGGCCCCCGACCGGCGCCGCCGTGGGACGACACGCAACCTTTCCAGACCCATGTGGGCACAGTGTATCATTTCTGGCGGTTGTGTCCATATGGTTAGGCTTTACGTGCTAAGTAGTTGAAAGTATCGGGCAGAGTAGATTATTAGGAGTCCACACTTTAGGTCGGTTCCATATCATTGCAACCATGAGCGTTAAAAGGATTAATTATTTTGTAACGTTTGAGTAAAATTACTCAATTCGTAAAACACACAGGAATTAGCCAGCTATTGTTACACTGTGTGTTCGGATCATGTAATGGCGCCACCCCCACTGGGGCTCATAAGAGGACAGTCCTCACCCTATACGCAAAATCGACGCGCTCCTATGCGCCAGTCCGAAAACGTCCCCACAACAAATCATGCCCAGAGACCATTAATGGCAGGATTCAAAAACCTTTGCGTCTTCAGCTAGGTCCATGCTCATGCCATGGCGTATGTGTGCATGGTAGCATGATCCAACTTCAGCATTACAAGACATGATGCGCGCATGCATTTAAAGAGATGTACATCCACAATTCCAGCAGTTCAGTATATAAAACAATCCTACTTGAGTACAGCTCTCGACAGATTCAAGCGATACACCTGCACTGCTCCTGCGGCCAGTCTCTACCCGCGCCACTCGGAAAGCGGCGAGCTAGGACTCAACGGTTGCCCCTTCCCATCCAGCGCCACCGCACCGAAGCTGGTGGTCCCGGACGACACTGAGCCGCCCGACGACCCGGCCGCATTCACACCATCCAAACCGTGCGGCTGCAAGTGCTGCTGACTGCCCTGTCGGAGCGACAACGAAGATGCTTTCAACCCCTTTCCCGTCGGCTGTCCAGGTTTTAACAGCGACACAACAGTCGGCTTGTCGGACCATATAAGCGCCAGCTCATGCCGCGGTCGCCGTGACCTCAACGTCCGCTGGCGCCGCTGGCATTGGGACAGGAGCGTGCTCAACGTATCATTATCATCATGATCGGGGGGTTCACACCACGAGGACGCTGCTGCCGCAGATGTCGTCGCACCATATCCACCTTTGGCTGCAATGGAAGGTTTTCCGCGCGGCTGCTTCCCAGAATATGTTAAGGCAGGAGGAGGAGGTGGAAGTGCTAATGCTCGAGAAGGACGCCGCGACAAGCGCAAGCCCTGGTCCCCATACGTTGGAAGAGTGTCGACCGGCCCGTTGTAGAAGCACTGCGCCGACTGCGGCAGTTGAGGTACTCGAAATAGAAACGCATCTACTGTATGGCCAGACGATGAGGGTTCATAGTCCGGCTCAGAAGAGAAGACGTGGCGAGGACACTGCAATGCTTTGGGAGCTAACCCCGTCGCCCTCCACAACTGCAACGACAAAGAGGTCATTTGTTAGGGGTCGAGCTACACATGAAAGTGATATGCACGAGCCTTTGCTTTTTCGAAGACTCCCGAGTCGGGGCGGCGGACCCACCTGAAGGTTAAGTGCGGTGTCCACAGCTGCGCGCTGCTCTTTAACGCTTGAGGCAGCGGCCATCTGCCGCATAATGCGGCCCCAGCGCGCCTACACTCTTCGCGCCAGGCAACTACAGTGCCTGCAGGGATTCAGGTACAGGCAGAAGCCCGAGTACATCTCAGCCAAAACTTTCCCAAATAAGCGCTTCTCAAGTTCATTTCAACCCAACATCAGCGTGGTATATACAACTTCCCGGTTATCCTCCCCTCTTGAGGACGCGGATCGACGCATGGCGCCCGGTGCCAGAAACGTAGCATAAAAATAGCCCGAGAGCACTATGTTCTCCTCTACAACCAACAACGCCTCGTTACCGAAGCGTTGCGCACCTGAAGCGCTTCACGGCCCGACCTCGCGAAGTCTCCTTCAGACGGGCCGACAATCAGGATGCCTCAAGCTTTCTCCCGTGAGCTGGTTCACCAGAGTTCAAGCACCAAGGACAGGAATCCAGGAGTAGCCCGCGTTGTTGAAAGCAGCTGTGAACGAACCTTTCATGAAATCAAGCATACCTGAAGACGAGATGATAAAATTCACAACCTTGTATTCTAATTGCTTATGACGCACAGGCGAAACGTGGATGCCAAGATTACCGAGTACGGAGGAATGTACAGCCCGAAATCCCTTTATGCCAAGCCGAAACCCCCCATCAACGTTTACGCATAAGCAGATAATGCTAATGTAAGATGTACCAGAGTAGTCTTGGCGTAAACATGCCATATGCAGTCCAAGCAGGGCAGAATAAGGCCTCGTCTCCTCTGAGCCAATCGTGTGCATGTAGGACGAAATGGATGTCCAAAAACATATCCATTATAGCAGTGTTAACCTTTCATTCCTTCAGGCCTGTAAGACGTATCCCACTCTTTTCGCAGGAAGCAGTCGAAAGCCAAACAAGTAGTGGTAACCGGCACAGCTGCTTCCCCTGTTTGTGCGTTACAGCGAACTTTGGAATGTACCTGAAGGCCTGAGCAGCGCACCCGTGCCAGCTTGTTTGACTTCCAATGCTGCTGCGCTGGCACTCAAACTGGCCCCGTGAAGGCCGGTAAGCCGCCCAACCTGGACTGCAAAATCGGCATAAGCAGCGGATAGAGCAGCGGCCGCCTCGCTGCCGGCATCCGCAAGTTCAGCATCCCGGTAGTCATCAGGCCTCTCCCGCCGCTGCATACCTACTATCCGGTTAAGCTCAGCCCGCCACCATGGAAGGGGCTCAACGTCTGGGCCACAGCACCTGGCCAGCAGGTCGTTGTACTTGAACTGTTGCTGGCCCTGCATGTGCGTATACCTGTTTGACAGGAAACGCAAGGCAGGCAGGAGGAAAGAACCCTGGCTGCGTTCAAAATGCAACCCGCAGGTTATTTTGCAAAAGAAATCACGAATGTCCCTTTCGGGCAGCTTGCCGACCTTGTGTGTGTCGGCTTATCGTGCACTCCAACGTTCAGTTTCCGCAGAGTTCCTCCTAAATAAATCCAACCAACTCCAGTGCCTGGTCGTCATAGGCATGCCCAGCGTTCCCATAACCACGCCCGCTCATACCGTTTAGGCAGCTGCTGAGCCCGCATAGCCTCGAAATGAACGGCGATGTCGGCCTCCATCTGGTCATGGCTCGGAAGCGGCACGCGGCCCGACAGCAATCTGCGCCAGACCAGTTGCAGCAGCTGACAGGCGGTAGACTAGCAACGGCGCCAGTGGACGCCCGGGCACGCTGTCATCACTTCCCGATACGTCATGGGCCCGTCCGGCACACGCGGCTGGCTGGCTGCGTGACCGAAACCCTGATACAATCTCTCTCTCTCTCTCTCTCTCTCTCCCCATCAATGAGCCAGATTGCCAGTTCACACACAACTCCCTGGGCCAAATGTCCCATCACCCCTTAGCTGCCGAAGCCCCCCAGCACCTAAGCAACCATAAACCTAAGCTATAGGGTTATCACCGGGCCATAGTGTCATAGTCGTGCCATCGTCCGAGTGCCATAGTCGCGAAGATGGGCTTCCTGCCCCCCTCAGAGCGCCTCTTTCCTCTTCTTCCCAACCAGCAAGCCACACAATCCAGTCCGGCTGCGTGTTGCCACGCGGCAGCCCTCTCTACCCACCTGGCTATCAGCTTGCTTTGCATCTGGAATTGCGGAAAGGGCACCACCTTCCAGGGTAGACCTATGAACGACAGTCCGGGCGCCAGGGGCCCAGGGGGCAACATGTGCAGCCACAGGGGTCCCACGCAATTATCCTCCACACGGGCAGCCGCGGCAGCAGAGCCGCGCAGGAAGGGGAAAGAGTACCTAGGACAGGGAGAAGTGGGGTTACCGGCTGATAAGAAACACACCCGGCAGGGTACGAAATATGTCTTGAGCGGACCCTTAACAGTCAGGCGGTTGATTACAGAAAGGACCACACTATTCCGCGGACGCCTCGTGAGCAACGCACCTGTAGCCTGTGCAGTAGATGACAGCGTCGATGGGCCCCTCCCGGCGACCATCCGTGAACGTGGCGGACCCGTCCGCGTGCAACTCCGAAACCATTGGGAACCTGCGGCACGAGCGCAGCATTAGGATAATCAGGCCGCTGAACACATGGGCCCCAAGGGGCCGTCAGCAGAGACATCCTTGCATTGCGCATCACTGCGCATGGGTCAAAACGCCGTTACGCGGCTGGTTCTACAGCCGTGCTGCTACAGCTGCCACCTCGGCTGATCCTGTGACTGCTGTGGACATCCTATGCTGCTGTTGCTGCTGCACCTGCTGCTGTCCGAATGCTGTATTCGGGCGTTCAGCATCCTCACCGGTAGATGTTAGACCCCGGTCCATACGGAGCGGTGTCAGCGGCCCAGGCCTCGTTCTTCCAGGACCAGGCGGAAAGCAGCACCCGGGCAGCCCCTCCAGCACTGAGCTCCCGACTGATGTCCTCCCCAGAGTTGGATGCACCCACCACCAACACCACCTTCGACACGGGGGTCGAGGAAACGAGAGCGCGAACGCGGGTTAATGTCACATGGAAAAGATGGAAAAGATGAAGGCGAGCTAACACGGCAGCGTTGGGTTGGGCCAACATGGACACTGCGCACTGGATGTGGAAATGGGATCGAGTGGCGACGGTGTAAAATGAAACTGTGATGCCGTCGTGTGATGCATCGCCCTTGTTAGCAATAAGGTAAGTGGCGTCTTATTGACAGCCTGCAACGGCAAGTTGCGCCGCGGACGGGAACGGGTACATGTCGCTGGCTGATGCCATATCTCGTGAGCTCTCCAAGGCCGCTGCTGCCGCTGCGGCGGCGGCGGCGGCGGCTGCCGCTACTGCCATTGGTCGGTTTACTGCTGCTGTCGCCTCCGCCTGTGAACTAGGCTGCTGCTGGCGGGGCTTTTCACCCAGCCGGGCTGCCACTGCTGGTGTTGGCTGCCAGCAACTGGTCCATCATGCCATTGGACGCGGTAATGATATATGGATCCAATTTTCATGACATTGACCGGATAAAACCTGTTGCTCCGGCTATTGAGTAGCGTTCGCTCTGGTGACGCTCACATTCTGGCCTCGTCAAGGTCCCCATCAGGCCCCACTTTTGCTGCATTGCGAAAACGCACAACGCGCACTACCTTTCCCCGCAGCTTCTCAGCGGACCGATAGTTGTGGCTGTGTAGCTGCTCTCCTGGGAAGCCCCGGTCACAGGGAGAACTGCCGCCACTGCCGTACATGCCGCGCACTTGAGGGAGGCGCGGCTCGCTGTAGTGCCCGTTACATACAACCACCGCGTCGTACAGCTCCTGCTGCTGTTGGTTTCGGAGCCGAGCTGCCTGGGGCTTTTCCCCGCCATCACGGTCGTTGGAAACAGCCTCCTGTCCGTCCCCATGCCCCTGGCTCCGGTCCCGGGATGGTGAAGCTGTTGCTGCCGCCGCATGCTCGGCGATGTTGCTCCCACCATCGGGGCCCAGCCACTCCGAAGTCACCACAAAGCCAAACCGCGGAGATAACGGTTCCGTCGCTGCTTTCCCCGCGGCTTCCTGCTGCTGCTGCTTCAAATGCTGGCAGCGATCTTCCGGGCCTGCTGCAGCAGCTGCTGCGGCGGCCCCCTCGGCGGCCGCCTCCTCTGCAAGCTGTACGCTGAGCACCCGTGTGCGCGTCCGCACAAGGGCCCGCAGCTCAAAGTAGTCCGCAAAGGCATCCAGGTAGCCTAGGACCTGGGGGTTATCGCACGTGATAAGAACCTCACAGGCAGCGCGAATCCCACGTTGGTTATGGCAGGGGAACTTGCAGGTCCACGCCTCCTTACGTCATGACCACGAGCGCCGTAAGGCCCTGATGAGCACATTGACCCTCACCTCTGCATGTCCACAGAAGCGCCGTGGGTCGGATGAGTAGCGGGGCCCTAGGAACGCCGCATCGAAGGGGAAGTCCACAAAGGACATCAGCTCGCGCGGTAAGTTGGTACGAAGCTTCTCATACATGCTACTGTGGACACGCGACCGGTCTGGATTGGCACCCAGGAGGTCCCCAGTTTCCGTACGGGGGTCATAGCGCCACACGCCGCCCACGTACGGCGACTGCTCCAGAACAGTCACGTCATGGCCTTCGTCGCGCAGCTCGCGGGCGGCTGCCAGGCCCGCAGCTCCGGCACCGATAACAGCCTGGAGGTAGTCAAGAACGGCATTTGGGTTAAGCCATCATCATCCTGGGTTGACGGCAGGAAGAACTACAAAAGCGAGAAAGTGAGCATCCGTCGGATTGATGCTTGCATGAGCAGCAAGCAGCAAGGTAGGACACCCATCAAGAAATTAACTCTGAATATACATGTGCGGGGATGTGAGCGGTAAAAAAAGCTGGGCTTGTGATGCAAACGAAGCGTGCGGCCCAGACGGTTGTGCGTTGCGGCATCCATGCAGAGACATACCACGCGTCTTGATCGACGAATGGCTCCATTTGGATGATTTGTCATTGAGCAAACTATAGTATTGGCCGCACAGCAGCGACTAGGCCGGGCGCGAAGCAGCCCCGACGCGAGTCGGTTCCTCATATGTGACGTGCCCAATGCAGTTGAGACAGCTACTACCTACGCATAGCCATTCAAAGCTACAAATATCTCTCGCATTTGAAAACTCAAATGTTTTGACAGCTGCTGTAAGGCTCCTTAGGAAGCTGGCTGACTGTGTGACTGCTATGCAACCATCCAAGCTGATCAAGATTTGTAAGACGACTTCTCGACGTGTTCTACAATCTATTTTCACGGATACGCGGTAGATTTACACGATTCATTGGAGCGGCACAAGGCAGTCAAGAGTGGTTGCACGCTTCGTACGAGTCTGGTACTTTTTTGCTTGTGCCGCCCATTTCGCGCTCTGCTACCGCCCGTTCGGCAATGCAGCCCCCTTTACGAAAATCCATCAGACTGGACAATAAAGGATCTGAACGGTCCGGCCAAACTCAGCCGCTCTCGTATGTCCTCCTAGTTACGTTCTAGGCACGCAACCAGCCCAAATTGTCCACGGGGACCCGACATACACCTTTACCAGGAATTTCTACGACATCTCCTGCCTTCCCCCCCCCCCCGATACCCTGCCAAGTGGCCCATGGCCGAACGCGAAAAGAATGGAGGTGCGAAAAGAACTTTGCACAGCTGCCTTCCTTCCGCAGAGCCCATCAAAAGAAACGCAAAGGCAAGCCGCGCATTCCATGCGCCGTCGAGGAGCTCACTCCCCTCTCAAGCCAACCCTCCTTCAGAACGCCGGCAGGCTGTTCTGATCCACTCTGGGGGAGAGCATGGGGGGTGTCAGCCAGGATGTGGGGGACATCGTGCGCACCCGGGACCGCAGAGCCGGACCGAGAGGCGGCCTGCACGGGGACTGCTCCCGCTCCCCTGCAACCTGCAAGCAACATTGCCCGTCAGCGAGTAAGTAAAGAATAAGTGAGCAGCCAGGACAAAATAAGAGACAAGGATTATTAGCTTTTGTCTTGCATGGTCACCATCACAGTCATCCACATGGCTATTTTTGCATGTGAAATTAAGGTTGTGATAATAGCACGGCCGGTGCAGCGCAGCATAGCAAAGGACGCCAGGAAACAGCACAGCACAGCAGGACAGTGCACCCAACTACTGTATTATGAATATATATACTGCACTTCCCCCGACCACCCGTCGTATTACCATGCCCGCGACCTCGCGAACCTCTGACGCCTCCACCGCCCCCAGCTCCAGCAAAAGGCCCACGAGGCCACGACAAGACTTCCAAATCTTCCGTGCTGTCCGCATGACAGCTTGCTGCTCCTCGCGCCCGGCAGTTGGCGGTTGGCAGTTGACGGGCAGTTTGCAGCACCAATAATACAGGTTCATGGCAGTTGATGACCGCGGCTCCAATGATTTGAAAGATGGGTATGCAAGTTATGTAAAAGACAGGAGGACATTTGGCTAGGCTTATGATGGGCTTTGGACGAAGCAGCGAAACAACAAATATCGTCTGGTCGCCCGCAGCAGCATGTAAGCCCATGCTGCCGCGAGCAAGCCACAGCACATAGCATACACCCTCTCTCCCTTCTCTCACCTCTTCTTCCTCCCCGCCAACGTTGCCGTACAATGGATCCTCGATATCCATCTCGTCACCCGCGGTGCTGTACTGCATGACTGCTGGGGGCTCCTGAGCCTCTGGAGCCGGCAGGAACTCCCCCAGCCGTCGTACCTTGTACGAGAACTGGGCTGTGCGGTTGATGAGTTCAAAAGAGGACACCTGGGGATTGGTGTACGGCGGAGAGGGGTGGTTGGTCAGGTTGTGGTTGAGGCAATGGTTGAGGAAACATGACTAGTTGTTACACCTGAATGTACGTGACTATTTTTAGTTGTTGACCGCACAAGCGATGGTCGCAAGTCGCAGTTGATGCATCCCTGCATACAGGAGGTGTCGCGGGAAACAAGGCGCGACAAGACTCACTTCGCAAAAGGGACACTGCCTCCAGATGTGCACATGAAATCAAAGTCTAGAGGTTGTAGAGGTTGTACTTCACGAGGCTTCAGAGAACAATCACTACCAATGGGGCGGCACGGCCAGTGCATATGGAGTGGTGATCTGGCTTTGCAATGAATAAAGCAGCGATTTGGATGGCTAGTTGACTGAACTCCAGGCATAAATAAAAAACACGCATAAATAGACTCACGTTGCACCGCCTGGTGCTCATATCATCACAAGTAAACACACACCTGCACCAACACGGCGTCAGTGCGGCGTCAGGGGCAGCTGACAGCAGCACTCCCTGACAGAGCCGCGAAACCACCCCCTCTGCCATCAGCGCCGCTACTACTACTACTACTACTACACTACTACACACATACACTCACGCACTCGCCCACCTACTCACCTCGCGCATCACATCGCCCGCCGTGAACTTGTCCATGACGAGTAGTAAATCGTACGACACAATGTCGTTCGCCGGGTCAAACAGCCGCGCGGCGTGCTGTGCCGGCAGCTCCAACCCCATTGCCTCGGCCGCGGCAACCACTGCTGGCTCCGGCCCCTCACCCAGGTTGTAGGGACGTGTACCCTGAAAGGGTGAACAGATGTGCCGCGTTTTAGCAGCAAAAGCAGAGAAGCTGTGACATTTTGTAAGAAGCCTTCATAGCAGCAATAGCATGCTCTCCACGGTGTCTACTGTGGCCAACCCAGCCGATACCTCAGCTCTACTCTTTCAGCACTGTCAGTTGCAACAGCAACGCAGGTCTCAATGGTTCTCCGAGTCCTCCGCCGCACCACCGCCCAGCGCCCAGTGCACAGTCACAACTGGCACACTTTCACCTCTCCCTAACTGGATTTGCCGTACTACGTTGTACTCACACACGTGGCCAGCTCCACTTGCCCCTCCAGCCCCGCATCCTGTAACATCACTCGTAGACTGGCAGCCGCCAACACGGAGCGAGACACGTCACTTTCGCTGATCAGTAGCAGGCATGCCTGAAGCCCCGGGGGGAAATATGCATATGGGATATGAGGAGGGAAATCATACTCAGGGATGCAGGGGACGAAGAGGGGAGGGAAAACCGCAGACTTGGGCACGAGGGTGGAGGTAGGGAGGAGCAAAAAGGGATGACGAAGGGACACCGTTAGACTGGGACACGTCCGAGGCGTGCAAGGGCAGGGGGAGGGAGTCATCGTGCTGTGGATGTGTTGGGAATGTGTTGAGCTTGTCAGGTGTGAGGGGCACCTCCCTCCCTTGCTGACCTGTTCGAAGACTCCCCCGGAACTCTCCAATATAGAGCTTGGTTGATCTATCTATGCATTTGGGTCATGCGCGGATCCAGCGCTTTTCGTTCAAACGCCCATAATGGCATTGTTATCCGCATTCACCCCAACCCCGTCTCCTCATCCACCTCACTGAACTGCCAGCCCCTCCCTGCCACCGGCGGTGTTAACCCGGGCCAGGGATTTGAATTCCGCTTGAGGCCGTGGCGCGGGGGGTTTGTCCTTGTCGCGGGTGGTTCGGTTGGGAATTACTAGACTCACAGCCCCCACACCTGGGGCTTTTGCTCTTGACTTCGGAGCCGCTCCGCGTCCCAAGGAGCAGCACGGATGACGGGGTCGACAACCAGGCGCTCAACGGATTCCGTTACGTGCTGTACAGGGGCGTCCTCACGGTGTATGTCCTGGGGGCGTCGCGTTGCAGGCGTCCCGAGGGCATCGCGTTACAGCAGCGCGCTCGGCAAGTACAGTACTACATCGTAAGCAGCGTTGGTGGGCTCAGCTCAGACTTACGTTTTTTGCTTACTATTGTTTTTGTTTATGCTTACAACAGGTAAACAAACACCGGACACGTCAATCTCATGCCGGGTTTGCCTGTGTGGCTCGTTGGCCCGTGGGGGCTGCGTCAGCGCCGACGCAAAGCAGAGTTTAAGGTCTCGACATAGACACACATGCAATCCACCCGTATAAAATGAGACGGGATCAACCTTTCTTGAATAGTTCGGTTTTCGATTATTCGGTGCAGGAAAATCAAATGCACCGTTAGGCGGACGCTTTCCGTTTTACCATCAGGATTAACAGTCTCCTTCTTTCCGGCCACGCTGCATATACCTGACCAATCTGCAGCCCTCCCGAACAACTTCTTACGTGGCACACAAATATGAAAGCTTTGGTGAGAGGCAAAGTTCCACAAACCTTTTCCCCAGCCCTTGCCGCCGACGACGCAGGGGAACTCCGCCAAAGTTCCAGCCCACCTTATAGTTACAGCGGATCTCACTGTCCTTGGTGCTTCCACCAAGGATAGGCGGACCGACGACCACTCGCCTGTAGGCCTCGGGAACTAACTCCCTCGCATTATGTCTCCGACAGGAGGTTTCCTTGCGCAAGGTAAGGGTACTCTGCATCTTTATTAATTTCAACAAAAAGTATAAAGGGTTGTATATTATGGGTTTTATGGTCTTACCTCGTTAGTATTTCCTTGCATTCCTTGCGTCCGAGACCAAAGTGGAGCGCGGATTGAAACTTGGTCTTCGCCATCGCCTTTTGACACGCAAAATGCAGTTGTGCGCTGCATGCAAACTTGCTGTTGCTGCTCCATGCAAATCACTGCTGCATAAGAACCGTGTCTCCTGTAATAACACGAGGACCTTAGGAATGACTTGACAGTCGTAAGCGTAGTTGAAATGCAATAACGCTCAATCGTTGCGCTCCAGATTGCTTGGAGCGCGGACGGGGGTGTCCAATAGCGTCTGGGCAAAATGGAGCCCTACAAACTCATAACCAGCCGAGCGCCGCTCTCGGAGACGCTTGGACCTCCCGGCTTTCACCCTTTGCTCCCTGTAAGTTATATGCCTCTGGCACACCTTGTTCAAATGTCCCGCAGTAGCGTAGATAGATGCCCAACTCGTAGCTATTCTGCTACGTGGTGCGACAGTACAGGCAAGAGGACGAAGCGTGGCCTATTGCAATCCCGTGCGTTAGCCCTTTCATGGTCGCATGGGTCCCGGCTTCCGCCCTTTCCGAATGGTATCTTCACCCCATCCTCACCCCGTCCCGCGGGGGAACTAAGCGGCTACTCTCCCCACCCTCCCCTGCTGGCTGTCTCGTGGTAGCCACCTCTCCAGCTACAACTAATGCACCGCTGACTGTTATAGATGCAGCTAACCCATGATGCGGCGTTGGGCGCTCCACAGCACGTTCCATAGTTCCATAGCTTCAGCCCCCCCTGCCTCACCCTGTCCATGCCGGTGCCCCCCGGCTCTAGTACGGTGCCCCGGCCCCTCCCTGGACTGCCATACATCCCTAACACCGTGGTGCTCCGCGCCCTGCATAGCCCTCCTGCTGACGTCTCGGGCCCCACGGGCCCTCGCCGCTCCCGGGCAAGCTGCTTTGCGCTCAACTCCTGCCTAGGCCAGGGGGCTCCAGTGCTCATGTGCCTGAACCCCCCCCTTGGACATTGTCCTCCGTGTCCCTCCCGCTCTTGCATCATTCACAGGTTGTGTAAACCCTCACCCGGTCCGGCAGCTGACTCACTGCTGCTTGCAATCCCCGTGATTTCCATCCTCCCCCCCAAAAAAAACACGCATACTTACCACGGTGCAACCCGGTGGTTCTCCCCCGTGCAGGGTAAATGCCCCGAAGACTGTTTCACGGCCCAGCTGGCGGAGCGCGGCTACAAGGATGAGCTGCAGCCGTTCCGGATTGACGACACCAACGACTCCCTGTGGTCGCTGTCTAAGGTCTTGGTGGACAGCGCGACCAGCGCGGGAGCAGCGGCGGATGGCGCTGGTGCTGGGGCTGGGCCTGGTGGAGGAGGTCCAGGGGGAGGTGGTGGGGGCAGCCTGGGGTGCGCCGGCCCCCATCCCTTGGCGGCCGCCGCGTCAGCACTACAGCGGGTGGGGCCGGGTGGTGTAGGGCTGGATCGGCGGGCGTGTGGGGCGGTTAGGTAGTTGCGTGCGGGTGGGTGAGTGGGTGCTGGTCACTGAGTGGGTCGTGATGTGGGTCACCGGGAGAAACAAAGTCCGGAAAGGCCCAGATCAGACAGCCTTTATTTCCACTGCCTTGCCTATCGCTCTTACTGCCCCGGCCTCGCCCCTCCGTTCGGACTCGTACATATTGGCGCAGGCCGCTCTGTCCATGTTGACTACGGCGCAGCGACAGCGGCTGGAAGCAGAGCAGGTGAAGGGGGGAAGGGATGGCCTGGGATGCTGATGCGGTGGCGGTGGTATCCGTGCGGGGCCGTATGGCCTGTACTGTTGGGTCGGGGCCCCACGGTCACAAGTGGCATCCGGGGTTGGAGGGCGCCACCTCTGCCATCTCATCTCCGTCTCGCGGCATGTGTCCAGGGTGGGCCCCTAAGCGCACTCGGGTGGGGGTACGGCATGGGCATCCCAAGGGAACGAAGAGACAAGAGCCGTAGGGCAAGAGCGGTGGTAACCCACATCTCCACGTCGTCCCGTGTCATCTGGGTGCGGGTGGGAGGGCGTTGCCATACAGCCGTGGAGTTGTGCTCAGAGGCCCTTATGAGTCGCGGTCAGGTAGGGGGTTATCCGTGGGGGACGTAGCGCCCTATGAAAGTGCTAAGCCAGGAGGGGTTGTGGAAGTGGGTATGTTAGAAGCCAAAGCCAGCGCTCCCCACGCTGCTCGTACACCCCGTCAGGCCAACATTACGTCACCGCCGGTCTCCTCGGCATCGCCGCCGCCGCCGCCACAGCCGCGCGCGCCGCACAAGCGTGCGACTGCAATGCCGCTGTACGGCAACCCAGCGGTGGCCATGTCCCAGGGCACCGTACAGCTTCCGGAGCTGCGGACCGCATCCGATGTGGGTCGTCGTCTGTGGCTATCGGCGCTTGCTGGTTCTGCATCTCTGGGCTACCTGGCGCAGACGGCTCCGACCATGCCGGACAGGTGAGGTGGGCAGTGGGCTCCAAAAGGGGGAGAACTGAATGGCGACACCCCGCTAACCCCGGTGGAGAGCTCCCAGCTGAAGGAGGACTACTGAATCTGGAGGATCTGGATGAGGGAAGTGGGGGAAGTCTTCGCCTCGTGTTAATCTCCTGTCCAGTCCCTCGCCCCACACGGCTATGTGACAACCATGGCATACCGCGGTCGCACACCGCCGCGGACGTAGATCTGCGAACTAGGGGGAATCATGCAAGTGAGGCTTCCGTACAATAGGGATTGAGGGGTTTTTAAACAGCTGTGTTGGTGGCTCGTTGACGCTGGGGTAGGTGCGTGGGTGGTTGGTTGGGCGACTTTAAAGGCGATGCGTTGTGTCGCGGCTACATTCCAATCCGGCGCCTACAGCTGCTGCTTCTACTGCTGAGTAATAGAAACCATGATGTTGCAGGCGGCTCTTCCTTGGGCTCATGTGGCAGACGGGCGTTCCCATACCAAGAGCGACGTGGTTCGTGCGGCTACTGTACACCCATCTGGCTCGGCAACAGCTGCGGCCGCTGCCGCCGCCGCCGCCGTTGCCGGCAGGCTCGGCCGCCGCTGCGGCAGCAGCCGCAGGCGGGGGTGGCGCGTCCGCCGCCGCGGCTGGAGCAGGGGCTCAGGTACGGCCGACTTTACATGGATGGGCTGAAGGCGAATATCGCAGTTGTTGTGTCCTGTTGCTCGTCCAGCGATCTGAAGGCGCCGCCGGGCTGGGGCAGATGACCCGGCGCGGTAGCTGAAGACAGTTGGGCTGTGCTGCGAGTCCCTATGTCTGCGGCCTTGCCTGAAGAGGATACGCATCTGGCTATGTCCAAATCAGGCCATTAGTTACTGGACAGCAACCAGTAATGTGAGAGGCCTGCTTTGCTGGTTATGTCCAGGAAACGAGGTAGAGGTAATCCCAGCCCTGCTTGTGCAGTTTCAGCCTAAGTTCCGGGATAATGTGCGGCGTAGTGTTCCGTCGCCGCGTCCGATTTGGATTTCCTCCCATAAAAGACAGCTAGGCGCATGCATGGCACCTGCCTTGTAACCCGCTTCGGTCCGCCTCCTCCCACAGGCTGCCTCGTCCGCCCTGGCGTCCACCCGCGCCTCTCTATGGACGTCCGACCTGCTCACGTACCTCGACAGCCAGATCGCAGCCGTGGAGGCCGCGGCCGCCGCCGCGGCCGCTGCGGCAGCAGCAGCAGCAGCGGCCACGGCCGCGAGCAGCGCTGGCGGCGGTGCCGGCACCGCGGGGCCGCTGCCATCTCCTCCCGTCGATTACACCGCAGCCTCCCCTAATGTTGCGAGTCCAGACTGGGCGAGCTTATCCGCTGACGATGCGTTTCCAGCTGCCGGGAGTGGCGGCGGTGGCGGCGGTACCGCAGCATGCGGCGCTGACCCACGCGCGCGGCTGCTGGATTACCAGCCTGGCGCACCGGTGCTGTACTTAGTACGGCTGGCTGGATCCACGTTCCTTGACGGCTTGCTGGACACAGCGAAGCTCGTGGACTGGGGCTGTGGGCAGCTGGCGGCGGTGTCAGCGGCGCTGGGGGGCCCGCCGGCAGCGCCAGTGCCAGCAGGCGCAGTGGCGCCGCCGGGGAATGGTATGGCGGCGTCGGCGGGCGGCGCCGGCGGCGTACCCCCACCGCTGCCGGTGGCGGCTGCTCCAGCTGCCGGTTCAGCGGCTGGTGCAGGAATGGCTGCTGCCGGGCCCGGCGGCAGGGCACTTACTGCGGCAGAGCAGCTCCGCGCGCAGGTAGCCCTGCAGCTGCTGCTGGCTTGTCTGCCGGACATCACACAATCGCTGCTACATGTACGGGTAATTGTTGACGCGGTGGTAGAGCTTTTGATGGCTGCGCGTTGTACGGCACCTGGCAGCGGCGCCGTGGCAGCAGCTGACGCCGCTGCGGCCAATGGTTTGGGTGCCGGCAACCCCACGAACACCTCTGGTGCGGCGGGTGCCGGCGCTTCCAACTCAGCATCGCCACCGGGCCCGAGCTCGCCGTCAGGTGCGGTATCCCCTCCGCTAGGTTACGGAGCCACGCCCGCGGGAAACCCCGTATTCGGCTTGACGGCGGTGTCGGCTGCGGCTGCTTTGGGAGGTAATGATACGGGAGCTGGTGGCCTGGATTCATCTGTCACTGAGCTCGCATTGGAATGCCTGGAGGGCTGTGTGCGTAACGCACCAGCGGCCGTCCTTTCCCTGGATTCTTTGCCGCTGCTCGTACGGGCGCTGAAGGCGCCCTGGCCGCCAGCTTCTGGGGCGGCAGCAGCAGCAGCGGCGGGCCCAATCGGCGTTAGCGGCGGAGAGGATGCCGCCGCACTAGTAGCGGCGGCGGCGATAGTTTGTCCGCGGCGCCGCGCGATGGCTGACAAGCTGGCGGCTGCACACGCGAGTTTGGCGACGTCCGTCAACACTCGGTAGGATTCCGTACTTTGTAGGTTCGACTACAATTTCCCATAGAATGTATATATTATTGTGTTTCCTGGTTTGCCACCCTTCACGCGCCCAGGCTCCTTGCCTTCAACCCCGTTGCGGCGCTCCGAGATTTGGACCGTGCGGCGGCGGCGGGTGACGTGGACGCGGGGATGGCCACGCTGGCGCAAGCCTGCTGGGGAGACGTGTCCCGCCCGGAACCTGCCGTACAGCTGCTTGGGAATTGGACTGTGGGGTTACCCATCGTCTTGCCGCCAGTGCTGGTCCCGCCGGTGTCGCCATCGGTGTCTTTACAAGCAGCAGCGACGGCGGCAACCGACAACCCAGCGGCGCGAGCTGACCAGGTCGACATGGGCCTCGCCTGCCGTACAGTTTACGCATGCCGGTTGATGGTGCGCTTAGCTGCGGAGTGCCGCCGCAGTCGGGTTGAAGCCGCGGCGGCGGCATCGCAGGGCCTGTCGCCGCCGGTGCCGCCGCCGCTCGCGAGCGCAAGCAATATTGGAGCCCAAGCAGGGACGGCGTCGGCAGCAGCCGGTCCTGCCACGGCGGGTGGAGCGCAAGGGACGCTTCGGACGGGGCCGGGCCCCATCCCGCCGGGGGTTCAGCCCCTTGCGGCTGCGCCGGGCTCGGCAGGGCCGCCGGGAACGACCCGTGGGTCCAGGGCGGGAAGCGCTGGAGGGATCAGCTCGGTCGACTTTGGCGCGTCGGCGCCGGTGCTGCAGGTAAATGCCGTGGTGCGGACTTTTACCTGTCGTTAGGAATGTGCTAATTACAGGTGCATGCAGACATGTATGTGTGTGTGTATGTATGTATGTATGTATGTATGTATGTATGTATGTATGTATGTATGTATGTATGTATGTATGTATGTATGTATCACCTGGCACAACGTTTCTTACAACATTGCTGCCAGAACCTGGAGCCCTTTCCCTCGAATTTCTTGACTGCTTTGACGCATGTATATAAGTATATATGCCTGCCCTCCGCAGGACGCCATTGTCTCATGGCTGGTGAGCAGACCGGGGCCTTGGCGGAGGAGCAGCGGCCTCGCCGGCGACGGGGCCGCCGCTGCCGGTGCCGCCACTGCTCCCGCAGGTGCGAGCCGCCCGCCGTCACCCGCTGGCGTGGAGTCGCCGCCATCGGCGGCGGCGGCGGCAGCGGCGGCGGCAGCATTGCCAACAGCAGCGGTGACGACGACGACGGCTGCGGCGCCTGGCCGTGCAGCCGCCGGCGGCGCGGCTGTCGGAGGCTGGCAGGAGCTGCACCTCCGGCGCACAGTCCAGTTCCTGGTGTGTATGACGGAGGCGGGCGTCTTCTCCCCCACTGCGTTCGTACAACGTCTCCTAGTTGACGGCGTCTTTGATCCAGTGCCTGCCGCCATGGACTACTGGCCCGATATGCGCACAGCAGTCGCGGCAGGGCCCGCTATTGCACCAGCAGTAGCAAACTCGCTACCGGCAGAAGTCCCCCCTGCATGTGGAGAGGGCGGCGGCAGCGGAAGCTACAGCCGTGACGACGCCGCTGCGTTGGCGCTCTACCTGCAGCACCTGCATCCTCACCTAGTCGCAGCCTTGGACGAACAAGCAGCGGCGACAGCTGCGGCGATGGCCAGCAATGTACGGCCCGGGTTTCGCCGTACCCTGGGTGGTAGCGTGGCGGCGTTCGGACAGCAGCAGCAGCAGCAACGGGTGGGTGGGAGTAGCGGCGGCGCCTCAGTGCTGGCGGAAGCTGCGGAGCTAGCAGGTAGCTCCGGACCCGTGAGTGGTCATGCGTACGGCAGGACGCGCAAGAGCTTGCTGGCCGTGGCTCGGTGTCAGGGCCTGCTGCTTCGTACGGCAGCTGTCGCGGCGCCGGGCCAGGCCGATTCAGGCGATGGGCTCCGAAAGCGCCAGCGTCGGCGGCGTCTAGGCCCCGCGAGCTATGGAGGAGGCAATGAAGCGAAACGTCGCCGCACAACGGCTGGGGTGTTGGCGGCACGGGGCCCACCGCCGCCGCCGCGCGCGGCCTCGGTGGCGGAGCCTCCGTCCACGCCCCTGCCAGTTTGCAGCCCTGCCGCATCCCCAGCGCCAGCTCACGCTCCTTCGGGAACCCCCTCACACACCGCCACACCGGCAGCATCAGTACCCGACACGTTTGAAAGAGTGCTAGCGGCGGCGTTCCGCTCCCTGGACTCCTTGACGTACTTGTCGTTAACCGCTGCCGTACGCGGCAGGAGCGCGATCCCCAGCGGCAGGCCACCGCAGCGCGCACCATCGCCGGGAGTTCCCCCGTCACCCGGCCTGGCGGCGTCACCCGGGCCGTTCGTGTCCTCACCCAGCCCGTCGTCGTCGCCCCTGCGTCCGGAGATCATGGAGGTAGAGGCCGTTGTGGACGGCGGCGCCGCCGGCAATGTCGGCGGATCCACCTCCCCCGCCGGCGTGCGGGGACGGCGGCCTGAGGATTCCGCCACGCCCTCCGCAGGCCGGGTCCGGGTTGTCGGTCGTATTGCCGGCCGCGGCGGGGACCCCGACCTGCTGGCGGAGGTCCGCGGCCTGCGGCCGTGGCAACAGCGCCTGGTGGCGTCAGCTGTGTGCCGGCACGTGAATGCCGTACTCTCAGCGGCCTTGATGCCACCGGTGCCGTTCGGCATAACGGCGGCGCCGCCGCCATTCCCGTCAGCGTACGTCAGGGCGTGCGCCGCCGCCGCGCTGACCAAGCCTGCGGAGCTGCCGGGGGGCCCGCTGACGGAGGCGGTAGCGGCGGCCCGCGCCGGAGGCGGCTTCTCGGCTGTGAAGCACGGCGACACCTGGCTGCTGCGGTACGCTCGTTGCGCCAGCCAGCCGACATAGGCCTTACGAGGGGAAGGAGGGTGTTTCATCACATCATGCCAAGGGAACACGCGGCCCACTGGGCTCACTCCCCGCAGCGCCTCGTCCTGACGTGACATGACATGGCACAGCTCCTCGTCGGCTCCTAGCTTTCACAGGCAGAGCTGCTACATGGCCGAAGCGCTCTGACCCAAATGCTGTAATGCGTATGACTCTGCCCATCTGTGTTGAGCTGCCAAGCCGCTAGGGAAACGGCGTTAAGGAGCCCGCAGCTTCCCAATGCCTGTGTGTGAGCAGTGAGCAGCTAGTGAATTGAGGGAGAAGGTGTACTTGCTTACGACTGTATGCCGTACCTCCCGCCCTTTTTGTATCACCCGTATGTATATGCAACCCCATGCACGCCGCACCCGCTGCTCACCGCTCTCCATCCCGCCGTTGACCTGTCGGCTGTGTCCCCGTGTAGTTGCCTGGCCCTGCTGGAGGCCTGTCAGTGCTGGCACTGCGGGCCCCAGCTGCTGCTGCACCTCACGGCGCTGCACGTGGAGGCCACGGGGCAGTGGGCCACGTCATCCGCGGCCACATCACCCGTTGGTACGGCAGCGGTATCTCCCGCCGCGGCTGCTGCTGCGGCGGCGCTTGAGAATGGCGGCCTGTTGTGGCACCGGCTGCGGTTGCAGTCCAGCCTCGTGTTGGCGGCACTGGAGTCCCTTACACCGAGGTAAAAAGAGGTTGGCGGGAAGGATTCCGTCGGGATAATGGAGCGACAGGGCTGCCGTTTGTCTTGTCTTTGCTTGCCTGCCTTGTCGCCGTTGTCGTCGTTATTGTTGTTGTTGCTGCTGCTGCTGTTGTTGCTGATGTTGTTATTACAGAATAAGAGGCTTCCGGGCCATTTGCACACATTTGGATCGTCACATCTAGAATTGAGCACCAAACAGCACCATCCACCACTTTACCACACTGTGCACTACGCCATATGTACTGCAAGTCCAAGGCGGTTGATTACCCCTGCCTTCTAGAATCCCTTCTCCTCATATCATCCGAACATCGTGTATGTACGTAGGTGTATTGATATGCGAGGGCAGGGGGAGCATGTGTTGGCGTGAATGCATGTAGGCTGGAATGCATGTGTTGGCGTGAATGCATGTAGGCTGGAATGCATACACACACACGCACACGGACCCGTTGGCGCTTCCTTATCCGTTATCCTGCTGACTGGCAGCCAACCGTTACGGAGGAGAGCACGGCACCGGGACTAAACAAGGCCATTCTCGCGATACGGAAAAGTAACCAAGACCGTTGTGCGTATTTCGTGTCGTATGAACTCCTTCGCTCCATAGGCTGGTGGGCTGCGGCCTGCTGCTGCCCTCCCTGGACGTGCTGACATCCTGGGCGATCCGGTACGGCGCCCTGCCGACAGTGGGACGGAGATATCTGGGCCGTGCGACTCAGTGCGCCGGGGTACTGGCGGCGGCGGGTGCGGCGGTGGAGGCGCCAGGGGTGCGGGCGTGGTGGGAAAGGTGAGAGGCCGGGGCCCCTGCGCCTGCCGCGCGGGTCGCGAATGAGGATAGCGGGAAAAGGTTGCGAGTGCTGCGGTGTTGATTTTGGGAGGTAAGGATACGGCGGCGGTTGCAGGCATGGAACGGGCGTGGGGGAAGACGGGGGCTAGCTGCTTATGCGGCTCCGGGTTTGCATTTCACCGTGGACTGGACCCTTGGGTCGTTCCCTCCATGATGCAGGTTTCAGAAGCTGGACTCGGCGCATGGGCAGCATTGGCTGATTGGTGACCTGACGCCGTACACCCAGGGACTGGCCTCATCCGCTGGCTCGCCGGGACAGCCCGGTGGCGGCGGCGGCGGCGGCGGTGCTGTGAACTCGGTCTCCCCAAATGCCGTCGGTGCAGCATCTGGTGGCAGTATGACGCCGCCAGGGTTGCCGCAGCCGCGGCCGCCGCTTGTACGGCTTTCTGAACAGGTCGTACAAGCCATGGAGCAGGTCCGTGGAGGGAATGCGTCGCAGCTGGCCGCTCGGTGGAAGGCCTGCACCGACGCATGTGCGCCGCTGGCAGCGGCCCTGGCGGCGCTGCTTACCGGCGGCAGCAGCGCTGGCGGCGGCGGCGGCGGCACCAGTGCCGCTACAGCCGCCGGCGCGCGTGGCAGCCCTGCGGTGACGACGTGCCCTGGGAGCCCTGTCGATGCCACCGCAAGCACGGACGGCGGCGATTTCACGGAACGCCTGCGTACGGCTGCAAGGCAGGCTGGCCGCGCCGTCGCTGGCCTTTGCACGGCATGCACGGCGGGTGAGAGCGACGGCATGCTGCTGCCTGTAAGCAGCATCTTGCACGCGTGGATACGCTGCTGCTGCGCCACTGTCGGCCCAGCCGCTGGCCGGGCGGCTGCAGCGGCCGTGACCCGTGGGTCGCCCTCGGTTTCACAGCCGGGCTCGCCCACCATGGGCGTTGGAGCCGGCGGATCGCGAGCTGCGGCTCTCGGCCCGCGAGCGACGGCGTCAGCGTGGGGCGTGGCGGGGAGCGGTATGATGCTTTGCATCGAGGCGCTGCGTTTGGAGCTCTGTAATTCCCTCGGAGGTATGGTTTCGGAGCAAAGGCTGCAGCGGACTCTCCTGGCGACCTGCTGCGCGGCCTTGTGCGACCCGGCGGCGGCGGCGGCTGACGCCGCCGCGGCGTTCCCCGACGTATGTGCTGCTCGCGGGGCCGGGACGAGCTCTCCGCCGCGGCCGCGTCAACACGGTCCCACGCCAGGCTCCGCCGCTGCAGCAGGGACGGCCGCAGTCTCGGTCGCTGCCGCCGCCGGGGCGGCGGCGGCACAGGAGGCGGTTCTCCGGCTAGTGCTATGCGCAGTGTCGTATGGGCAGCTGCTGTTGGCGGACGCCGTGATGCTGCTCTGCTACGATTCAAGCAATAGCAACGGAGGCGGCGGGGGCGGCAATCGCGCATCTCGGGGCTCCGGAACCACCACGCTTGCTTGGGATGTCATGGCCTGCCGGCGGGCGCTGCTTGGGCCTCCGCCGGGTCTTCCGGGATGCTACTGCCGCGCCGAAGCTGCCGTACGGTCTCGGATCCAAGCGAGCTTGTCCTTGGATCTTGTGTGGGGCTGCCTGGCTGACATACTGCCGAGGGCGACCGTCCTCCCTTCCCCCGGGGGTTCGGCGGCGGCGGGGGCAGCTGCGCCTGGTAGCGACCCCCACGTCATCGCCGCGGTGTTGGTATCCTACCCGCCCCTCCGGCACTGCCTCCTCTCCGATCCACGTGCGCTCCACGAGCGCCTCTGCTCGCCAGCTGCCGTACAGGCCGCCGCGACGCTGCTCGCCTCCGTCACGGAGGTCCCTGCCGGTGAGCCGCCGCTGCGGCTCCCGCAGCGGCTGGTGGTGGTGTCGCTGGCATCGGGACGGTTGGTGCAGCTGCCGGCAGTAGCATCCCTCGAGGGTGCTGCCGGCCTGGATTCGGATGCCTTACTGGTGGCGGCGCTGGCCTCCCTGGAGTCATCCTGCTTTCCGTTAATGTGGTTGCTGCTTCGACTCCTAGTGGACGAGCAGGCGCTGCTGCTGGCGGTCGGCAGCCGTACGGCACCTGCGGGCAGTGAGGCACGGCGGGGGTTGCGGGAAGCAATGGAAGCGGCGGTGGCGCCGCCGGTGACGGTGACGATGGATGGTACGGGACGCGTTTGTCAACTTATCTCTGTTTTCTTGTGAAGTAATGGACATAGGGAGAGGAAAGGGGTGTGAAGGTATCCTAGGAAGGGCCGCAAAAGAGCGAGTATATATGTCAGTCTGTGCGGGTTATGGTCTTTTACTTGTGCTTATAGGCCTCCTGGCGCGGGGAAGCGGGAGTGGGGAGGGGGGGCCCTGGCCGTGGGGCGGCGGCGCGGAATATATGCATGTACGGTATATGCGAAATGTGTGGCATCCCCCTTCCAAGTAAACTTTTTAGTGGAAAAGGTTAGGATCATGTATCGCTGCACATACGTGTCAATGTGTAGTCACAGATTTTGGCCGGCTCCTTTTCAAGCGCAGTGAAGAGGCAAAGTGCCCTACCTCCTGAACGTCGCTCTCTGCCGCTGACGTTCCTGGTTGTCGCGGCTGCGGCCGTGCCCATGCAGGCAAGGACGGCAGCGCGCCTGGTTCCGGGGCGAGGGGAGGCGGCGGCGGGGGCGGCGGCGGCGGCGGTCCGACGGGTCCCGGCGGGGGCGCGGAGCTGCGTGCTGCGGATAAGGCCCTTTGCGACGCGGCCTTGGTGGCCCTGCTGGGGGCTCCAGGGAGGGCGGAGCTCTTCGCGGAGATGGCCTGGCAGGTGGGTGGGGGAGTGAGGGGGGGAGTGAGGGGGTAGAGGAGTTGGCTGCGTGGAACGGGAAGGGAGGTAATTGTATGCAAGGGAAACAAAGAATCAACTCTTCAACTGCCGACACGTCCAAAGCCGCTGGGGGCCCCCCGTCAGGGAATTTAAAGCTTTGTGGGTTGGATCTTGGAACTCGAAACTTGGAACGAGCACATCCCGAATCTGGCAAGGCTCGAGCTCGAACGGATGGCGCCAGGGAAGGTTGTAGTACATGCCGTCGTGGGGGTTGCACGGCGGCGGCGGCGGCTTTCGACGTGCTCCGGCACAGCTACTAGAAAATAAAACGAAACACAGAGAAACTCAGCACGGCCCCTCCGCAAGGATGACACCCCCACACCCTGAGGTATCGTTTGGGGGGTAAGCTAGCTGAACCCTGCGGTTATTATCCTGTATGCCACTGTGGGATTGAGCTGAAGTGTATGTGGAATGCCTTGGACCTTTTACCTTTGCGGTAGGTTAAAGTGAACCGTGGGTCAGCGCGGTGTAAGTGAACCGAGCAGCATCGCGCAGCAGGGAAGAATGAGATGGCAGATGAGTAATCGATCGGCGGACTAGGTCTTTGGGCAAGTGGGCCTTGCCAGAGCAGCGCCCCCCTGCCCTTTCCCCCTCTTGCCTTCCTTGCCCCTCCGCTGTCGCGTGCACATACCCCCGGGGTCCTGGCGCGGGCCCTTTCCGACTGACCCCGAGCCCCGAACCCCTTGGACTTCTTTCCCCCCCGTGGACTCGTTCGTGGTTCGTCTTCTCCCCCCCCCCGGTGGACTTTCGTATCGCAGCTGGGCCGAGGTGTTGGCGAGTATTTGCTCAAGTCGACGGACTGGCTGTTGCAGGTATGGGCACGTGTGAGCTTTAGAGCCGATCTTGAGCATGAGCAAGGCCGTGGGTTGCTGGGTTCGGGGGACGCGGATGGAGGGGGGGAGCCCTCGAGGGGCGCCGGTAGTGTGAGCTAGCCGGGGTGCGGGAGAAGAGGGGATGCAGCAGAGACTCTACACAGCGGGTACGAACCCATCCATCAGGTCATCCTCCTGCGGTGTAGCTGTGAACAATGCACTTCCGTGAAGGCCGTACTAGGTACCAGTGCAGAGGCGGGTCCCTCGAACGGCCTCGTGCTTGCGTTTCTTTACTACCTTCTAACGGATGTACAATTTTATGTACGGCAGGATCGCAAGGGCGAGCAGCTGTTGGGGCACACCAGCCTGGCGCAGCTGGTTGCGAGGTTGGGCCGTACTGCTAAGCCTGGCATGGCGCCGCTGGCGGCAGCTGCCGGCGGCCTGCCGTACATCCCCGCGGCAACAGCACCCGGCGGCGCTGGCGGTATGCTGCCTGGCAACGGCGCGGCCGATATGGATGCCGGCCTTGCGATCATCAGAGCTGCCACGCCGGCAGCGGACGTTGGTGGCGGTGCCGCCGCTGGAGCGGTGGTGGCGGTGGCGCAGCCGCCGCCTCCATTCGCGGTTGAGTCGGCGGTGGCGGATCTGGCGCTAGCGGGGCTGTACAAGGCGGGTACAGTAAGGCAGCGAGAGTTTGCCGGAGAGCTTATACGGCAGCTCGTTCGGATGGCGGATGCCGTGCGCCGCGCCGCACTGGCGGCGCCGCTGGGAGCCACCGCCGCTGGCGGCGGTGGCGGCAGCGGGCTTGGGGCCGCATCGGCCATCGGGATGCAAGGGATGGGCTCCGGTACGCTACCTCCACCGCCGCCGCTGCCGCCACCGCCCACCATGATGCCAGGGCGCTCCCGAAGCATTGGGACAGGTGGAGGCGTCAGCGCTGCTGCTGTCGGCGGCGTCAGCGCTCGCGCACCGTCAGAGGACCAGGACGCGTTGTTGTCGGGGCTAGGTGATGGCGATACCGCGGGAGGCGGCGGCGCCGGTGACGGCGGCGATGGCACCGCCGGCGGGGGCCGTAAGCGCGGCGGCAGCGGCATGGGCTTTGGAAGCGGTCGTACAAGGCGCATGGGAGGCGGCGGCGGCGGGCTGGTGCGTTCGGACTCCAGGGGAGACCTGACAGAGGCGCTACGTATCGGCTCGCCGGCGGCGCTGCAGGTACGACTAATCTGGGGCATGGGACTTGGCCACGTGGCGTAGTACACGCGTTGCGGCTTGCAAGGAGCCGCAGGTAACCAGGTGGCGGTGACATCCACAGCCTCTTGGGATATCGGGATGCGGGGGCGGTGTAGGGGGATGTGGTTTGTGGTGCCGGCCAGCCGGCCAGGCGGACTATCTGCCTCCAGGTCCCTCCAGTTGAGGAGTGCAGCACCAGTTACAAGAGGCTGTGTACGTATACGTACCTAAGCAGGCAAGACAAAGGGAACAGCGGTATTACACGTAGTGGAACAGCGCCCGTCGCTGGCGCTTCCTTCACCCTCCCGACTTGTGATTATTCCCCTGGGACCCCGCCCTCTCGGCTACTCCTCCCGCAGGTCGCGCTGTGGGTCCGAGTTCGTGTCCTCATGCCCCTGTTGCCCCTCATCTACATGGACAGAGACCCCGACCCCCGCAAGAACCTCCGCAGCCAGCTAGTGCCCGCGCTGCTGCAGCTGCTGGCCTCGCCACTCATATGGGCGGCGGCGCCGCCGCCGCCGCTGCAACTTGGCGCAACTGGCACCGCAGCGGTAGCGGCGTCGACGGCGGCGGCCGCGGCCGCGGCGGCGCCGGGTATCGGCGGCTGCGTCGGCTCGGTGTTCGGGACTGCGACGGCGGCGGCGGCGGCGGCGGCGGTTGCCGCTGCAGCTGCCACCGTCGCAGCGGGCGCGGCGGGGGACTTGGAGATGGGATCCGGCGGTGAGGGTGCCGCAGCCGCCGCCGCGGCGGCGGCAGCTGCAGCGGCTGGCGAGGCGCTGCATGAGAGGCTGCTTCATATCTTATGTGCGCTGGTTAGCGGAAGTTGGCCTTCGTGGTTGAAGCCACCAGGACAGAAAAGGCTGAAGGTATGGGTGGCCGGCGTTTTCTGCATAACTTTGATGTTGTGTGCTTGGACGGGGTGTTGCCGGTAAGTGAGGAAAGTCAAATACGTGCACCGCCGTAATATGGGGTTTGTGGATTCGCATTACCGTGAATGCGCAAAATTAGAGAGGGAGGAACCTTCTGTTATTTTACTTATATATTTTCTCCTCCGATTTTTGCAGGACGTCCCGCCGTACGACAACGTTCTGCAACTGTTAACCGACTTGGACCAGGCGCTGGCGGCAGCGGCGGCCGCCAGTGGCAGCAGCAGCGGGGCAGCGGCATCTCTGGCCTGGATGCGCGAGCGCATTATATCCGTACTTCCACTGCAAGGTGTCGTGCCGCGGCAGCTACTGCCGTTGCAGCAGCGAGCTCCAGCGGCAGCTACGGCTTCGGTTGGTACGGCAGACTCCGGTAGCTTACTGGCGGCCATTCCATTTTTGGAGATGGACCCGGCGGTGCTGCTCCCGCTGGAGTCGTTATCGCAGGGGGGCGAGGTGTCGGCGCAGCCGTACGGCCACACACTGCTGCCGCCGGCTCTGCGGCCGTGGGCGCGGCCACCGGCGTCGGGAGATGCGGCGTCGGGCGGCGATGCGGTCTCGGTTCTGACCAGCGAGCCCCTGTTGGCGGGTGCGATAAGGATGCGGCGGCCATCATCTGGGCGGTTGTGGCGACCTGCCTGAGAGGGGCCTGTGGATGGGCCTGGATTGCGTTGGGGTCCAGCAAGGTGAACAGCTTGGGCAGATGTGCTGCTGATGGATGGGGCGGCCAGGCCGTGTGGTTCAGGGGTGAAGGGCAGCAGCCTGGTGGTTTTGGTGGTCATGCTCAGCTGTGGCAGGTACAACGTGCTTGGTGCATGTACCGTGCCGATATTTCGTTTTGGTACGAGAAGAACGGAGGTAGGGCTCGTGATTGTGCTTTGCGTGGCTGATATGGGTGGGTTTTGTGGGTGGGAATTGAGTTGGGGCTGCCCATAGAGGTGGGTTAATGACGGTTCTTGTGTCTGGGTGCATCAGGCTATTTCTATGATACGGAGAGTATTGTGGGCTGTACGCATGTGTGGCGAGGTGTTTCCAGATCTTATCAGAGCACAGGAGAACGCGTGCGTTATAAGCTTAGGCATCTTGGGAGACATGTATGTATAGGCGATGATAGCTGTACGTTGACAGGAAGATATTCGTGTTTGGATGCCATACGTTGACAGGAAGATATTCGTGTTTGGATGCCATCTGGCACAGGCATCTGACGCAGATGGGCTCTGCCGGGAGCTAATGGAGCGGAAGCCTTTACAGGCATGGCATGCTTCTGGAGTGGGCGAAACCTTGGATTGCATGTTTCGTGTGCACAAAGGGCGGATGGTCGTGACATGACGAAACTATTCGGATCTTTAATTACGCTGAGCAAGGCTTGCATTTGTTGTATTCGTTAAAGGGATGCAGTCGGTGGGGCCTTCGTTCCTGGCTGTGAGCTTATGGCTTCTTTGAGTCCGAGCGGAGGGGTATTTTTCTGTTTTTACCGGGTTTTTGAAATGTACGATAGGGCCTGGTTCTAAGCTCTACAGCTGATCGTGAGGAGATTCCCAACTCTAGTCATGGCCTCACAAGGTCATCTCTTTCCTACAACGTATGAACGGTACTTGGCTAGTAAGTATGCCCTTCGCTTGCATCGCGGTTACGCGGACGCAGACTCGTCCCTTGCGGACCTTTTGCAACACGTTTCTCAAAATGTCAAAGGCTTTCGATGCATTTCAACGGCAGTTCTTGTCGCTGCGCTTGAGGGCGTTCGGAACCTCAAAGACCTATATGGTCTACGGGAATGTCGAGACTTTATGGTGCAGCACGGGTTGACTCAGTATGCAACATTTTGGGCCAAAAGCCTATTGCCTTCCTACGCTTGGACGATTCAGTCCTTATGGACAGACAACAATCGCGAAGCCGGTGTGCAGAGCGACACCCGAACCCTTGTAAGCGATATAAAGAGTAACATGGAGGATTTGTTAATCAGGTTCCTCCCCTCGAAGCCCTACTACCACCAGCTTGATGACTTGAAGACGGACAGCTGGGGCAGGTTGGTCGCGGCCGTCGTCCGCACGCAAGTACCTATATACCTTGCGCGCGAGCTGGAGTCCTTCCGACGGTATCTCCTAGAAACAGTCAACTTCCCACAGCCAGCCGTGCACGTTGGCGAAGCGACGCGGTGCCTGCTGCTCAGCGGCCGCATGGCCCACCTGGGACTGTCCCAGTTGGACACGTGCGGCGCCATCGCCGACTCGCACATGCTGGAGCACGCCTGCGCGCTGCGACTGACCCTTGCCGAGCGGCCCTGGAACTGGGACTCTACTGAAACGGACAGCTGCCTGTTCGGCCTGCTCAAGCGCGCAGCGCATGGCTTGCCCTGGCGCTGGCTCCAGGGCGTGCCGTCCTGCTCCGCTACTATCGTGCTCTTCAGGGCGCCACACATTTTCTCTGGGCAGTGCATGCCGCCCGACATGTCGCCAGCCGAGCGCCGCGTCTGCGGGCAGATCTGGCGACTGCTCTCACATGCGACCGTGCAATGCTACCTCGGCTGGTGGCTGGCCGCTAGCACGATGGTCCTGCGCCCCGGCGGCGTCATCAGCGGGTTTTCGCTCCCGGACAACCTCCTGGTCACGTGTCGTGCGTGTTGGCAGCGGCGAGGAGAACGGGAGGAGGGGGAGTTGCGCGGGCTGCAGGCACCGCTGTACGCGGCTGCGGTGAGCTGGATGTACGGTATGCTGACGCGCCAGTGCCGCGGCAGCTCGGCCGCCGTGGCGGGGATTGCTGCGTCGGGGAGGACGCCGCCACCGCCGTCCCTGCCTCCGCCAGCTGGGTCAGCTTGCAGGCCTACCAACACCGCCGCCGCGGCAGCAGCTGAATCCGCTACTAGTGTTGTTACTCCCACTCCGACAGCGGGTGCTGCTGCCGTTGCTTATGTCTCCCCTGCAGCGGTACACGAAACAGCAGCAGCAGCGCCATCAACGCCACCACTGCCAGTAGCACCTGTGCCCACAACAGCTGCAGCCGCACCGACGGCGGCACGTGAGCCCGCCAGCACTGGTGGCGAAGATGGCTCCCAGCTCCCTTACAGCGCACAGAACATGCACGACATAATACTTCCAGTCAGCGAACATTGCGTGGACTTCGTTGCGGCTGTCGGCAGTCTGGGCTCGCTCTTCGCAGACACCTTAGCGGCCGCCGCTTTATCGCTGTCGCTAAGCCTGCAGTTTATGGCGCCAGACGCGGCCGAGGCACGTCTGCGCAGCTGCTGGCAGCTCCTCGGTCGGATCTTGGCTATGGATCTTGGATCCGCGCGATCTCGATCGGTACGGGACCTGGCACAAGCCGCAGGCCGGGTGCTGCGGCTGCAGCTTCCAAACCACTTGGGACGGCCCGAATCGGCGACGATGGCGGCGGGTGCAACAGCTCTGCCTGCTGCACCGTTGCGCTGTAAAACATGGAGCAGCGTTGGCGGCACCGGCTGCGGCAGTCGCGGCGCAGCCCCGAGCTCCCGCGGCACGACTGGTGACGGCGGCGGCAGCTGCGGCGACTTGCATCTGGAAGGTACGGCATGCAACGTGCGCGTTGGTGCAACAAAGCGGAATGCGTGCAATTGCGGGCGATTCGGATCTCATCATGGAAACAAACCGGACCTTTAATTGGTTTAAGATTCTGGAATGTCCTTGCGGCGCCATATCTACATGTCATGTTGGGTGCATAAACGTGTGTGTGGGTTTTGCGGTGCATGTCGACGATTATTTTGGATCCGCTGTACCAGGATACATTTGTTTTCCCTTATTCTGTAGATTGATGATTTTTAATCATCAACCCCTTGTGCTTACTGCCCGACATCTCCCCACGTGATCCTTGTGGCAGGTGGCCCCAGTCCTTCGTCCAACCAATCCCAAGAAGTAGAGACGCAACAGCAATGGGGATGGGAGTCATTGCGTCAGCACCCCTTTCCTCCTCCTCCTCCTCCCCCCTTTCCCCAGCTTCCGCAGTGCCAAGACCCGCAGCGCCCACCTCACCATGGCCACCATGTACAACACTCCCGCCTACTGCACTCTTCTCCTCCTTTTTCTCCACCCCATCTTTCCCCACATCACAATCACCCTTACCTTTACCAAAATCATCATCCTTATCAGCCGCATAATAATCGCCGCCGCGGGCCGCCCGAACATCGCTACCATTCACCCTCCCTGGTGCTTCGGTGTGCACTGGGATCTCTCTTCCTGCCAAGCCTGGAACGGACGCTGCGAGCGCTGCTCTACGCGCCCGGCCCAGGCGCCGGTAGCAGTGGCAGCTCAGATGCGGCTGGGCCGTCCATCCGGCTAAATGCGGCCTATGACTTGGCCAGCGCCTGCATCGCCGTGGACCTGGCGTTGCGGCGTCCCGGGTGCTGGCCCGCGCTCCTGGCGCACGGACCGCCACTGCAGATGGCATCGTTAATCCTGACGATGCGGAAGGTGGCAGTGGCTGCTGACGAGATGGAGCTCCTGCTGCCCCAGGCAGGTGCAACGGCAGCAGCAGGGACAGGCGTGGTCACCGCTGGTGATCCACGGGTGATATGGCGGCTGCAACTGCTTGCGCTGCTGGAGCAATGTTTGCCCTTCACGCTGACGCCGGGCGTTGCGGCAGCGGCCGTCAGTGGGGCGGCGGCGGCGGCGACAGCCGCTGCTGCCTCTGCCGCCGCCGCCGTCCGCGGCGAGCGCAGCCCGCGTGGCCGGACATCGCCGCTTGCGTTTTCGGTGTCCCAGCCGTCCTCCCTCGGCGCGGTGCATATGGCGCCGGTTCCGGATCCACCAGGTCCGCATTTGCACGTCAACCATGGGTTGTGTGGCGTGCGCGACCCGTGGGGAAGCTGCGGTGGCGGCGGTGGCGGAGCCGCTGAGGCGGATGATGATGGCGATGACCTTCACGCCGGGCCGGGCTGGCTGGAGGTCTTGGGCTTTGGAGCCTGCCCTGCCATTGGCTCACCAGCATGCTCTCAACAGGAGCGAATGCTGGTGCTGGCGGCGTCCTCCTGGCTTCCGCTGCTGCTCACGGCGTTAGAGGAGGATGGCGGCGCTCAAGGCGCAAGCGAGATTCATCGCGCTAGGTGTAAGGATTTGCGGTTGGTACCCGTACATATTGCTGTACTTGCCGTACACGGTGGTCACCGGGTGGCATGGCAATGGCTGCTGCTGCTAGCGCGGCAGTGCCTGGCTGCCGTTGGGACGGCTGCGCATGCGGGCTGGATGCGGCTCCTACGACGTGTGCTTGTGGTCGATCAGATTACTGCCGTATTGCGGTTGTACTGTGCCTGGGTTCGGCGTTGCCAAGAGGTTATGACGACGGATGCCGCGGTCATCCTATCTGCCAGTGGCGGCGCCGCCGGTGTGGCAGTGGCTACCTCTGCGCCCGCGGCCGCCTCTGCCGCTTCTGGCGATCAGCATACCCCGATCAGCAGCACAACTGGCGATGGCAGCGAGAACAACGCAGGGATCGATCCCGCGTTTTATGATTTGCATCAGGCAGCGCTGCGGGTCGTGGAGGTGCTTCCAACCGTGCTGGATGTGCTGGAGACCCTGGTGGCGGCGACGCCGGATGCGGTTGCGCTGGCACTGGCGGACAATCGTAAGGCCCGGGAACTGATCTCCGTGGCGGAGGACCTACGCAGCGGCGCCGCCGCTGATGGTGCCGGCGAGCTGCCGTACCCCGGTGCCGGTTCGCCAGCCGCCCTGGCGGCGCAGCAGCGGCTTCGGCAGCGGCAGCAGCGACGGGAAGAGCTACGGCAGGCGGCACTGCCGCCGGCGTGGGGCCCGGGACTGCCGCTGGACGCGTCCGTGGTTTCGGTGCTGTCGATGTACGGCAGGCATGGGCTGATGCGCTGCCTGGCAGAGCTGTCGACAGCACGCGGCGACCGGTTCAGCTTTCGTCCACAAGGCCTAGCTGCACCAACGGCGCCCATGCCGTTCAGTGGCGTCGACGGGGGAAACGGTTGGCGCACCCTGCCCGATCCCCTCGTTGTACGGCAGCAACTAGGCTTTTCCTGGTGTGCGTACGAAGGCTGTACGAATCTGGAGGGCAGCTCGGAAGCCACGCTCCTTACGCGCGCGTACGGCAGCGGGCGGGCCCATCCTGCTGCTTGTTATTGCCGCGTCTCCTGTCAGCAAGCAGACCGCCAGGCGTTGGCACCGGCGAGCCTGGAGGCCCGAGGGGGGTCGGAGATGCGCCTCGCGTCTCGGGGTACGGTTAACGGATTGCGTAGCTGACCCACGGAACCAAGATATGCCGCGACTTTGCCTCAACGTGAGTTTAGTCTAACCTTGGCAAACCGAGTTCAGTGTGACTCTCTACAGCAGCATGTGGCAATAAATGTCACCAATGTGCATGTACGCCTCCACATTTTTAAACTAGCTCTAGCTTATGTACTCAATTTCGTAGGATGCTTTTGGGGTTGTGATCGACCCTGACCGACTACACGATGTTAAAATGTCCACGGTATAATGTCCGGGTTTTTCGGACGCTCCCCATACGAGTCACTTGTCCACACGAAGGGTGTTGCGGGGTGCTCTCCAGAGTCCAAAAAACATTGTTTGTGCCATGAACTGCATTAGAAACTGACGGATAACACATAGTGCAGCCCTGAACGGGATTTGACCTCCATTTCTTTATAGTCAGAGCGACAGGCTCACATCCCCTCACACAGGAGATTCGGTGAGGCGAACAGGCAGGCTTGCAGGAGTGTAAGGCCGCGAGGTCTTGTCGGTATATATGCGGACGGATGGTTGTTGCTTTGTTATAGGATGCAGGTTGTCGAGCAAGTGCAGGCTGATTGGAAATACACTGAAAGCGTTGGAGGCCCTTTAGGCCTCCCTAAAGGTTATTGGTAAGGTGTGATGTTGGAATGAGCGCACTTTGTGGGAAGTCTATGTCAACTGTAAAACGGTTAAGTGCGTGCCGTGTGAGGTAGTGATTGGAGGGAGCCACGCCTTTTGACAACACACTCAAAACTGATTTTACTTATCAGCAACCTCCTGGAGCAGCTCTGAACGCCTTCAGCACTATTAGGATACACCTGGCTGACGGCTCTCTGATGGCCTGATGGCCCAGTGGACTCAACCCTCTCCGTCTCAGGACCAACCAAGTATGCAAAACCAGAAGCTACAGTGTAGCCGTCGGCGGCAGCGTCCAGTGTATAATCAGTTTTTGCACGTAGAAGCTCCCAGATGCTGTAATTAGCAACAGTGGGACCAACGCAGTCTTTCTGAAGCGGCGGTGGCAGGGCCGCCATTTTCTGGTTACGGCCCTGATCAATCATCCAGTCATCAACCTGATTTCCTCCAGGACGCGCTCAAAGAACCATCACACTCTCTCCCCTCACCGACGCTCCTAGCCAGCTAGTCTCAAGGACTACGCGAACCAAGCAGCTATACCGATCGCAGTCACCTAGGACGACCTTCCACGTCCAGCAATGGAACTCGCTCAACTCGTGCATTAGCCCGGTCTCCGACATGCCCTGTCATTTCTTGTGTCGTCACCCCAAGAACACCTCTGCTGCTACGTTCCCAGCCCTCCTCACGCAGCATTTACACACGAGGCATAACAACCCCAGCCGGGTAGAACAAACAACAGATGGTATCCAATTGCCACCTGCAGTCCTATAAGTTCACTGCACGACACCATTAGTGCTAGCAAACCCCTCAACGGCCTCGCTAACTGCACTTGTTTCCCCCCGAGCCAATTCTTTTATTGATTCGGTCTTGACAGGGATAGGATGAGTGCATGAGAAAGAAAGAGCGCTGCTCTAAGGTCGGTCTGCCTGTTCAGTAAACAGGCAGCGACCAGCGGTCCGCCTTGTCCACCTTGTCGAATCCAGCGCCCGAGGCGTGGATGCCACAAGAGTCACCCATCGACAGCTGGTCGTGCCCATCGTACCGCTCCTGGTACTCGCCATAGTTGCGGCGGTTAAACTTGTTGTCAAAGACCCTGAACCAGGCGTTGTAGCCGCCGCGCACGAAGGTCAGATTGGTGTATCCAGCCTCCTCAAGCGCCTCTAGCGCGTCGATGGAGTAAGCCTTGCCGTTGGAGCAACCCACCATCAGCTTCACATCCTTCTTGGGGAAGCGCTTCTCAACCTGCTCATGAACCAGTGTCATTTGGTGACTTCATTAAAGATGTGCAGAGATGCAATCGCAAAAAGGGGGCTTCAATCTGAGACTTGAAACGATACTCTGCCAGTTACCCCTCCAAACCCATTTCCTTAAGGTTGGTGTAGCAAGAAACGCACATACCCCACCATTCTACTACCTTCCTTCCCCGTATGGCAGCGCGTAAGTCGCCGCCCTGATCAACTTGCCTGGCTTTTGATACGGGCAGCATGACCTACCTAGCCATAGATTTAAGTGACATTTCCAGTGTTTGTAGTGAGGGCTATTGATTAAGGATCAAGGCGACGACTTACCATCTTGATGAAGTCAGGGTTTGGTGTCTTCTTCATAACCCGCTCCTTGGTCTCTGGGTCGTACACCCGCTTCAGGTGCACGAACGGGATGTTAACGCTTCCCTTCACCTTGCCCACTTCGTCATTCTCGAGTTCCGATCGCACGTCCAGCCACGTATATCCGCCATTTGAGAACAGGCACTGCGGAAGCACGCGACGTACACTTCAGCCAAGGGAAACTACAAGCTTTCAGAGTAGAAGGGAAGAAAGAAGTGGACAAATCCTCAAAACTGTGAAGATGATAAGCATGGCGGGTGAACGTCAGCTAATGGCTCTCACACTCTGCTGCTACTCAACGCGACCTACCCGAGCCTCCTCAACAGTCGCAATACCCTTGTCAGGGAACTGCGCAAGCGTCTCCTTAATGAACTCTGGGTCCGGCCTGCGACCAGCGGATAAACAGATGCCAGGTTGAGCTGATTGACAGAAAGTTATGAAGTTCATCCACGAGATCCTATGCATAAATTCTCTCTCACCACTGCTTAAGAGCAAACACGGTGACCGTGCGTTGGCGGCCCTGGCATACAGGGGTGCGCACTGGCACAGGCGTGAACACCGGCCTGCTAGGCTTGCATGACCGCAGGGGCCCCGAGGCACGAAGAGTCTGCATCTTTCCACTTCTGTTATTATGACTCCTGAAAGTTATCGTTGGGTCCCTAATTTTCTTTCACTCATCCTTTGGTTTCGGCGCCATCGGGGAAAGGTAACCCTACAGCAGTTCGCGCATTCATCGCTGCAGACGTACTGACTGATTATTGAATTGGAAAGAGCTTTATGTCATATAAATTGAATTCGTCGATGGACGTTCGATAGTTGCTACCTGAGAAATTTGTTAACAGAAGTCTACTACGGGCAGAAGCGTCCAGAAGCTCATAAGCGAAAATCCAATTGATTTTATGCAATTGAACTATATCCCGCTGCTGAAGAGCACGGAGAACTTGAAGGTATCGCCAGCCGTTTGGAGTCCATAAGCTGGTTAACGTAATACTGCGCCGTTGCAGTCTGAAGTCTGACCATACGCCGCCAGCATAAGATCCCTAAAGATTTCAATTTCGCCAAAAGGGGGAACCGTGGCCTCCGCTGTGGCCTCCCATCTCCTGTCCAAGCGATTCCGACGTTTGTGCAAATCGCCAACTGCCAACAACCCGCAGTTCCCGTACACTCGCAACTCTGGGAACCGCAAGGCAGTCCCTGTCACGACTCAACCAATTGCCGCTCAGTCACCAGATTTGCGCAAATTCAATACTAAACTTCACCCACGCCAATGGGCCTCCCCAATGGGCCTCCCCCATACACGCGTACGCCCCAAAGGCAGGGTCTGCTGCCCACAGTCTGTCCTTTAAATCCGACCGTAGAATATTGTAACCGTGAGCAAAACTACTCAACTGTGTTACTAAGGGTACGACTATGACAGAGCGCTTCCGGTCTCTGTCTTCCGTATCCCTAGGAGGGAGCAACCCTCCCTCCGTCATCCGTTCAATCAATTAGCGGTTGGTCTGGGTCTGTGAGCCGCGTCCCTTCACAGCCTCCTCCTCAGCCTCCTCCTCCAAACCTCACGCGCTCTTGCTCTTGGTAGACGACCTGGCCTTCATTGGCCCCGCGAAGGGCAGTCGTACCAGATGGTACAACAGCAACCCCGCTGGACCTGTGTGGGGGGGGAGCCCCCGGGCCCCGCGTGTTGCTAGTCTCATAAGCAAACATGAGCCACGTTACGATGATATGAGATTGCATGTATGCGTGTGTAGATGTGCATATCTTTGGTAAGGTAAATCCGTGCACTTGTTCAAGCCAAGCGGATGCAGTGTACGACAAGTTCAATTCCGTACCGAGACCGACTCCAGCGAGTAGCAGGGATAGTGGAAATGCTCGCAAGAAATACCCACTTCCCAACTTCCCAAGGATGGGCGAAAAGCGAACAGCTGACAGCTCCTGACACCTAGGACGACACTCACCGGCGAACAAGGTGGCGAAGAGGCAGGGGATGAGTAGCAGCTGAGGTACGCGCCGCTTCAGGGAGTCAGCTGCCATCCAGCGACCCACCCACCTGCACGGCCCCGAGGGCGGGATCGGGGGGGGGGGCGGGGGGTACGGGGCGGCGGTGGGTGGAGAGAAAGGTGGGTTACAGCGATGGACGCTGGAACCGGCTCTTCAATGTTTACGGAGTGGGTGCAGCAAACTTGAAGAAACAAATAACAAAAAAGCGGCTGTCGCGTTGTTAGATGCACTGGACGACAGATGAACAGATGAAGACGGGCAAGTGGGGGTGAAATGCTCAGGGCGGCGACCGCCAGCACAAGTGGCATGAGCAGGTAGATTGATACTCGTCCACCCCACATACACACTCCGTTTACGAGGGCCACCCGCATCAACCGTACCCGTACTCACAGGTCGAAGGCGACGTAGTGCACCCAGCAGGGCAACACCGCGGTCCGCTTAGAGAGGGTTCGCACGACACCCTGCACGTGTTCGAGTATTTAACGGTATCGAGCGGCGAAACAGCTTAAGGGTTGTTTGGTGAGAAGCTTCATGTATGAGATCAATGTGTGGCCACCAGGAATCGCTCGGTCGAGGCTGTAATGTGTCCAGTTGGGCTTATGGTGAGGCGACGGCGTCACTTCACGGTCAAGGTGCGGAGGAGTTGGCTGCACCCGCAGATTATGGGGGTAGTGCAACAATGAAGTGTGGTGATTGGATTAAAGGATTGATCCGCGTACCGGGTTAAATTGGTCATGTTACTGCCCCGTTGGTCCTGGGCTGTCCTGCTACCTCCCGCGTACCTCATACGTCATCATGTCGCTGAAGTCCAGCTTCTCAACGCTATTTGGAGCAATCATGAAGGTAAGAAGGAGCGCCGTGTACAGTCCCGACACAAGGACCGCAGCGACTGCGCTAATTAGCTGCGTAAGGCGCCAGCGAGGCGCCACAGCCAGAAGTACCCATCCTGGAAGAGCAATATTTATTAGGTTGAATAACTGCTCATCTGTGAAAGATAATCCGTAGATCGGCATGATATCCCTCGTGAGCCCTCAGGCTTCTGGAAAACCCGGCTTTCTGTAAAAGGCCAGCTGACAAGCTTGGTAGGTATCACACAAACTCTGCCTAAATTAATAACTTGGGATGGCAGAAGCAACCTCTTTTTGGCCCATTCCACATGACGCCTTGTCCCAAAGGTTACCGGTACTGCATAAACTGTCACTAACCGTTACTGGCGTCCGAACGCGCAAGCCCAAGGGTTGCTGTTCCGAGAAACTCATGCTATCCTGAGAATATCTGAGGACTGTACAGGAACATTTTGTCTCGCGTACAACACGGATTCATGCGGCTTCGTGGTACCTTTGCCGAGAGCCATGCTGAACAAACCATCTGCGCGCGATAGAGCTGCATTTCTTTTTTATTAGACCGGCTAAGGCGGGCCCCATAAGGATTTCTGTTTACGTCGCGATGCGCCCTCCAAGGTCCGCTGTGGTTTCATCTTTGCGTTGGCGCATGCGCTGCTGCCTGTTCCTGTGACAAATCCTGCGTAGATAATCAATAATGCCAAAGCGTTGCTTCAAACTGGGTATGCAAGGGCAATTCGCTGGCACCGCTATGGTGATGCACGCCCCCCAAACCCACCACGCGAGACAACGCCTGCCGTGTACTCGCTCATATCAACTAGCGCGTTACGGAAATCATTACAGGCGTGATACGGTATGTAACCATGATCCCTGCGAAGAACTTGGTTTCGGTCATCTGTCCCCCGTTGCCACAATCCACAGCTACGACGATGACTTCGCCGCCTTGGTCGAACGCGCGGTAGCATTGGCCGAGGCCGGTGACTTCCACCAAGCCGCCCAGGGCTTCCGGGACGCCCTCGCGGCCGCATCACGGGGCGCCGCCACGGCCTTCGGTCCCGCGCCGGCGGACATGATACACGCTGTCGCCGGCAGCGGCTGCAGTGGCGACCCTGGCTCTTCGCCCACCACCGCCGGCGCAGCGGCACAGACTGCAGCGGATTGTCCTTTGACTGTGGAAGCTCACGCATGTGCTCGCGGCCTCACCGCTGCTGGCGCGAGTGCAGGACGTGTCGATGGCGGCCTCAGCTCCGGATCTGGCGGTGTCGGGTCCGCGCCTGGTGGACGTGCGCACGGCCGGCAGAAGGTGGCGGAAGTCCATGATATGTTGGCACAGTGCCTGATGGACATCGCGGTGACGGCAGAGGTGGAGGAAGGAGAAGCCAATGAGGCGGATGCGATGGCCAGGGCCGGGAATACGGAGGCCGAGGCTGGGCTAGCGGTGGAGCAGTTGCAGATGCCGGCGCTAGCGGTTTGGGAGGAGGCGCTGTACCACGCAGCTGAGGCATGCAGGTTGTCACCCCAGGTAAGGTCCGCAGAATACGATGATGACGCTGTTGTTGTTGTTACAGTGTGGGAGGCTTTGGGGCCGATTGAACAACCCCTTTGGATTGTCATATCTAGGATTGAACACCATACGGCACTATCCACCATTACCAGTGCGGTGATGGTGGATGGTGCTGTATGGTACTACGCCATATGTACTGCAAGCCTAAGGCGGTTGGTTCTTCGTTCTAGAATCCCTCCTCCTCATCCTTTCATCCGAACACCCGTAGAGACAGAAGGTTCAGCAATCACCACCAATCCAGCGTGCAAATCTCGGTCCATCAACTGTGACCTCAACTCCACATCCCAGCAGCTAGCCACAATCTCGCGCTCCCGACAATGTCGGGGATCTACCCAGGAACCGAACTCAGGGCCTCAAACCGCAAATTGCAGTAGCGTCTCCAGTGTGTGTTGCAATACCTGGAATTGCGGTCACCATTCCCTCCTGCCTTGACTCTTCATGTGTTTACGCTGCACAACGGGCTCGCGATGATGCCCCTGCCACATCGATTGGGGCTGAACCGATTTTGACCGCAACAACCGCTCAGTGGGTGCCGGCGCGTCTGACATACGGCCGCTGCCTGCGGAACTGCGGACTTTTGGAGGAAGCGTTGCGGGAGCTTAACAGCGCGGTGCAGGTGTGTAGGGCCGCGGAAAGCTTCCCCATAACACCCGTACAATGCGTGTTTGGGGTTTTTGCAGCACTTTGGCTTTATGATGTGGTGGGGCGTGTAAAGAAACTATTGCGAAACACCCGCAGCGCCTGGTGTTGTGAATTCGAATGCCAGACGGTCCTTCCAATGTTTTGAGCTTTCCTTGTGAACGGCACTACATAGCAAGGTACTCGACGAGTAGGCTGATATCGAGTGCCGTGGCCAGGCATGTGAATCCTGTGCCGCGCTAGGCGATCGGCTCCTAAGTCCATGCTCCAATCTGGGTGCCTTGGCCCGTCTTGCGGAGACAGATTTTGGAGGGGAACCGTTGCGCCAGTGGCCGCGGCGAACCCTCGGCGTCAAGATTGGCGATGACGGTGGAATCGGGAGCGAAGGTAGCTGCGACGGCAGCCGAACCGTACCTCACCCCACTTCCCGGGGAACCGTCAGCCGTACGGTTGAGTTGCGGCCGCTATCACCAGCACCAGCCTGTGCCAGAAGCGCTGGCGGCTCGGGAAGGAACTCTGGTGCCGTACGAGTATGGAGATGCGGGCCCTTGCACGACGGATTCGGATCGGGATCTAGGTTTGATGGCTGAGGTGGTGGAGGAGCTCGCGGAGGTTTCCGAGCTCTGGCAGCAGCGGCTAGCGCGCCATGTGGGGCTGCGCGGGCTTCAGGTCCAGCAGAACGCTGGTGAGGATGAGCGGGGTAGCGGGACAGGGTGCAAGCCCCAGGTAAAAGTTTCCCAGCTATAATAAAAGATGCATTGTGATTTTGGCGCTTTGGACCCCAAGGATTCAACTTTTTTCTACCCAAGCTTCGGGCATTGAATTGCACTCCATACGTGACCTTGCTCATGTCGTTCAGGTCTTGTCGGTGAGGGTCCGGGGCGGCGTGTGTGGGAGTGCGGCATAGTGCTGGCGGCGTATCTCGTGCGATGCATGGCGCCCAGCCGCCTTGCAGGTGAGGGAGAGAGGCTAGTTGCGCGCCTTGGCGCATCGAAGCGTAGCTTTGTAGCAATCTCATTCCCTGAGTTTTACGATTTGTGATGAAATGTTATTGACACTGGGTTTTCTCCTGCGTATATAGTCCCTTTCTGCTTCAGATGCCATGCTCGTGCGGAAACGTGCCCTCCTTGCAATAGGCGCCCGCGTACTGGAGCTGGGTTGCGGAAACGGGCTGGTGGGCATTGCCGCCGCTGCGTGCGGTGCATCCTGCGTATTAACAGACTTATCACCAGTGCTGCCAGCGGCGATGGCTTGTTTGAATTCCAACGCCGCGCTCATTGAAGCGGCCGGCGGCAGCGCGGAGGTGAGGCAGCTAGACTGGACAGATAGCTACAGAAAGGATGGCGTTGGTGACTCGGAATTGGCAAGGGCGGCGGCAGCCTGGCTACTGACGGGGCAAGGGCAATGGGCGGCGACGGAACGTATGGATGAGCGCGCGATCCTTCCCGATGTTACACTCGCAGTTGCTGATTGCGAACAAGCGCCTGCAGCTAGAGAGCAGGGCGCGGCTGCTTACGAGAAAGGAAGAGTTATCCCGGACATATGTAACTCGCAACCGCTGCGATCTTGGGTCCTTGGAGCAGACTTGGTGTATTCCGTCGTGCAGGTGGATGCGTTGGTGGGTTTAGTTGCTGCCCTACACAATGCTATGACACGTTTGCTGCCTCAACGGGTATGGACGGAACCATTGGTGAAAGGCAGTAAAAGCGGTTACGTAATGGAATGTAGCTTTCTCTTGTGTCATAAACACCGTTGTGACGAAGTTAATAATTCGCTTTTTTCTTCATTTCGAGCGGCTGGTCTGAATTTGACTTCAGTTGACTTGTGTCCCTTAAAGGAATTCATGACGATTCCACCATCCGTCAACCTATACGAGTGCTCGCTGGTGCGCTTTCCTCGACAAGTGAGACTGGGTCGGAGACATAAGGTTGTGTAGACAGAGTTGGTTACATCACTGGCTGAGCACAGGATACACAACGAATTTTACGTTCAGGGTTAATTACCCCTGCCGCCTGAAAACGTCACTTGCCTCCTTCATACTTGCCCTTGCCAGGATCGAGAAATAAAACATTTGATCACTATGTACGAACTGCCACATTCAGTGACACTGTCAACATACAGTGCACAGTGATAGGCATGAACTTCAAAAATGTGCCATTTGACACATGTGTTCGGGATAAGTGCATAATACTAGCCATTCACGTCACAATTTGTGCATAATGCATGCGTATTCACATCGCTTGAAATGGCTAAAACGGAAGAACAATCCTGGAACAACCGCTTAGTCCTGCTGCATCGGTCTGCGCACCTATTCACAAGCAGCGCGCCTAATGCTACATCACAAAGCCTACATATCGTACGCTGCTGCGAATAGCCTGTCTGAAGTACACTGCTGCTTCTAATCAGTAACCACAAGATCCATGCCCTTCACGTGGCAATTTAGTTCTCCTCCTCCTCGCCCTCGAACTCGCCCTCCTCCTCGGCGGAGGCATCCTGGTACTGCTGGTACTCAGAAACCAAGTCGTTCATGTTGGACTCGGCCTCAGTGAACTCCATCTCGTCCATACCCTCACCAGTGTACCAGTGGAGGAAAGCCTTGCGGCGGAACATAGCTGTGAACTGCTCCGACACACGCTTGAACATTTCTTGAATGGCGGTGGAGTTGCCAATGAAGGTGGCTGACATCTTGAGACCCTTTGGTGGGATATCGCAAACTGATGACTTGACGTTGTTGGGGATCCACTCAACGAAGTAGGACGAGTTCTTGTTCTGCACGTTGAGCATTTGCTCATCAACCTCCTTGGTGCTCATGCGTCCACGGAACAGAGCAGATGCGGTTAGGTAGCGGCCGTGGCGAGGGTCAGCAGCGCACATCATGTTCTTGGCATCCCACATTTGCTGGGTCAGCTCAGGGACGGTGAGGGCGCGGTACTGCTGGCTGCCACGGCTGGTCAGCGGAGTGAAGCCGACCATGAAGAAGTGCAGACGGGGGAAGGGAATCAGGTTGACGGCGAGCTTGCGAAGATCGGCATTCAGCTGGCCAGGGAAGCGGAGGCAGCAGGTAATGCCAGACATGACGGCCGAAATGAGATGGTTCAAGTCACCGAAGGTTGGGGTGGTCAGCTTGAGGGTGCGGAAGCAGATGTCATACAGGGCCTCGTTATCGAGCACCATGCACTCATCGGCGTTCTCGACAAGCTGGTGGACCGAAAGAGTTGCGTTGTATGGCTCGACGACGGTGTCCGACACCTTTGGTGACGGCACAACCGAGAAGGTCAACATCATGCGGTCAGGGTACTCCTCACGAATCTTGCTGATCAGGAGAGTGCCCATGCCCGAGCCAGTTCCGCCACCCAAGGAGTGGCAGACCTGGAAACCTGCGATGCAGAGGAATCAATATTCGCGTTAGTTACCATGACTGGAATGGGTGTTGTTGACATGTAGCAACTATCCAAGGTAGGGATGAGAAAGCAGATTGAGGTTCGAACATGTTTCGGAGTCCTATTGGATAGTGGAATCAGTCCTCACCCTGCAGGCAGTCGCAGCTTTCAGCCTCCTTGCGAACAACGTCCAGGACAGAGTCAATCAGCTCGGCACCCTCGGTGTAGTGGCCCTTGGCCCAGTTGTTGCCAGCGCCAGTTTGGCCGAAGACGAAGTTGTCGGGGCGAAAAATCTGGCCATAAGGTCCAGACCGGACTGAGTCCATGGTGCCAGGCTCAAGATCCATGAGGATAGCACGTGGCACATATCGACCTGTCGGTAGAAACCGGAGTAAAAATGCAAGACAGTTAGCGACATTGTGAAGAGGTACATATACCGAGGTCGTTTTGGCGGCAAAGTAGTTTGTTCTATAGAATTGCGTTTTTGGTGTAGCGACGAAAGCGTAAATGTCATGTATGCCTCCACTTTTGGCGCGCTCCCAAGCCTCAAACGCGTCACCAAGTCAACAACATTTTTGAACGATTGGTATGTGATACCAACATCCACCAAAACAGATTGCTAAACGTAGCTACTTCTACCCCGCATGCTTACCGCCGGTGGCTTCGTTGAAGTAGACGTTAATGCGCTCGAGCTGAAGGTCGGAGTCGCCATGGTAAGTGCCGGTCGGGTCAATGCCATGCTCGTCGGAGACAACCTCCCAGAACTTGGCACCAATCTGGTTGCCGCACTGGCCACCCTGTTGGGAAGAAACAAGGTTGCGAAATGGGGCCGCGGGTCAGCCACCTTCGAAGATTGTTAAGCGGCTACTTCAGCCACCAGAGCCCCTGATCCAAATGCATTATTACTGTAGTCTTGCCTGGATGTGGACGATCTCACGCATGGTTCCTGGTGGTGACGGAGCCGAAAAGTCGATAAAGATCGGGACGCGGACCCGAGGAAGCTTACAGCAAGGTAGAGTTGCTTTGCTATTATATAATAATATGAGGATGCGTGCAAAGTGGTAGTATGCAAACAGATGCCAGCGAGTGCCTTTTGAGCCCTTCCCCAAGTGTGCGTCGTACAACTGTACGCGCTTTCGAATTCATTCTGATGTTCGAAGGCCATGCACGACGATTGGATTCTGGACGAAAATGGAAGACGTGCATGCGGGCGGGGTTGCATGCTAGTAAGACTTGCATCTCCCTTGGCTTCGACGTTTTTGGCGGCGCTTTTATGTGTGCCTCCAAAGCTACGTTGCCAAAAACGCACAGTGGTGGGCCATGCTCTAATGAACTTATCTTTTGATGGCTTTAACTTTTATGCGGAGTGCAAGTTTATGGAACTTTTATGGAGTATGGCCATCGATGCTGATAGTGTTGCTGCTGGCTTTCAGCTTTCAGAGGCAGATAAAGGTCCACCCAACACCAACAATACTTATAAGAATGGTTCAGGGGAACGCCTTAACTCACTCACGAGGAAAAGCGCATCGGGACATCGGGAATAGTTGCGCAAGCACCTGTTCATGGGTTGTAAACAATCTGAACGATAAAGTGCACATCTGTGAACATGTTTAGGCTTTTTTCGGTGTTGGGGATGTTTCGTAGCCATCCTGCCCTGCCTCCCGCGTCCCGTAGAACAATATTGTTAGCCTTTGCATAACCCAGCGCAACATACGACAAACCGTCATTGTTTTTTGCGGTGCATGTATGCATTCCACCCCGGACAAGGCTTGATGCAAGGGGTTATTTCACCTGTACCTCAACGGGAGCCCAGAGGACGGGTCGGCGTAGTAACCGCGAGAATGAAGCAACCATGCGCATCGAACGCGATCACCCGACATCCATAAGCCTGGGATGGGTAAGGTGCTTGTGACTTGCGCGGCAACTTTTTCGGCTATCTCCTACACGAGGTCCCAGCACGTGGAGCGAGCGGTGCATAACAATCCTCGAGCAACTTCTAACCGCCCACAGAAACCGATTGCCTACCTACCTGGAACATTGGTCGATGATGCCAGGGGCCGTGCCCGTGGGTTGTGAGATAGGCTGTGAGATGTGTATGGAGGATGAGCAGCATGCAAGGCATGCTGGGAGGCCTACACGCCCCCGAACCTCCTGCATCCCCCCTGCAGGAGGTTCGCGTTGATGCCTCAGCGGACTATGGTTCTTCCTCCGTAACCCCTTATACCACAAAGCCCTCCGCCCCCGCCTGAACCGCCCTCTACTGCCAGCGCCGTTACTGCCAGCGCAAAGCTCCTCTGACTCCTGTCCTAGACGCGGGTTGCCGTTTGTTCCATTGCTCATCTATGCCCTCCGCCATATGATGTTGGCAGTTGACTGTGTCGGCCTGGACAGCCCGGCTCATATCCCCGAGAGTGACGGACCGGTGCCATAATCCTCTCCGGGATGTTTCCCCTACCCTTCCGCCCGTCAGCGGAATTTTCCAGACTTTCGGTGGGTAACTCATCTGGCCCAGTGGTTAGCGTTTGGGTCCTGCCTGAGTCTTTCTCCGAACGGCAGCGCCGCCCACGTGGGTGCACCTCCTCTCCAGGGCGGGCCCTGGGCAACAAAACGATGCATAACGACGAATATGCATCTCCAGCAAAGCTAGGCTTAAGCGTAGGCGTAAAACTGTAACCATCCGAGTGGCTGGTAAATACGGCCGCAAGCGCGCGAAAAAAGGTTCATATACAAGCAGTGAAGGACACTCCATTCGATGCGAGAGAGCGCCGGCGGAGGGCTACAAGGTCGCCAGGAGAGTGCAATTGAACACCGATGCTCCGGAAGGTAGGTCAGGAATCAACCGGCAAGTGCCTAGTTATCCTACATACCCTTCTGGAGCACATTACGGCAACGGGTGACTTCCCCAAGCAGTTCACTACCACGGTATTAGCACCCGTGTTCGAAAAGAAGGGTGACAACGCTGTTATGGGCAATTATCGAGGCATAGCGATTGGTGGGGCGTTGGCTAAATGCTATGCTTCTATCATCCGCCGAAGATTTGTTCCAAGCAGGATGGGATCTTGCCCTTGGGCATCGATCACTCCAAAGCGGTGGAAAGCGGGTGTATAGCGGACTGTGCGGGCCTGTGGCTCGTAGGAGGGGCCATCCCGTTGTACTTTGGCTTTTAGCTTACGGATCTGAGGAAGCCTTTTCCACTCGTCGAACGACCCTCGCTGAGGCCGGGAGGGGTAGGTGCTTTGTTCGGTTCATTAACCAAGCTAGGCAAGCGTAAGTTGTGGACCCCTGACCTAAGGATGAGGTGCTTTGACATAAAAGTTCGTTCCATTTGCTTCTATATCTGGCTGTGAGTCTGGGGACTGGCTGTGAGGGCTGGGGACCTGACTCCCTAGATGAAGCTCTGCCATGAACCACCAAGCGCCGTGATCGTAACAACCTTGCGGAGGGTTTTTTCCGAAGCTGTCTGATTGGTGAATGGTGAAGCAGCAGGTAATGTTCATGCACCGAATGGTAGGAGCTTCACGGCTCCCGCACAGGCTGCTGTTTGCGAGCTCCCGCAAGTTCCCTTAACACCACTTTGGGGCTAAGCGTGCTATCGGGTTTTGGAATAAGGTGGTTATCCAGCCGGGGTCCCATGCCTGTGCAACTCAACGCCAGCTATTACAATGGAGCCCAACCGGGGCGTGTGCAACGCCCTAAGCGAGCGCCATAGAACCACGAGAGGCTGTCTGCAATACCACATGATTTCCCCTCGGACGGGAAGCAACCAGGCATTAAGATGGCTAAATACGAACACTGGATGGGGTTGCTATCTGAAAAAGCAGCTTGGGCAACCTGGTTGCCGCATGCCTATATGTTTATTCCTGTCGATATGCATCGGTTACAAGTGCGTTTTCTTCTATGTTCCTGGCCGTAATAAGGAAATAGAGCCTATGGGGGATTGCGCGCGAATGAAGCCTATGGGGGGGTCTGCAAGCTTTGCGGGCCGTGGAAGACGAAAAAACATGTCCTCTTGGAGTGCTCAGCCTACGGCAAGTGCAGGTGCTTTCTGTCGGGTTTCGGGTGAGATCAAACTACGAGGGATGTATTATGGTTGCGGAAGACCAGCTGAAGTCGGCGACCCACAGTATTGCCACAGTAACTACTGGCTAAGGAGGGTCTCAAATAGCAGGCGCACTGCTGCGGCGTACCAGTCTGGATGGTTCGGTTAGCTTTCCAAATAATTTTGAGCGATGCGTTCTTACGATATTGTATGGCAGGTTATCTACATCTATTTCGGACAGCCTTCGGTCTCCAGGCCCTTGGGCCCCCTCAGGGCTCCAGACATGTATGGGCCCCCCAAGGTTACACATTGGAGGGTAACGCAACACACACTCTCTCTCTCTCTCTCTCTCTCTCTCTTGCCAACAAGAGCCGCGCCCGCTTTCTGGCCGCAGCAGCCACACCTGCCGCCGCTTTCCCCCCGCGGTGCCCCCCTTCAGCTGACATACATAGGCTGGTTACGCCGCGGCATCACACACAATTCCACTGACCTATACATGCGTCTTTCTGCTACCCTATGCGTCGAAAAAGCTGCATCAGGTATGCCCACTCAAGCGCCCACTCACAATGCCATGCCATATAAATTCCGTGCGGCATGTGGCCCGTGTTTCTCCTCTTTGAGAAAACCCTAAGGCCGCCTTTAATGAAAGGACTCCAACATGCACAAGACCCTCCGACTCGGATACAAAGAAATGCAGGTCCACTCATAATGACCGGGCCCCGCACAGTATAGTCAACCCAAAATACGTATCACCTTCTTTCGATGCCTTCCTCCCCTCACCTATACCACGCAGCCACTCCCTTTTCATGCTCTCCATTCTTTTCATCTTTCGCTCTCTTTCACAAACCACGAAACATAAATAAAAGGAATCGCACGTCCTTTCAAACCCTTTCATTTTTGTTGGCCTTGTCCGCGTGTCATGACATCCATGCTTCCTTCCTCGAACCCCACTGGACATTGGAAGCAACGCGACGAAGAACTCCAATTCCTTAGGTGTGGCCCGACACGACGTAGCGCCGTAGCGCCGCCCCCACATTCCTTCCTCCAAGACCGCCGAAGCACAGCCCGCTAGGGCCCCGGCCTACACCCCGTTACACCACTGGATTGGGCTGCTGAGCCAGCGGAGAGCGGTTCTGGTCCACCTCGATCACCAGAGTGCGGCCGTGTCGGGCCGTGGTCGGGCCGCGGGTGTATAGCCCCGGCAGGTAGGCGGTGTAGGCAGGCATGAAGCGCGACACAAAGTCGGCGATCTGCTCAGCGCTCATGCCGGGCTTGCCACCGGCCTTCATGCGCTCCTCCGCCTGCAGCCGCCACTTGTACACCCACTGCAGGAAAGGAAGCGCGCGCGAGAGTGGCACAACGGCACAGCCGGAGAAAAAGGCAGGCGGAATTGGATGTGATGTGGGGGAGATGTGACGAGGGGGGGAAGCCGGGAAAAGAAGGAAAAACTTTAAGGAAAGACAAGCAGTTGGGTTTTCAGATGCAGATATTCCTGGTATTATGTTACAGTTACCGTGGCAGCCGTCCCTCCAGCTCCTTCACGAGGTCCACTCTGCGCATTTACCCGCTGCGCCGCCCTCCGTCCCACCCCCCCAAGTCAGTCCCCAAGTCGGCCCCTCTCTCAAAACCATCCCAGACGGCCGCATCCAGACAGGTGAGCCCCCTGCAACGCCCTCGTTCACACGTCTGGGACTTGTCCTATCATCCGATTTCCTTCCTCCTCCCCTCCTCCTCCTCCTCCTCCTACTACTACTTCTCGCTCTCCCACATGGCCCCCAAGACCCCTGCCCGCTCATCCACCTGCGGGTCACCAATTCGGATGACCAGCCAGCTGTCCACAAGCTCGTCCCATGTCGTACGGTATGATCGTAGTTGTTCATTGACCGCCGCCAGCGCCGGCTCAACCGCCTCAGCGGCCGAAGGTTCCAGAGGAGCGAAACCGCTCATCCAGCCCTCGAACAGCACCACGTCAAGCGGCCCCGAAACCACGGGCCAGGTGGAAGGGTCCGCCCGGTCACCAAGGCCGCCGAATGCCGACTTGTCGTATCTGCACCGAACGAGGGAAGTGCCAAGAAATCAAAAGTACTAAAAGAAGCAAGGAACAATTTTATCAGCCCAGTCACGGTATAGTCCACGGAGGAGGTGGGTATGGTATGTCCATGACTTTCCAGCCCTCTTCAACGTCCCTCAACTCCTTGCCACTGCGAAGAATCTGGTCTTTTTTCCTCCTCACGCGCTCTCCCTCACCTACCATCGTTTTGTACCCCAGCAGTCGGTGCTTCTGACCTCAGCAGGTGATTCATTGACTTTTGCTGCACATACTTCCCCTTCTCCCGGCCTCCTTACCCCCCTAGACCCGCCATCCATCCTAGCCCCGCCCCGAGTGCCGTACCTGGGTACTGCCGCCGTATCCCCCGCCGACCTCAGCTCCCTCAGCCGCTTCAGTGTTTCGCTTCCCAGTCCCAGGTCGTGTGTGCCCGCGTTGCCCCGCAGCTGCAGCAGCCGATTGCCCGGGTGGCGGGCCGCCAGGTCCTTTTGGTCGGTGTGTGTCAGATAGAAGTCGTCAATGGAGACGGACGCCGCGCGATGTCCCAGCCAAGTGAACAGCTGCTGCAGCTGCTCCACCAAAGTAGTCTTGCCACAGCCCTGGGGGGCGGAAATACCCAGCTGCGAGGGCAGTGGAGGCAGTGGGGTTGGGGGGGAGGACATCTCGATGCAACTCGGATGGGGTCCAGGGGTGCCGGAGGGACTGGGACGGCGTAGATGGTACAGGGCCGAGGGAAGGAAAGGGGATGGGATGTGAGGTATGAAGACGCTTGGGCGGGAGGGAAGAAGTGGTTGGGAAATGATGACAACATCTAGGAAATGTCAAGCCGTGGCCGCGGCGGAGCTCGAGGTCCTTTGGATGCGATAGGGAACACAACCGCACTTTGCAGTAGCAGTGGCGGAAGGAGCTCGCGCACAGTGGGACTCCTTCCCTCCCTGGATTTATTTCACCACCCGATCTTGTCCTCCTCACCACGAGGGCTGTCTGGTGGCCGGCCTTGCGGTGCTGCTCCAGCTGCTGAGACACCCACCAGTATACAGGAAGATAGTAGTGGTAGATACGCAGCCTGTGGGGTGAACATGCGCGTACGTGCAAGTATGTGTGAGCACATGACGGCGAGCCCGGACTCGGACAGTGTTTTTTACAGACAGCAATGAACTGGATGCAACTGGAGGGGACAGATCGCGAGCCAAGTTCGGCGAAGCAAGGATGGGTATGAGAAGTTGTTGCAGAAGGAGTGACCTATCGTAAGTCTGATGGCTGACGGCGAAGGGAACTAGGGAGGAGAATGGGAGAGCGTGGAACACGTTGAAGACGATGAAGGCATTGATGAACGAGGCCGCGACGAAGAAGCGTGAGAAGAGAGGTTGCAAGGTAAGCATAGATTTGGAGAGAGTTCGCAACGTTGGTAAACGGCGGGTAGGGGGTTCGTGCGCCGATAGTTAATTGTTGAAGGGAAGCGCGATTGGCCGTAGGGAACACGGCTGGAGTGTCGTACCCTCCTCAGCATTAGACCCGTAAGACGACACCCAGACTCGCTTTTGAACGTTGTCCATGCGGTCGTGATCAAACTCCAGTTGCACTGCAAGTTGTCGACCCAGCCGCTCCCAATTCCCAGCGCTTGCTCGAACTGACTCGGTTGTTATGCCGCAAGAGCTCAACAGTGGCCCTGAAGTAATGTAGTTGACTAAATCGGTTGCGGAGGAAGTATGGCATACAGCCGAGGAGGGGGCCGACGTTGGAGAAGCTGATGCTACACGAACTAGGCGTGGCGCAGTTCGGCTTCGTGCATGATTGAAGTTAAGTCTTTGTTTTAATAAAATACCCATTTTCCCCAAAGCTGTTAGAGTTTTCTAGGAGTCGACCAGAACTTTTGCACGCCGTGGCCTCGCAATTCCTATGCAAAAGATCCAGTTGTAGCACAAGAACAGGCCGTCAACAATACGATGGAACTAGTGGAAGTGATCTCCATCTAAAGGGCAACTTCGTACAGTTTACGGCAGAACCAGTTTCGTGGGTTGAAGCAAGCAGGAATGCGTGCATCGTATTAATAATTGGCGCAAAATTGGAGATTTCAAGCATGTTGTTTTAACAGCAAGTATCGCGGCTATAGCACTTGATAAGGTACAATTTAGAATTCCGAAACAGTTCCGATCGTCGCGGCGGGACGTCGTAAGAAGCGCTAGGACATCAAAGGTATCATGGAGGGCTTTCCGAAGCGCCACATCCTTGTCGCGGTCGACGACTCGGAGGTGCGGTTTCTCTCGAAAGGCTTGCGGGTTCTAACTGACAGTGCGGGACGGTTTGAATGCTGATTTTAAGTACTTCCTGCTATGCAGGCGAGCCTGAGGGCGCTTGACTGGGCCCTTGAAAACCTTATGCGACCGGGCGACGAGTTCCATCTTTTCCACGTCATTCCTCCGGGCCAGTACGTCGTTCTTTCTACGGACCTGGGAATGGAGGAGGTTATTGAGGATGACGAGGTGAACTTCCTTGTGTCGGCATAGTACCGGACGTAAAAGTTTCGTGTACGTGCGCCAGGTCAGCATCTTCCGTGCTCTTGAACCCTGGATCAGACAATCACGCACGTTTCTGCATCACTTCTACATTAAATTATCGGTTTAAGCTTTCTGCTCTGCCTATTGAAGAATGGGCGCGTGCTCGTGGCTCGCGCTGTTGCGCAGCTGTAGTTGTCCGCCATGCCTGCTAAGACGGGTGCTCAGCCCTACCTTACATCTGGCGCCCTTGCTATCCCTGCAAGGCGCTCTGCCATCATACCGCGCGCTCCGTTCTTACGGAACTATAAGATAAACAGTTGCACTCGTCGCTCTTTTGTTTCCTGGCTGGCACTCAGCCATGTTCTAATGTAGGGCGCCAACCCCCCGACAAGCGACACTCCGCAGCCTACCCGCACCAACCTACCCGCACTCACCCCCAAACCCGGTACCGGTTTCCTTCAGGCCACAAAGAAGCGCGTCGAGGACAACGCGCGTAAGACTTTGACGGAAAAGTTCGTACCCAAGCTGGCTGCTAAAGAGGTAAGGATGTGTCAGCTTGGTACCCAACGAGATGCGGAAACAGGGAGGAGGGTAATGGAGCTGCAAAGCGCCTGGAGTGCATAATTTTGAAACCCGGCGAATGGTGGCAAGTCAAGCCTTAAGTACACTGCCTGCCTGCTCCCAAACCTCGGGCTTTGTTCACTGCTTCCTGCCCACATGCTCCTGCACCGCTACCAGTTCAGGGTCCCCTCCCAGGAATATAGGAATCTTCTTTTCCATCGTACACCGCACTGCAGCACCTCCCAACATTATTCCGAGACGTGATGCCACTGTGCTCCTGGTTACCCCTTCCGGCCCTGACCCCGTCTCCGCCCGGTCCCATGGCCCGGTGCGGCCCTGCAGGTCCCATACCAGTTGGAGCTGGTTCGCTTCGCCACCGACAACGAGTCCATCGGTGCTGTCATCTGCCGGCGGGCTGACCAGCTGCAGGCATCGTGTGTCGTAATGGCCAAGCACAACAGGGGGGCTATTAAGGTGCGGGAATGGATGTCGGTCTATCCGTGCGTTCGTCTGGGTGCGTGTTTTTCCGTCCATCCTTGCCCGGCTACCTCTGCGGCTGCCTCTGCGTAATATTGGCTTTTCGTGCGTCCATTGCTGTGTATATGAATGCGTACATCTGTCGGCAAAGGAAAATGATCCCGGTCACCGACGGCGTGATGGCCGCAAGCCATGTGCTTATTATAAGACAGCGAGCCACGTTTCCCCGTCCGCCAGCAGCCCCCCCTTCTCTCGTCCAACATGAAATGAATGTGCCGTTATGCGGCGTGGCCGCGCAAGATGGGCCTACCTAGGTGCATACCTTCGCGCACGGCATTTCCAGACGCGGTCCCCATGCCCCCACCGCCCTCAATTCACGCCATTTATCCTCATCTCCCATTCCACGAGTTGATTTTTTCTGGATTCGGTCTTGGCTAAGCTCCGAATACTCATATAATAACCCGATCCACGCAGGAATTTTTCGTGGGCAGTGTCTGCAGCTACTGCACCCACCACTGCAAGTCTCCTGTGCTGGTGATGCACTGCGACTAAGGGCTGGCAATAACGGCCTGACGGCGTTTTGGAAACCTAGACATCAAATAATACTATTGTCAGCATCATCTGGACTTTTCGGATCGGCATTTGTGTGTCTAGTGCGAATACATCGGATGCCGGTTGAGCTGTCTTTTCAGCCCTGTTGAATAGCCATGCTTGGCAATTGTACATTGTTTATGAAATTTGGGTCGCGGACTGATGTAGAAGTTTTCCATGGAAGGTGTAAATTGGTGTCATGCACTTACTGGGTTTGGGAGGAGTGCATCTCTAGATGCCGGTACCCGGTAGTGCAGTTGAAGGACGGCTTGCAATTTCTTCTGACGTATACTTGTGCATTTGGCAAATGCGCATAATAGCAGGTTTGGCTATGCGAAGAATGGTGAGTCACCCAACATCGCACAGCGCCGGCCTGTGCCAATAAGTAGCGAGCTTGACAAGGATGGCTAGGGCGTAGCCATGCGCCTTGAAAACATCATGCAAGCATTGTCTGTCTTTTGAGCCCGCTAGTGCCTTGCGCGCCAAATCCCTTGTAACGGCTTTTTTAAACCAACTCAAACCAATTATCGACAAGGGTTCGCTGCTTCGGCTCAAGCCCTCCAGCGTTCAGTTCCCACGACTAGTTGTTTGAGGCTTGCTTTTAGCTTTATCAAATCAGCAAATCGTGACATGACGGGCCGCAACGCTTTTGCAGTCCTTATGGGGGCAGCACGCCGTCGCGGACCGGACGGTACTCCCGCTTGGAACGAGCTGAGGTAACAATTGGATACCAACACTTTATATGGTACTTGTTTGGAACTTGTAGGGCATTACCTGTGGTCCTAACACCTCCATCTGTGAGGGTTAACGCCACTAGGGCAGCTTCATTCATCATTCTTATATGCTACATGCATTGTTGCGTTTATTGCATGAGATTCTTCCGTTATATATAGCGCCTTTCAGATGTACTCTCGTGCCGTGCCAGGCCGCAAGTTACACCGAGGTCCGCGGCATGCGGGGCGGGAACGCAGTTGCACCTGGATTTGGGTCAGGTGTGTATAACGTCGTGAGATTTGGTTTAAGCGTTGATATCATGGCTTGTGTGAGGGCCCTCTCGGAGTCGGCTGGAACCATGCCATTTTAACTTGCAGCGTGCCTTTAGCTATCTCATTCTGGGTTCAGCGTCTGTCTGACGTTCCAGACCTATCTACCCAAACCCCGCTCACCCATTTACCCATCGACCCGCAGCGCGACTTTGCAGTTGCCACGTGCCTCACATGTGGCATGCTCTATGGCAAGGGCCTGCCAGAGGAGGAGCGACTGCACGACCAGTTCCACAACGCACATGCGAATGCTTTCAAATTCTCGGTATGTAAAGGATGTATGGACCTCGTTTTTCAATCTGGTCTGCTTCAAAAAAATTCACCATCCTAGCCGGCCTATGCTATAGCTCCCTCGCTCTGTTTAGACACATAGGAGCGGGGTCGGCCAAGGCCGAAAGCCCCAAGCCCTGCCTTTCATCGCTCCTCCCCCCGCCACCATTTCCACCACCCGTCCCTCTCCACCCTCCCTCCGCCCCAAGTAACGACAACGCTGGCCTCCGGCACCCCGCACTCGCGCCCTCGGCAGCGTGGCGCCCTTTTATGCTACGTTGTGTTGGGACCGTTTCGCTTCCTGCCATCCTGCACTGCAGGGCTGGGTTTCGGAGCGTGTCGTCTTGCGCGACGGCACAGGATCTTGCGGCGGCCGCTTGCTGTGTGTCCTTCCAAATGACCCGAAACCCCAGCTGCGGAAGGTCGGGAGGGAGATCGCCGGGACCCGATGTGTTCCTCTGTCTGTCTGTCTGTCTGTCTATCCTGACCTGGGTTTTCCCTTTCTGGTCGCCGTGTGATGATTTGTCGTGGCCGCATCGGAGGTCCCCAGCAGAGGACAGGCGTTGCTGGGGCCCCCTAGTTCCCATGTGGGTCTCATTTCTATTTCCATGATCTGGCGCCATCTGGGGGGCATGAACGGAAGCACGACGGAGCCGGCACAGTGACCACCCCAGATTTTGCATCCCGCAGCTCTTCATTGCGCGCTCACTGTCGCTCCATAGTCCCATATGTGGCCTAAACACGCTAAGTTATCCGCAGCTTGAGGAGAATGCCCCAAGAAAACGATGTTCTAAAGTCGATCGATACACTTTTGACAGCATAGCCCGTACGCTGCTGAGCTCCTCCGTCATCTTGCAACCCCGCTGGTCCCTCGAACCTGGGACGGACATGCCAGGTCGTTGAGATTTCCGGTCGGCTGGAGTCGGTCCTAGGAGTTCCACAGGGCTATCTCCTCGCTTCAAAGCCGCCGTACAAGGTACGGCACTCAAGTCAATGTGGGTCAGTCGTACATGGCTGCCTGTGGCGACGCGCTGGTGGCTCTATCACGAAGTCGCTAAGTCCACATCGTTTGATGCTGCAGGTCTTCATGTGGGCATCTGGAAGCGGTGGTGGTGCTGGTGGTGGTGCTGGGAGCAGCGGCGGCAGCGGCGGGCGGGGCCGCATCGTCGGCGTGCTGGTTGCGCAGCTGCAGCAGCGAGCCAGGTGGTGCAAGCTAGCCCCGGTAGAGCCACCACCTCGACAGCTCAAGGAGCGTATTCGCAGCAGTTCATACGCTGTGTCTACAACGGCTGCGACCAAAGGACCGACAGACGCGACATCACCGACAGGTGCAGCTCGGGGACCTCCGGCAGCGCCACTGCCCGGAGGTGCCACGGCGATAGAGCGGGAGGGATCCCTAGACACGGACTGCCAAGAAGGCGTCAAGATAGCAGCTGGATGTGAGACAGCCGCCGCAGCCGCCGCCGCCACCACCCCTATGACACCCAACACCACCATCATTCCGGCACACAGCTCCGCGCCGGGCACTTCCACCGGACGGAAAGCACGGGCATCGGAGCGGTGTGGCGCAGCAGCAGTGGTCGAGACGGAGGTGAAGCGCCCGCGTCTTGGAGGAGGAGCTGTAACTCGCGTGTCGACGGTGGGAGAGGTCCCCGACAGCTGCGGCGGCGCTGGGCGGACTGTCGGCAGGCCGATCGCGGAGGTGGGGGTGGATTGCGGCGCGACAGCAGCTCAGGAGCGGCGGTCCGCCAACGCTGACAGGGTTGGTCTGCCCTGCGGTGATGCTCCGCAGGCTGTTCCCGCCACCACTACCGCTACAGCAGTTCCGGCTGATGGCCTTGCGCCTGCAACACCATGCTATACTGTCAGCGGTGCAGCTGGCGGCGGCGGCGGCGGCGGTTGCAGCTCTGGCGACGGGTATGCGAAGGCGGCTGCTAAGGGAGCTCAGGCCTCGCCTGCTGCAAGCTCGCAGGCGGCTGTAGCAGCGCATGAAGTGACGCGAACGTGCGCCTCCGCTGCAGAGGCGGCGGCGGTGGCGGCGGTGGTGGCGCTACCGCACCATCGAGCTTGTGTCGGTGATGGTGGCAGTGGTGGCGAGGCGAGGGTCGGCGAGTTGGCTCGGGTGGTTATCGGCGTGCGGGGCTTGTGGGTGGAGCCGGGTTGGCGACGGAGGGGAGTGGCGCGGCGACTGCTGGATGCTGCCCGGTAAGGAACATCAGGTCCGGGACCAGACCGTGATGTAGGAGTTCGGGAGGGGAGAAGGCGCGACACGCATCCGTGTGTAGTCGCATCGTTGTTGTGGCGGTAATACAGAATGTACGCGGCGTGGGTTGGCATTTCAGCACTTGTAGGCTTGCGGGCGGGTGTGAAGGGAGGGGCGGGCAAGTGCGTCTTGTATGGGTTGGCTAGAGTGCTCTGGTCCTCTGGTTTTAGATGAGGTGATCTCTTGCTTTGTGGCTATGGACCTGAATGGTTTCGGCGCGAAGCAGTTCAGGAGAAAACGCGCTCACTGCTATCATATGCGTTTATGGATGACGCACATGCCATTGCAATAAGTTGCCTTTGTGTGTCTTTGCCAATTTGGAATGGTATATTCTTCATCTTCGTCTGCCGTTTGTGACTCCTCCGGTGCAGCACACATTTTTACAGTGCTCCCTTCCTATCGCCAGGTGCTGTATGGTGCCTGGAGTCGCGGCGGATCGAACCGGGGTCTCGTTCAGCGCCTGCGCTGTGGCCGCTGTGTCGGGCGACAACGATGGCGGCGGTGCCTTTGCGGCCTTCGCAGCGGCGTACCTTGGCAGTGGCGGCAGCGGTGGGGCCGCGAGCGCGGCCTGCAACGTGCTGTTGTACGACGATGATAATGAAGAGTGATGCGGGACTCATATATGTACATATATGCGGCTGCTTTACATGATACGGGTGTAAACGTCAACGGTATATTGGTCATGCTGGATATGTCATATGTGTGCGGATAGGGATGAGAGAGCCCCTGGGACGCGTTGGGTTCTGTAGGGCCAGAGGGGCCAATACGGCTGCGTGGGTAAGGGAGTGGGACTGTTAAGGCATTCCTCACCGATGCGACGGATGCGGAAAGCAGCGTTGCTTAGAGTCTACTGAAATAGCAGGCTCCGTTTTACAATTCCCTTCTCAGCGGATCGCTGATTAGGTCCGCAAGGGTCAATTGGCAGCCGCCGTAAGTTGAAAGCAATTTTTCGCGTGTGAAGGCGGGATGGGGTCCGGTTAGCTCAATACTGACTAGGAGCAGGAATGGCGCTGCTTTTGGACTACTTTTGAGAAGAAGTAGTCGCGTCTCGGCATGGGCATTTATGTATAACACACACACACTCTTTTATGAGCGCTTGTTGCCTGAGCTGTGCTACGTTATCGGTGTCGCGATATGGGTACATATGCCAGTGCGGAACGGGCCGCGGCCTTGCAGGAATGAAGTGCAGCTGCGTTTAGGCTGTGTGCGTATTGCGCGTTGAGCCCATCCGGGAGGTGGGGCTGGCGGCGGAAGGGGCAGGATGGGGGTAGACTGGCTGGCGTTTGGTTGGGCTCAACAATGCAGTATTATGTCGCCTTTGTAACCAGTCTCGTGACGCCAAGGTAAGCGCGAAAGCCGAAGGGCTGTGCTCTGGCATGGCGCTCTGTGGGGCACAGCCGCGCATACAGGAGCTTGCTTGCTGCACAGCCTTTTGCAGCTGAAGCTCGATGCCATGTATAACTCTTGGTGGCGTGTGGGCTACGAATTGCAACCTTAACAACTCTTCGCGTGTTTGAATGCGTTTTTTTGACGTTTTTGTGTTACAAGCTTCGAGCTTGTACGGTCCAAACGAGCCAAGAGGCTCATGAACCGCCGAACTGGAAACAAAAACATTTGAATGCGGATGCGGATAGGCCCCTGTTGGAGCCCCTCTGAATCCAGTTAACTAATTCAGTTAAATAACAGTACCGCGCCACCCTGTGGGTACGGGCAGGAGCGGCTCTCTTTTTTTGCAGCTCCGTGGGTCCTGATACCGCGAGGTATATGAAGACTTTGCCTCAGTTCCTGCAGTCAAATTTGGACACTGAGCTGATCTCAGAGTCAGTGTATAGCGGACGCAGTTTCCCTGATCCATTTTATTTCCAGACCATTTGCATGATAGATAATTGCGTGTATTCATACGTCTTGGAGCGGGTGCACGGCTGCGGCGGTAGTGTAAGGCCGCAACCATGCTGGCAAGTCTAATGCGCAAGCGCACCATTGACAAGCCCCCGACAAATATTCAAGTTAATCGCAGGTCCTCAATGAGGACCATATTAGCGATTAAGCTAATAAGAACAGATACTACACATGATCTGAGCCAAAAGGCCGAGAAAGGTATGCTCTGATATGGACCTCTACGAGAGTACTTTATCAGGAAGGTCCGTTTCCAAGTATCGTAAGCGATGGTGGGTCACGGAGTTTGAATGTGGAACCCCATCCTCAATCCTGCCTCTATTGTTCCTCAGTGAACGTCCGGGTTGCGAATGTTTCGGCTTCTGTGATGAGGTTGTAAATGCGAACGTATGCGAGAACTTGGCCTCACTCCGCACGTGCCGTGTGGGACTCATTCCTGTAGCAGATTTTTGCACATGCTGACGCAACGCAATGCGCGCTTCCAAAGCTTCCAAAGCCTCCTCTCGTCACTGAACTCCGAGAAGCACACAACTTAACATGGGGAATGCCTTTTCTGAGCATTTTGAAGACGGCGTCCTGACTTGTAAGCTATTACAGACAGTTGTGCGATGCGTAAACTTTTCGAAGAGAGCGCCCTGCTGGCCTGGTTCCGAAGGTTGAACGACGGGTTCAATTTCGATGTCGTAACCGACAAGTGCGCGCATTTCAAGCAAGTGATACTAGTAACTATTATGCTATAAAGGGTACACTTTTATTGCTCTCGCGCCTACTTATTGATACTCAATATATATCCGTAGTATGGTTCCACCTGGTCCAGCAAGGGACGGCCAGGGACACAGAAACAGTGCAGACACCGTTAATATTTATAGCGCATAGACTGAACTGCGCTATTATTGAGTTCGCATCTACTGTTTCATTGCTGTGCCTTTCCGGAAGAGCCCTAGACCGCAACTTGGAAGGTGTCCTGTAGCAATGCACCAGATGCGTATGCGGTTAGAAATCTATTGTGGCACCACCTGGAAAAGCAACGCCGTCTCGTCGTGCCAAGTGGCTCGAGTAATTGCGTGCCGGAGAAGCTGCCCTGCATCGAAGCAAACTCCGCATTTGCGTGTAGCATGCTTAGCGAGCCAAGACGCGGACCCTCTTGAGGCGCATCCAGTGCGCCGTGCTTTCCTCAGTGTCGGAGTGACCGCTAATGACTTGAGTCGTGCGAGTCGACTGGAGCCCTCGCTTCTCAATTACACTACGGATCGGCTACATGCAATTATTGATTTGCTCCTCAACCTTGGGCTGACCGGCAGCGACATCGGCAAAGTGCTAATAGCTTTTCCCCAGGTGCGCTCCTGTGCGCCTTATTATGCCCCCTACGTCACCAAGTCCCCTCCCGCCTGCACATCTACACGCAGCAGGTCTCTCAACCTTACGGTTGGGCTAGTGGCTAAGGACCCCCGTTGCATTAGCAGCTAGGGTTTTGCGCTGCGGTCATCTTCCAGCCAGCATGTTGCGGTATCACCACCTGAAAAGCTACAACGCGCGAGCCTTTTCTTCTCAGCAATTATTGGCCGCGTTACCCTGTTGTGGTTGCCTCTCTGCAACCTCACGAAACCCCATCCCAACGCACCGCCTCCTTCGCTGCCCTCGCCGCCGCGTCGTCGTTAACCTCTTTTCCCCCACATGCCTTCCCTTCTTCACGCCGTTCGCTTGTCCTTTTGCCTCCCTCCTCCCCCCAGGCTTTCCAGCTGTCTCTCGATCACCACGCCCAGCCGGTGATCGAGTTCCTGCTGGGCGATATGGGTCTCAGTCCTGCGCAGGTCCGCACGCTGGTCACCCGCTTCCCTGCTATTCTGGGCATGAACGTCAAGGTGCGGCGTCGTCCACGTGGCCTATAAGCCCCTTTGCATGACCGTGTGCCCACATCATGTGGGGATGGATATCGTGTGAGAGTTGGGTCGTCCTACCGGGGATTGCATCCTAAGCAGTGCGTCCTGTGATTGTGTATATGTATGTACATGTGCACGCGCATGCGTGTATTTAGATGGACTGAGGAGCGAGAGATGGTTTGTGCATTCCATAACCGCGCGCTGCGTCTTCGGAGGAAGTTTTAATCCGAACCCTTTCCCCCCTTCTCCCTCCCCTTCCCCCTACGTTTTGGACGCCCATTTTAAACATCAAAAACTATTTGCCTTCCTTCATTTGCTCTGCCTCCGTCCCTGCCCGCCTACATCTGTTCCTGTGCTCGCAGGGCCAACTGCGGCCGCAACTGGCCTTCCTAACCAGCTTGGGCTTCTCTTCCGAGTCGCTGCCGGAGCTGGTGCTGTCAAGGCCGCTGGTGCTGGGTCCCGGCATCGAGACCGTCATCTCCTTCCTGCGCCGCTGCGGGGTGCCCAGGTCTCAGATGCACCGGCTGCTGAGGTCCTATCCGCTGGACTACAAGTAAGCTCACTTAGAGTGTATGTGTGGGAGGTTAGGGCGAAATGGGGGGGAGAGAAGGGGAGGTAGACAGGCCGGAGGGATCTTTCACGAGGTTAGGGTCGGACAGCGAGAGGGGCATGGGCAAGGTGCGAGGTGACGAGGTTGAAAAGGAAAGGGAGGGAACGGACCCCTAAGCTTCCTAGGTAACGGCGTCAAGCTCATGTCGCCGATCCGTGCCATCCGACCCCACAGACTGCTCAGCTGCGTATTTCTCCCGCGCAGTGGGCTCCCGGATTGGTTTACCGGGATCCGTATTACTGGTGCCCCGACAACCACACACCACCCGCTGCGGCTCCGCTGTCCCTCCTCAACCCGCGTGTGACCCCCAGGGTGCGGTTGACAGGGTTGTCCGCGGCCTCGTCCAACTGGGGCTCCGGCTCCTCCTCCTCGGGCGGCTCCTCCTCCTCGGGCGGTGGCTCCCCACCGGGTGCGGGGGACAGCAGCGGCGGGGGGGACCGCGGCAGGGGACGTGCCCGCTGAGGACGCGGGAATGCGTGTGTGAGAGCTGAGTCCCGCTGGTAGCTTGGAAAGGTGTAAACTAAGGGGAGGAGGGAGGAGGGGAGACCAGACGTGGTTGCTCGGCTTGTTTGTTGCGTTGTTTCCATCGGGCTGTTGAGGAAGTGTCAGAGCAATCTTCGCAGCCGGCTTCAAAGTTTGCACGTGTCATTTTGCTTCCTCATCACCGGCTTTCGGCTGTCAGTGACGTCATTGCAGTGTCACCAGGGTTGAGACCGGATATGCGCAACACACCACGGGGTGGCGTTTGAATCCGGGGGTTGCCGGGGGGAAAGAGGAGGTGTAGTGGCGAGGGGGGGGAGAGAGGAGGGGCTGGATGTGGATGATAAGGTAATTTGTAACCTAGTCGGGCCGCGGGCCTTGAGCGGATGCGGGGCTGTTCCCTCAAAGAGTCCTTCACTTTCCATGCCGTTCGTGTGCTGTCGAAATGTACGATGTGAAGGTGTTGTACGATATTCGTAGCTGGCCTCGTCCTATGCGGGCGACATGGCTTAGTTATACGCCCACTATCTGTTCCTTGTATGTATGTATGTACGTATATATGTATGTATGTATGTGTGCTGCTACGTGTAAGTAGTAAGTACGTCATGTCATCGCGCCGTTCTTGTACCATATGAAGATCACCATTATCTGCAGCGTAGCGGGCCTTGCTTGTTCCTGTTACGACCTGCGTTTATCGACTACCGACGTGCGTGTGAAACACACAAGCTGGCTGCAATCGAGCCACAGACCTGCCAAGTCGTACCTCTTTACCCGCGTCATAGTGAATATTGTTGTTGGTGAGCGGTGGTTGAGGGTTGAAGCGACAAAGGGGTTTCTAACTTGCCCGGGCTATCCATCACAATCAGTAGCAACCAGGCAGTCAGCCAGGCCAAGAGCTCCCCGGCCGGAAATCCTCAGCGGAGCGATGAGGGGCGATGCTATCTTATAGGTAGCGGTGCTGAGCTGCTTTCGAGGCAGGTTATGGCTAAAGACGCGTCTGCACGCCGTCGGATCGCTTTGGCTTGCAGCGTGTATGTGGTGGCCGACACCTGTGTACAGCTTTGTAGATTATTTGCCCCGAGAGCAGATGGAAGCAGGGTGGGAAGGGCGTACGTGTGTTTGCTGTGGGGTGGGGATTAGCCGGTGCGGCTGTGTAGTCCGATCCTACAGAACCTACAACATAGGCCGCGTGATGTTTGGAGGAAGGTTTTGCGCTGTCCTTTGGCTGCCGGATGACAGCGGTTGCGGTTGCAGGCCTGCTGGCAGCAGGTCAGAGCAGAGGGATCAGACCGCACTGCGCTGCGACTGGTAGGTGGATGAATCAATGTAACTCGCACCCTCTTTCAACTTTGCAACATGGGGGATCGGGTCTGACATTGATACAAATGGTTCATGATGGCTTAGATGGGTGTTTGTGTTCGGTTGGCGGGCAGGGTGACCGAGGGGGCCCCGCGGGAAAGTGCTTCAGGCTGCAGGGACGGTGTTGCGCATGTTGTGCCGGGCTTATCATCTTGCGTTGTGGAACGTGAATCTCAGGTCAGTTCCCATGGCAATCGGCAAGTACTAGAACAAAAATAAGGTTGGGATGGGCCATGGTTGCCGAGATAAATGTTTTGGACAACAGACTTCGGACGCGAATGTTCTAGCTGCTCGAACACTGTGGCAACTCGGAAGGCACCGCCCGGTCAAAAAGCTCAACGACATAGCGTCCACGAGTATGGCACGGCGGAAATGGAAATGTATGGTGTTGGTGCACCAGCACTGGCACATAAGCAACATGGCAGGAAAGGATTTGCCGCTTTTTGTTGTTACAAGGTTCAGAGCTTGTACGGTACAAACAATGCAAGGGCCTTACGAGCAAGAGGGCAGCATAGCTTCTACTAGACATCGGCAAAAACAGAGTTCCGAAGCCGGCCGACTTGTAGAAATAGGATTATACGCCGTATACGAATGTCAAACCATTGCATTTTCATTCCGCGGCCTTGTAACAGAAGTTGTACAGGAAGACAGAAATAGACCCATTCCAAAACCAGAATTACCCCATTTGCCGATGTCTGTTCTACATGTAGGAAAACCGGTTGAACCGTTGGTGTACCGGTGCTGTAGTAACGACCGCGGCTCGTACTCAAACATCCAAAGCTCAAACACTCATCCTTCAAGGAACGGGCGTGCTCACACTGTCGGAATAATAATCTATCCAATCCCGTACGTTAAGTCTAGGTAGCTTAATTGCACCTGTTTGGTCCTAGTGAAGTGTTCTTGAGCCGAACTATGATTATCTTGATTGCCTTAATATTTCAGCATGTCGAAGGCCATGTAGAGCGTGTGGCAGTAAATGGATCGGACGATTTGACGAAGATTCGTTAATTTTCATGCTGCGAACGTCTCGCCGTTTACTTGAAATCAAACATCCTAGCGAACGACGCGATGGCTGATGTCACGAATCGGTTGTTAGGGCCGGCAGGTAAGTTTGCATATTTTACGCGCTTGCATGTCTCCACTAAGCTTGACACCCTTGACACTTGTGGATGCCTGCAGGCCTCACGATACACTACTGCGTAATGGCTGGAGCTCTCTTTGGCTGCGCGTAAGGATGCATCCCTTGGCTCCAACGTGCTGCGTCCGTACTCATGACTCGCAAACCCCGCTTTTCCTAACCCTTTAACCAACCAATCTCTCGGGCTAAGTACCCCGCTACCTCGCCTCACTCCGACCTCATGCTCGTATCCATGTTGCCTTTCGACCACGCTCATCTCCGAATCGTTCCTACACGTACTCCCCCACACGCGCGCCATGCACCTGGCAATCATCCGGGGTCAAACATGGCGAGGAAACCTTGCACCCCATGCCCGCCCTTCTCCTCATCCTCCTTCCCTAAGTGTCCGAGGCCTCCCTGGCTGGTACCAAGCCGTGATGGCGGTGCTGTTGGCTGTCTCGCTGGTTCTGCTTTGGCTCACGCATTTGATGGACCCCGGGATCATTCCGCCCCGTAGCGAGAAAGGTCAGTGGCGACCGGGACAAGCACCGCCCTAGGATCCGGGACAGGATGGGGCTTCGGGGGGCCAAGGGCGGAGGGAATGGCTGCTGTGGCTGCTGAGAGGTGCAGAAATAGTGGCGGAAGCGAAGTACCGGCTGTGGTGTTTTGCTGTTGCGGTGTGAGCCGGCTGCCGATTCGGATGGCACTGCTTCCGCCTCATCTGTGGGATGGATTCGGATGGGAGTATCCCAGGCGCACGTGCGTTAGATTACCAGGAATGGTGATTGAGGGGCCGAGGGTAGGTTTCTGGTTGCATAGGGTGGGTCCTGCCGTCGCCCTTCCCCGGTTCGTTCTTCATGTAACTGGGGTTCTCCGCGGCTCTGGCTCTCCGCCGCTGGCCCGTATAACTTTCCCTAATGCCATCATCATCATCATCATCATCATCATCGTCGTCGTCGTCGTCGTCGTCGTCGTCATCATCATCTTCTTCTTCTTTTACGAATGTACAATCCCCTCCCTCTTCTCCTCTCCCTCCTCCGGTGGCGAACTCGCTCAGACCCGCTCATCGAGGCGCTGGAGAGCGGCCGCGACGACGAGGTGCCACACAAGGAAAGGTGGGTGTGGATGCGTATTCGTATGATAGTGTGAAGTAGGAGGGGTATAACAGCTTCACTGGTGGCCACTAGCCTGCCTGGCGGCGGCCCCTAGCCACCTTCCCCCCCGGTGGTTCGTCTTTCCCCCCCCGGCGTTCCCCTCGGGGCTACCTTTCCATCCTCCTCATCGCATCACCCATGTGTGTGCCCAATACTGCAAAGTCGGTAATTTATCGGGTTCGGCACCCGCCACCGCCACCAGCAGTATTATCCAATGGAATCTGTCGGATTGAAAGGTGGCGACAACTTTACTCCGGATCGCGTCGCAGGTGCCAATCACTATAACCGGGTCCATAATTGTCCATCGGCATGGGGCCAAGTCTACCCATAAACGATTAATGGGGATTCCATTCGGTGCCTGTGTGTCTCTCTGTGTGTGTGTCTGTATATCTCTGTGCTCCGTGTTGCATCCGCAATCTAAACCGTATCCTCACCCGCCCTGCTGCGGCTGCTACTGCTGCTGCCAAGGTACACGAAGACACTCCAGGGCACCTGGGTTCGAACCCTAACGGTTGCAGAGTGGGCGGAGGAGCAGAGACAAAACCCATCGCGCCACCCAAGCCTAGGCAGCAGGCATCGAATGAAAAGACAGGCGGCGGGAGGGTCCACTGGAGCGGAGGCTCGGGTGGAGGTCGCGTGGACGCAGAAGTCACCGCCGATGGAGGGGCAGGAGGCCCAGGAGCCATTGACGCAACGCCCGTCGCTGCCGCCGCCGCCACCAGCGCAGCAACAGCAACAGCTGCCCGGCGCTGGATGCGACAATGGTGACAGCAGCATCATGGAGCAAGGGCGCGCGGCTTTGACGCGAGGTCCAGTGGGTGATTCCGTCTCACCTGGGTTGCGGAACGCAGCAGCCATGCATGTGGGCCGAGTGGCAGCGGCGCCGCCAGGCAACGGTAATGGCGGCGTCGGAGCAGTCGCCAGCACGGCCGCCTCCAGCAGCCGGCCGCCGCTCTCCCGCGCAGCAGCGGCGTCCATGGTCATTCACAAGTACTGCGTCACTTGCAACATTTGGCGACCGGAGCGTGCGCACCACTGCCGAGTGTGCGGGTACTGCATGGTGGGTGGGGGCCACCTGGGCAGCGAGGCCGGGGGCAGGGGTTGGGGACATCGAGTGAGGGTTTGTTTGGTTACTTTAAGGTTTTTGCCAAGACAGGGCGAGTTCCTGTACGTGGTACGGTGGGTAATGCACTCCTATCACGGTGGTGATGCCGGCAGAAGTGGAAGGTAAGGTTTTGGCAAAAGGGGGGGCGGCAAGTCAGTCACGTACAGTGGAGCTGTCCCGGCGCTGCACAGTTTCTTTGGGGGGCATTTTCGCAGGCCGTGACGCGCGGCCTTGCCCCTCCCCTTCCCCCGAGTTGATCGAGGGCCGGGATCACCGATGAGCTGTCGTCAGTGAGGCTGACTGACGGAGTACGTGACGGACCGACTGACTGAGTGACAGACAGACTGACTAGCTGACTAGCTAACTTGCCGCTGTCAGTCCGAGGTGTGCGCATTCGTATGTCCCTGCTCTGGCCAAGCTCGACTGTACGGGAAACAATATGGCAGTACGGCGTCTCTTAATGACTTGCAAGCTGTAGTCGTGCATGTGCCAACACCGGCGCCTGGGAAATGAAGACCTCCGCGGGCGCTGTCTGTGATGCACTCGCTGCATGTAGTGTTGTTTTAACAGAAGCTTAAGAAAGGTTATTGGCCTAGCTTGCCTGCCTGCCTGCCTGCCTGCCTGCCATACCAAGATTGTTACGTCGCGTGTGCACCCTGTGCTGCACCCGGTCGCGTCCAGGACCACTTCGACCACCACTGCGGCACCATGGGCAACTGCATTGCCCGCCTGAACCACCGGTTCTTCGCGAGCTTCATGGTGCTGGCACAGGTGGGAGAGTGTTTTGGAGTGGGATATTGGAGTGGGGGGTTAGCGGGGGCCCAGAAGGGAGGTGCAGGAGGTGGTGTGGTCCACCCTACCGGTGATGGTGACACCGCGGTAAGCTCTTCCCAGGTCGACCCTCCGCTGCATTGCTCTCCTCTCCTCTGCCCTGCTCTGCTCTGATGATCGGCATTCCCGTGTGCTCGTGTGATTCTGCTCGGATGGCTGGCGTCCCGGCTGCTTAGCTCGCTCTCGTGGAGCTCACCCGCGAGCGATACCTACACTCCGTTCGTTACATGTGTTTTTCCCTCCAGTGCTGCTCTGTGGCTCTGCAGTTGCGATTTTCAGGTGTTGCATCACTTACATCTGGCCATCACGGGTCCTGTTGTCTGTTCCGTGTATGTCTGTCTGCAGGTTGTCGGCGGCTTAGGTGTAGGCGGCATTGTGTGGCGGCTCAGACGGGAGGGCTTCCCCAGGCAAGTTGTGCGTGTGTATGTATGTGCGTGTGTATGTGTGTATGTGCGTGTGTGGGTGATGGCGGGTGTTAGTGGTGGGAGGTGTGACCGGGATCGAAAGGCATGTACTTATAACCCATCTCGAAATCCCTACGCCCCTGACCTGACCGCCAGGTTGTCCTCATCGCACCATTCCTATGGCTCCCTTCCTGCCTCCTGATGATGGCTCCCTTCCTGCCTCCTGATGATGGCTCCCTTCCTGCCTCCTGATGATGGCTCCCTTCCTGCCTCCTGATGATGGCTCCCTTCCTGCCTCCTGATGATAGCTCCCTTCCTGCCTCCTGATGATAGCTCCCTTCCTGCCTCCTGATGATAGCTCCCTTCCTGCCTCCTGATGATAGCTCCCTTCCTGCCTCCTGATGATGGCTCCCTTCCTGCCTCCTGATGATAGCTCCCTTCCTGCCTCCTGATGATAGCTCCCTTCCTGCCTCCTGATGATGGCTCCCTTCCTGCCTCCTGATGATGGCTCCCTTCCTGCCTCCTGATGATAGCTCCCTTCCTGCCTCCTGATGATAGCTCCCTTCCTGCCTCCTGATGATGGCTCCCTTCCTGCCTCCTGATGATGGCTCCCTTCCTGCCTCCTGAGGATAGCTCCCTTCCTGCCTCCTGATGATAGCTCCCTTCCTGCCTCCTGATGATGGCTCCCTTCCTGCCTCCTGATGATAGCTCCCTTCCTGCCTCCTGATGATAGCTCCCTTCCTGCCTCCTGATGATGGCTCCCTTCCTGCCTCCTGATGATAGCTCCCTTCCTGCCTCCTGATGATAGCTCCCTTCCTGCCTCCTGATGATGGCTCCCTTCCTGCCTCCTGATGATGGCTCCCTTCCTGCCTCCTGATAATAGCTCCCTTCCTGCCTCCTGATGATAGCTCCC